TAGACTTGTACAACAATACTCTTGGTGAAACTCTCAATCAGCACGCACCAGTCCTTCAGAAAGTTGTACAATATTGCGCCCTCATGCTCCATGGTATGATCAGGCCCTGAAGGCTAAAAAGCAAAAGGTCCGCTCTAAAGAGAGAAAGTGGAAAAAGGGAAGTCCTAGATCAATTTTAGACAAGGAGGAAATGCAGAGAGCGGTAGCAGAGTATAACACATGTGTGAAAAATGCGAAAAAAGCATTTCATCAGAATTTGATCTCCAAAGCAAGCAGCAAGGAACTCTTTCAGATAGTTAACAAGTTGACAATTGAAAAACCAGGTCAACGTACACTTGCCCTCCCATGGCACAAGTTTGGAGCTTGCACAACGATTTTCGAACTTCTTTGTTGATAAAGTATGTCAACTGGAGATGGATACTGACTCTTCATCATCATCACTTCCCTACAATGACTTGAGGAAGACATCTTAACCAAGCTGCTCTTTGGAAAAGTTTCTCACAGTGACTCAGTCCGACGTCGCTCGTATCATAAAGTCATCCAAGATCAAAGCTTGTCCCCTTGACCCTCTACCGGCAATGGTATTCAAGAACTGTGTCGAGGTTCTGCTCCCGGCTATCGCTGATATCATAAATCAGTCCTTGCAGACGGGCATCTTTCCAGCTTCCCTCAAGTCCTCGCTCGTCATTCCCACACTGAAAAAACCCAGTTTAGAACCAAAGAGCCTCAATCACTACCGCCCCATATCTAATCTACCATTTCTTTGAAAAGTGATTGAACGTGTCGTCTGTAAGCAACTAATGTCATACCTTGATGGGAACTCTCTTCTGGCGTCTAGGCAGTCTGCCTACAGGCAGTATCACAGTGTGGAAACAGCCCTAGTAAGAGTCCAAAATGATCTTCTCCAAACTTTGGATAGCAGAAATGAAGTAATCCTTGTCTTATTGGACCTTACCTCCGCATTTGATACGGTCGACCATCATATTCTTCTAACTGCAGGCTGAAAGAAAGATTTGGTATCACAGGCATTGCTGCTGACTGGTTAGCGTCATATCTTTCCAATCGGCAACAGCGAGTGTTGGTTGATCAAGCAACATCTGATCCAATTAGTCTTCGATGGGGGGTCCCCCAAGGAACAGTAATTGGCCCGTTGCTATTTGTATGCTATACAACTCCAGTTCAACAGATAATTCATGCACATGGCCTGTCCTGCATGATGTATGCAGATGACACACAGCTGTACATCTCTATGAACTCCGATGACAGAAATCGAGCAATCAGAAAGCTTGATGTGTGTCTTAAGGAGGTTCGAACGTGGATGGGAGGTAACCATCTCTTCTTAAATGACAACAAGACGGAAGTATTACATGTATCATCTCACATGAAGAGCAACCAGGAACTGCCACCTTTCTGCTTTGGAGAAATCAAGCCCGCTGAAGCTGTCCGGGACCTAGGGGTAGTCATCGACAAACATCTATCTCTTCGTCGCCACATAAATTTGGTGTGTCGCAGAGCTTCGTTCGCCTGAAGAATTGGTGGTATTCGCCATCTCCTTAACCAGAAGACAACAGAAATACTGATCCATGCGTTTGTCACATCACTGTTGGACAACTGTAACAGTCTTCTCTTCGGCGTTCCGGACAAAGACATTTCCAAACTCCAACGAATTCAGAACTCTGCCGCCCGTCTTGTATCTATGTCAAGTAAATACAATCACATCACTCCCATCTTAAAGGAGCTCCATTGGTTACCTATTCCCGCATGCATCCACTACAAAGTTATCCTGCTCACATTTAAAGCAATCCATGGCCTTGCTCCTACTTACCTATCCGAGTTGATAGCCCATTATTACCCGTATCAGACATCTGAGCTGGTCATTTACAAAACCGTATTGCCCTAGTTTTCACTAGCAGTGGGAACGGAGGGGTATATTCTTTGTATTTTCCTTGGTCTCCCTGCGCGTATTGACTTTGCGTGTAGAGACGAGTGAAAATATACCTTGGTATTTTCCACGGTCTCGCATCCCGGCATCTTTTGACCGCGCCGTATTTTGTCATTTTCATTGCGCATCTATTATGCGTACGAGAACCTGTGCACTTTGCGCGCACTCTATTGTGACGTAATAATCACACCAAATGCACACTGTTTGCAGTGTAACGAAAATTGTGTCAAGCCGCGGGATGCACAGTGCTGGTTTGACAAAGTTTGTTCAGTTCTTGAGATTGTCACGGTGGATTTCTGTATTTGCTCTAGATGTCTGATTTGGATAACAATACAAATATTGACTGGCTTTACTTTCGGGGGATATCAGAAATATTGACCGCGCTAAGACCATATTGCCCTCGTCTTTCGACTCGGGGCAATATGATCTGAGCTTGGTCAATATATCTGATATACCCCTCAAGGCCAGTCAATATTATATAAATATCTACCAACCAGATCACTCAGATCTGCCTCGCAAAATCTGCTAGTAGTAAATAGAAGCAGAACCAAAACTTTCGGTGACAGGTCGTTTGAATGTGCTGCACCAACCCTTTGGAACTCTCTTCCTAGCACTCTACGTGCTCAATCAGACATAGACATGTTCCAGAAAGAGCTCAAGACATATTTGTTTAACATTTCCTTTTAATTTTGTACTGGTTCCAAAGGGTTGGTGCAGCACATACCATCTTTGTGACTCACTGAATGCTGATGTTTATTTATCTATTCATATTTATATTGTTGTATTGGGCCTTCCTCACCATTATAATCATTTTCAAATATTACATGTATCACCTTTAATAGAAGCTACTTTCGATTTTTCTAATGTATAACGTATGCCTACTTGTAAGTTTTGATTATAATTATATGTAATTATTTCTATATATGTCTTTATTTCTATTGTCTTCTACATATTTTGTAAAGCGCATTGGTATTACCTTCGGTAATTAAATGCGCTATATAAGAGCTAACTATTATTATTATTATTCAACTCTGATAAGTGCCCCTTTTATTTGGACACGTGCCTCTTTTCCTTCGACAAGTTCCCATTTTCCTTTGCAATAAGTGTCCATTTTCCATTCTCATAAGTGCCCTTTTTAATCTCTAGTAAGTGCCCCAAGTTAGGTACGATGAGTGCCTCTTTTCACTTTTGATAAGTGCCCCCTTCACCTCTGATAATTGTCATATTTAAATCTGAGAGGTATGTGCCTCTTTTACCTTGACAAGTGTCCCTTTTCCTTTGTAAGAAGTGCCCCTTTCCGTTTTAATTACTACCCCCATTTTAACTTGGATAAGCGCACCTTGTATTTTCACATGTGCCATTTTCCTTTCTAATAAGTGCCCCTTTTCCTAATGATATGTGCCCCATTAAAAAGGAACCCCTTCCCCTTCTCAAAAGTGCCCCTTCTCTGGTAAATGACCCTTTTCAGGTACGAGAAGTTACTCCTTTTTGCTTAAGATAAGTGCCACTACACCTTCACCTCCGGTAAATGTTTAAGTTGGTTCCATACTCTAATTCCAGAAATTAGAGGACTATTTTTTTTTTATTAGTGTCCGCCCTAAATTTGGGTACACACAGTGCATCCCTTACAGCATGTCTTGTGTTGTGATCATGTGAACTAACATGATGTAAATCTCGTTTTAAGTATGTTGGTGCCATGTCATGCATTGATTTATACATCATCACTGCACGTCCAAACTGGAAACGTGTCTGAATAGGCATCCATCCTAAGCGACTAAACATATTAATTATAACGATATGATCATTGTGGTTTAAAAATGATTGATATTAGATCTTTTACACGTGTGCAGAAACTTATTTGGTCGAGGTATTTACTGAATGATGAATTTGATAGTCCTTAATTGGAAACAAATAGAAATAATCAATCTGTCTGAATTTCACTCAGATCCAGAAATTTTATTTAGAACCCAGCATGCCACTGAAAAGATTTTGAAAAGAATGAATATGCAACTTGCAGAGATTATAAGGGTGTGGTATACGCTTTCAGATTAGATAGCTTATGGTACAACAAAAATGTCTGCTTGAAAACGAAAAGGTTGTTTTACTACCCTGCTTGGTATGAAAGGGGAATATAGGATTTGATTTACGATGGAACACGTTTCAAAGAATTTTTGGAGTTTGACATACCAATTGGTGATAAAAGAAAATATTTGTCCATTACTAAGGCAATTCAAGATAATAGAGTTCTATTCGAATTTTTAAAAGAGAAACTGGTTATACTAAACATTTCTCTAAATTTTCATATTCAATTTTTAAGGAATCTGTCTTTCCCCAAAAGAGATCAGATAAATGGAATGATATTTTCAATATGGAATAGGATAATGAGGATTGGTCTTTGGTTCACAAGGTAAATTTTAAATGCACCGTCAAAACGCAGTTGCGTTCCTTTTATTTTAAATCATTTCACATAGCTATTGCCACAAATGAAGGTCTGACACTGAACTATGCAATCTGTGTGAGCGATTACCAGACTCAATTGAACATTTTTTTAATATATTGTGAAGTTGTAAGGCCACTTTGGTCTGTCCTAGAAAATTATCTATCTTTAAAACTTAAAAAAGAACTATAGTTTTCTCGGATTTTGAAAGAATGTTGGTTGTCTGAAGGACTATCAAAATTCAATATGTATACATTTCTCTCTTTGGTGTACCAGGTTCTACATTCACTGCTGCAAATTTAAGAAAAAGAAACCAAATTTTCATGGTCTTATATCTTTGATAAAAATTAAGTCTAAATCTGAATATGTAATTGCAGCCAAATTAAGTTAAGCCTCCATTAAAAAAAAAATGATATTTGAGTTGTAGTGGACTACATGATTGTAAATAGCCAGTTGGCTTTTATGTTATTTTTGAGTACCCAATAAAAAAAAATCATTAAAAAAAAAAAAAAAATCATACATAATTATTACTCTTCATAAATATTTATTATAAGATACAGTATAGCCAATATGGAACGCCAAAAGGACGGCTAAACCTCTTTGATGCGTGCACGTATTTACGTACGTATGGCTATTTCGCGGCGCAACTCGCCCGGCCGCGTCGGGCGCGGCGTTGAGCAGTTGGGGTATGAGCGCACTGGCGGGGATCGATCTGAACGTTGTATTTTCATGTTTCCTTGGTAAGATTAACAGTATTACTTGATTTTGGGGTAATTATTTGTTAATAAGAATATCTCTTCATTTCATTCCACTCTCCATACATTTCACGGCTTAACTTGTTTTTCAAGCACTAGACTAATTAATGAAATATCAGTTAATGTTTGGAGTAGAACACGAAACATTCAAGCCTTTTCACATCTGCCGCGCCGATGCCTACGGTACCGTATGCGATATGCCTATCTAGAGTCCTACAGGGAATGGAAATTGAGCTGAGCGCGGTAATAATTGAATTAGATCTAGGGTCTATATAATACTAGTACCGTATAAGCTACTAGTATAGGCCGTATACGGTACCGTACCACACATTTAATCATTGGTGCAACCATGTTGTGTGATTGGGTGTGGAATTATGAAAAACATTACAATTTTTTTTAAATTTTGCATTCTTTTGACTTTTGTTTCTGTTCCGAAAAAATATGACTTGTCGACGCGACAAGGGTCTGATTCTGAAAATGTTCATTTTTAGAGAATAGCTAGGTCAATAAAATTGTAGGTAAAAAAGATACCAATTAACTGATTGTATGATATTTTGACTTCCAATTTATGTAATTAGACCTAGATCTACCTTACCTTTGATGGATTTGTGTGTTTTGATAGATCTAAATCACATTGACCATCGTACATCTTTCGTGTTCTAAAAAGGATCCTAAAAGAGGATCAAGTCTAGAGTAGTTTTGACACCCTATAGTGAAACCCATCTAAAATCTCAAATTTTGAGACCCTTGACAGAGATTTTATGTCATGCATGGTATTTTACACCCTATTCTCAAAATTTGGCACACTGCTGCACAGTGTCTTGAAGGTGTTTTAATACGCCTTTCTTTCCTCTCATCCCCAATTTTATATATATTTTTATCATGTATTCCGTGGGACTCTGCTCCCATCTGGAGCTTTTAAATTCCCTACTCCTGTGTATCTTCTTATCCCCAGTGAATTTGATACTCCTTTTCCAGATAGATCTAGCCTAGGTCTATTTCCTGTCTTTGATAGCCTAAATTTAGAATGGACGCTCCATCTTGCTATGAGAGAGCTTAAAATAATCCTGCTTTGTTTTTGTTGCTTTTAATAGATACCTGATGGAAGAATGGATGTCTGCAGACCAAGAAGTCGTCGGAAGGGAGCTACCCAACGCAAACGTGCCCCGGCAGATGACTCTGGACCTGACAGTAAGAGGCGCCCGACTGCTGAACCCTGTCATGCGGAAGCAAGCCATGATGAGTCCATGATTACAAGTACCAGAAGGAGTGATACATGTAGGAGTGGAGCACTTTGTGACCTTGTGACCTTGTCGCCTATCCTACCGACTACTTTGTCTGAGCAAAAACAACAAGGTATATACATGTACAGTGTAAATTTGTAAATGACTCTAATGCTACATCTGGGTTCCCAGGGTCGTGGAAAAACCTGGAAACCTGGAAAGTCATGGAAATTGATTACGGGTGTAGGCCGTGTGTGGCTACAGCAGCCTTCCAGTTTTAAATGGAAATGGGTGTGGTATTTGTACACCGCTTTGATGCCCCACCCATACCAAAATGGTACTTGTCATGAAAATGGGCAAAATGGGTCATGGGAATTGATGGTAAGTCAATGAATTGGGTTCTCAATTTTTCTGTGGAAACCCTGGTGTTTTGACACAAACAAAGTAGGCTAGTCTTCTTCTTTGAAATGCCACCCTCTTGTGTATTCTCATACAGTCTTTTCTCATACCAAGGACTTTTTCATATTTCCTAAATGAACCTAGCTTGCGTAAACATTTATTTGATTCTATGAGTCTGTCAATTATTATGACGGAGGTATTTATAGACAGAATGGTGACTACTGTTTTAAATAATACTCTTTATGCAGGTTCATTGCAGCAAAGACTTTTGTACTGTGAGTCATCTCCTGTTGTGTCAAGGAATACAGACCAGAGGTCTTCAGATATTCTATTCTTGTCTGGTGATGATGATCTCTTTGAATGGGATGAAAATGATATGCCTGCCAGACCCAACGAAAAGCCCTCTTCACCAAACATAAAGGTTAGTTTACTAAATCACAGTTTGATACTTTGATAGTTTGAATAAGGAAAACAAACCACATATTTCAAGAAAGAGCTACATGTAAAACCTGATCAATTTTTAATACGGTAGTTATTTTGTTGAATAGTGATAATACCGATGTTAAAGAGAACAAATATAATGATAATAATAATAATGATAATGATAATGATGATTATGAATATAATAGTGATGATATCATCAATATTCTTACTATTTATTATTGTATGATTTTACCCAGGAGAGTCACACAAAGAGAGAAAGTGCAAATGACGGACAAAACCATGAGAGAATAAACGCAGCAGTGGACGAAAAGAGGATTGAGAAACCAGCAGAAAACAATGACGACTTATGGGATGATGACGATACATTCTACGCCCAACTTGATTTAAGTCTCCTAGTTGCACAGTCTCAGAAACAACAACAACAACAAACTGGGCATGGTGGAAATAGTGATGACATTCACAAGACTAGCACTGAGAATTGCTCAGAATCCAGTACTTCTAAATCAAGAAATAATGTAAATACAGATGCAAGAACCTCAGGGAATGATTTTACAGCTTCGGAGGATAGGGCGTCCCATGTAAGTAGAACAAAAGAATGTGGAAATGCAATAAAAGAGTCATCTAGCATTGACAGAGCAAAACCAACATTGCAGAGAATGGAGAAATCTAGCATAACTTCTGTTTGTGTTAACACCAAATACAACCACTTCATGTCTGATGAACATGTATCAAGAACCAAACAAGATGATCAAACCATTGGGAAAGAAACACCTCGTCAAGAAAAATGGTTCAGTCATCTGACAAAAGATGCTTCAGAGCATCCCCACGTAAGACAAGAAACCGTCACAAGAGGGCACAATGCCGCGGATGATAATCGTACTCCAAAGGTAACAGGGAGTAGAGCCCATTCTCGTCTGAAGGAGCGTCTCCATGGTAATACCAAGGTGATGACCACGCCCACCTCCACGCGTCTTCAGCTTCTGCGGAAGGCAGCGGTAGAGGAAGCCATGATTGGTTTAGCTGATGTAGAGTCGGCTGTCAAGGACAGAGACATTGGTCCATTCTATGGCCTGCCCAGGAAAGTTCAAGAACTGTTGGACAAACACAGGGGTATCTCACAGCTATATGGTATGTCATCAAACAGTTTCTATGCATTCTACTCTTGTAAGAGTTATATAACCTATGCTCAATTACGATTGCTCTGCTGTCACTGTCAGTGTCAGTGTCCTAGACCACCCTTAATGTTTACAGAACTTCAACCCTGGACCAATGCTATAACAACCCTGAATTTATTCTAATACCTCATTGCAAATTGCAACCCTAACCCTAGAAATCTTTGATGACAGAAGGCTCAGGAATATTATGAATGTCTGAGTCAGCTAGCAGTAAAAGAGGGTGGTAACTTAATTTACTCTCAACATACTAGCAGAAGCAACACCTTATTAAAAGAGATTGATTATCATGAGATTACTTTTATTCTTTTCCTTTTAGAGTGGCAGGATGAATGTCTGAGTCAGCAAGCAGTAAAGGAGGGACGTAACTTAATCTACTCTCTACCTACTAGTGGAGGCAAGACTTTGGTCGCTGAGATCATCATCATGCAGCAGATTCTCTGCCATCAAAAAGACGCTCTTCTTATCTTGCCGTTTGTCTCTATAGTACAGGAAAAGGTTAGATGAGTGTCACAATGTAATTCGTCAATCTACTGACCCATTTCTTTATTTCAATTGCTTCTATTTAACTTGATTTCAATGTGGACTTTCCCTTTAAAACTACATGAAATTTGGTATTCTAAAGAGTATACTTTTATTAATCTCTTGTCTGCCCCATTTGACAAAAGGAAACAACTGTCACATTGTACAAATTTTCACATTTCCTTGTTATAATTCAGAAATACACAAAAATTTGAAAAAGGAATTTTACAAAGGAAATAAGACATCGGCAGGTATTTCCAAAATAAAATGCTGAAAGTGGTCTGTCTATCAGGCTGTAGTTCATCCAGACGTTGGACAAAGCCCTCCTCATAACATTTCCATTCTCTTCTGTCTCTAGCTGTCCTAGTCCAGGCGGCCGTTCCCATGTATGATGTCAGGTCATCTCTCCATCTTCTCTTCTGCCTTCCTCTTCTTCTCTTTCCCATCCTTGGTTGCCATTCTGAAAGTGGTCTAATTATCTTTAAATTGTTGGTTTCAGGGTATTTTCCCTCATTCCCTTTAGACGTTGCTCACAAGCCCACGATATGAAAACAGATGCATTGTTGACAATCCATGTTTTGTGTGTTTCAAGGTGACTTCCCTGACTCCTCTGGCAGTTGATCTTGGATTCCTTGTGGAGGAATACGCAGGCAGCAAGGGGTCTGTCCCACCAAGGAAGCGCAGAAACAAACATGCCCTCTACGTGTGCACCATCGAGAAAGCTCACACGTTAGTCAACTGCATGATTCAAGAGGATAGGATGAGAGAAATCGGACTGGTTGTGGTCGATGAGGTAATGTTTATAAGGTAGCTAAGTGAAATGTAAAACGAGTGATTAATAATAATAATACAGAATTTGTATTGCGCCAACGATCTAGTAAACTATTCTGAGGTGCATAGGAAGATTATTACCCTGGCTTTAACACAGCTGCCATTACGGCGCTCTATCATTTCAAGGAATTAATTCCTGCCAGGTACCCATTTACACCACCTGGGTTGAGTGTGGCAATTGTAGATCAATATCTTGCCAAATGACATTAGTGCTCGGCGGGACTGGAACCACAGACCTTGTGATCAACAGTCTGGTGACGTATCCACTCGACCACGTTACCTCTGAATAGGGATAGCTCAAAGGAGCAGGTCATGAGATCATAAATACCCTGTGGGCTTATTATTAGTTACCCCATTGGTTACTAGAACCAGGTGGTCCTTGTGCCTATGGGAATTAGATAATTCAGTAGTCAATAAAGCTAGGCATGTATCTACCTCCACAGTAAGACCTACCTTTGTGCTATTATATTTCAAGCTGTCAAACCTGCAGCCTCAGTGAAAAATACTGCCACTTGTGAAACTCAAATTTTGTCTGTTCATTTAGTTTGTTATATTGAATACCGGAGCATGCAATATTTGCTGATTGATCTACAGAGCATGTAACATTTGTTTAATAGTTGTCCTGACAGGAATTTATTCTTCATTACAGCTTCACATGGTGGGAGAAGGAGGACGACGAGGCGCTTCTCTTGAGATTTGTCTTTCAAAGCTCCTCTACCTGGAGAAATGTCAGATCCTAGGAATGAGTGCAACGCTGAGTAATATCAAGGACTTGGCTTCCTTCCTCAAAGCAGAGGTCTACACCAACACCTTTAGACCAGTAAGCTGAAACATTTTGCTTATATTAATAACAATAATAATAATAGGCATTTCTATAGCGCCGTCCATCTAGAAATTCTATTCCGAGGCGCATTTATTATTACCCCGGCTTTAGCCTAGCTGCCATTACAGCGCTTAAGCATTTCAAGGAATTAATTCCTGCCAGGTACCCATTTACATCACCTGGGTTGAGTGTGGCAAATGTAGATCAACGTCTTGCCAAAGGACATTAGTGCCGCCGCGGGACTCAAATTGTGGACCTTGTGATCGACAGTCCCGCGACGTATCCATATTCAAACCATTGGGTCGGATGGTTGTGTTTACTTACATGACCTTTCGTGAAATGATCATGTGAAGATGCATGGTAAGGAGGCGACCTTTCGTAGATTTGCTGTAGGGATTTCACAAAATGTCAGATGATTTGGACCAGACCATTTGTAGATGAGAGGGGCTTTATATCACAAACATTACCCCTGACATTTTGTCAAATAAGGGGTATGTTTTCTTAAGGGTTGGGTAACGCGACCACCCGACCGGACGCGACAAACTTTCAGAAAAATCAAGTACAAATTATGAATACAGAATACATACTATACCAGAACCTTTAAGAAGCAACTTGTGCTTATAAATGAGGCCCCTATCAAGTTTAAACTCAATGTTATATTCCATTACAAAAGAAACAAAACTAACAAAGTATATAAAGTTTGATTTGGTGAATGAGATTCATTCCAAGATTTTTATTTCCTAACTTCTCAGGTTGATTTGATAGAATACATCAAGTTAGAAGACAACATCTTCCAAGTAAATCCTGGGAGCAACCTACCAGAAGATGAGAAATTTACCCACGTCCGTACCATCACTTTTCCTGTAAGTCATCCAATTTGCTACCCTTTTTTTTTTTTTTTTTTAATTTTTTGTCTGGAACAGACTTGTAGGTTTTACAAATATATCAAGTCCGAATCTCAAGTGAGCGGATCATATTTTTAAAATTTGCTTTTGTAGACATAAGCAGATTAGAAACTTTTCCCACTTTTTCCGAGGAGGCATTTGTGAAAAGAATCATTGAAGACAAGATATAAGGGTTAGACCAAGCGTAAAGCTAAGACGTAGTTGGGAAGAAGATAATAAGATCTACATGTATGATGGGCTACAACTGAAAGAGTGCAAAACGATAGTAGAAAATAAAGATAAAAGAAAGGTTGTCATTAAACTTTCAAGCCCCAAGCCTGTCATAACATTTTTGTTGCTTTAATAGCTTGTCAAACAGTAACAAAGAGGTATTTTGAAAAAGTGAAAAAAAAGACGGAAAATTCAGTATTCCAACCTCTTATTCTCGATTTCCTCTATTGTCCAATTTGTGACTTATCGTTTGTAGCTGTTTATGAGCCAGATTACTAACAATCCTCTTATGTGTGTATTTTATTTACAGTATAGCAAGTCAATGCTTAAGAATGACCCTGACCATCTTGTAGGACTAGCCCTTGAAGTCATCCCAACAAATTCCTGCCTCTTCTTCTGTGCGACCAAGAAGAACTGCCAAAATGTGGCAGAAAACATCTGTAGATACATACCAAGGTATGATGTCGGTCTTTAATTGGTAATTTGAGAGCTCTGTAAATTTCAGCTTAATGTTATCAGCATATCAGCCCATTGGCTTCATTCTTTAGATAACTGGATATAGTTCTCACAATATGATTACAGTGTTTCAAATGGTGTCATCTGATGACATTCCATAGTAATTGCTTATATACCTCAGCATTTATACCTAAAATGAAGTTTGTAAAGTTCATGCACTTTAAAAACCTGTTTTGAGCAAGAGCACATTTACCAGATGGTGCTTTTAATAAGCGGTCTTATCCAGTTGAGATTTCTCGTTAATTTACAGCAATTCTCCAAACTTTCTATATTTCACTTTAAAAAAAGAATGAAATGGGCAAGTTAAAGGGTATTTTGGCCTTTACATTACCTACCATATCAAAGATTATAGTATATAATTTTATTAAATTGATAGCTTCACAATTATTGGGATGAGAGCCAATTATCACTTGAAAATAAGAGTTATAGAGTGGTGAAGTGTGACGGCATCAAAAATCTAGTTTTAGAATTTCTCAATTTTTTCTTCATTTTCCGGAAGAGGATCAAAAATAATGTCCGAAAACCAATTGAATATATTAGGTATTGGCTGAGATATGACCATCTGAATAAATATATGTCCTATGGGAACTCACTGTTATAGTGCTCTGGTTCCTAATGTTATGAACTAGAGCACTATAACACTGAGTTCGCATAGGACATATATTTATTCAGATGGTGTTATCTCAGCCAATACTTAACACATTCAATTGGTTTTCGACATTCGGACATTATTTTTTATGCTGTTTTGGAAAATGAAGACAAAATTGAGAAATTCTAAAAATATATTTTGATGATGTCACAGCTTCGGTACTCTATTGTGTTCTTATTTCCATGATACTTGGAAATGTATGGAACACCAAATACCTCGGACTTGCCCGATAAATTTCTAACAAAATATATGTAACATCTTAGTAAGGTTATGTTTGTCAATATGCTTACCTAACTGAACAGAACCAAAGCCAAGCAATTGTTCCAACACAAGCACAAAGAGAAGGAGGAATTGTTATTATCGCTACGAAGGGAGTGTGATAACAACCTCTGTCCTACTCTGAGACGCACCATTCCGTACGGAGCAGCGTACCATCACGGCGGGTTGACCATGGACGAGAGGAAGCTCATAGAAGATGCGTATTCTGATGGAACGCTCTGTTTATTGGCAGCTACGTCGACACTGGCAGCTGGTGTGAACTTACCAGCTAAGAGGTCAGACTTATATCTTTTTATCTACTTTACTAACTAGGATCCAGTATCTGACTCCTGCTACACCTACTTCGGCTCTTTTTTTTTTTAATGAATACTTGACCCCAACTTCAACCAGTGTTAAAGAGATTCTTTTAGGGATCACTTTAATTTCCTTCTTATTCTGCTTACAGCCCAGCTATTAAACAGGTTTTACCACATGGCAGCTATGTAGTGTCTTGAACATTAAGTATTCCCAGTAGGAAGAAATCTTGACCCCAACTTTAACCAGTGTTAAGGAGATTCTTTTAGGGATCACTTTAATTTCCTTCTTATTCTACTTACAGCCCAGCTATTAAACAGGTTTTACCACATGGCAGCTATGTAGTGTCTTGAACATTAAGTATTCCCAGTAGAAAGAAATCCCTTGAATGCTCGAGCACCTTTTCATGGTAGCTCGGCTAAAGCCAGGGTAATGATATGATTGCAGGGCCCTCAGAAAGAACAGTATGAATACTGATGAGGCTACCCTGGGTAAACAAGACTTATTATTATTATTATTATGTATGTGAGACTTTGTTCATTTTTGTCAGTACTTGAACTCCTGAATTCTTTGTAAAATTCTAAAGTGTTGATTGATTGCAGGGTGATCTTGAGGAGCCCTTACATAGCCAGAGAGCTCCTGACAACCAGTCGTTATAAGCAGATGGTTGGTAGAGCTGGCAGGGCTGGAAAGGACACGTCTGGTGAAAGTATCCTGATTGTAAAACCCAAGGAAAGAAAGCTGGTATGTATTCATTGCTTTATGCACCTTGATTGCCAAATGTAAAGATAATAATGGCCACATACTTATACAGCGGTCATATCCATCATGCAGCGTCACCCATGGCGATTAGACGTTATTTTCCTGGTTATAGCTGAGCCGCTATAACTAGTAAGTATCGCTTGAGCATATCCCCTACCCCTTTACACCTGGGTAAAGTTGCAAATGTAGATTATTGTTGTTATCATTATTATTATTATTTTTATCACTATTATTTTTATCATTGTATTTATTATTATTATTATTATTAATATTATTATTAGCATTGTTTTTATTATTCATTTTACTTGCAGGTAAGTGATATGTTGAATCGACCAATAAATGGATGTTACTCCAGTCTGATGCACGATGAAGGGAAAGGAATGAGAAATTTGGTGCTCTCTCTCATCAGTCTCAAGGTATGTACTTTATCACCGTCATCATTCTCATCATGGTCATTGTCATTTATAATATTGATGGTTGGAAGCTATGTCTCAAACAGAATTGTCTGTCCAAGAGTGCTATTCTGTGTTATATTTGATAAATTACATGGATGAATGTCATTTATCGTACAGGATACATTGCATAGAATCACCCAAGAGCTGTTTGAAACTAAGGGGTAACAGAATATTTTTAAGAGGGGGGGGGGAGGGGTTCTATGTCTGATGACCAACTTTTATCTCAGTCATTTTATCATGAACACTATAATCATAGTCATCATCATCACATCAACATCCTCATTCTTATCATCCTCAGCCATTATTGCCTTCATGATTATTATCTTCATGATAGCAACAGTATCATCCTTATCACATATACATACCTGCCAACCCTCCCGAATAATCCGGAATATCCCGTTTTCCTGAATTTTTAGGACCCCAAAATGCGGGATGTCCCGGATTTTCAATTTTTTTTTTTGTTGCTTAAGCCAAATTAAGCTTGTTTTATCATATGCCGCGATGTGAGAGTTCACTTAAAGGGCTGCATGATTGAGCAGCGAATTTGTATTTGCCAGTTACACTGTTAAGGGTACCTGTTAAGGGTACAGATTTCTTATTTTCAAAGACATACCGTGCTAAACATTCTTAATTCTCATTTTCAAATGTTGGCAGGTATGCATATATGATTATTGTTCCTGCGACATGTCCATATTGGTGATATGACTTGGATATCATTATCATTATAGTTACTGTTATTGATGTGTATTTCTTGTCAGATCACCAGAACGGAAGGTTCCATCCAAGATTTCATCAAGAGAACCCTTTGTGGTATCCAGGCAGCTGAATTCCAACGTAATCTGGTAGAGCTGGCTCAGAATGCTCTACAGCAGGTCATGGATCTCTCTCTGGTGAAGAAAACTGAGGATAATGTACTGGAAGTGACAAGGATAGGACAGGCTGCCTTTAAAGGTACTTCCTTTATTCCATTATGATGGATGTAAAGACAGAAACTGATTACTTCACTAATTCCATTTTTCTTAGTTTGTTTCATATAGGGCTTGTGTAGAAACTTATGCGCAATGATTATATTTAGAGTGCATCTTTGAATAATTTCTTTAGAGTAAATACCGTAATTAACGGTGTATAAACCGCCCTCGTGTATTAACCGCACCCCTCTTTTTCGCCAGGTCCTTGTTAAAAAAACCCATGCAGGAAGGCCTTTCATTTAACTGAGAGGTGCAGCTGAATGTGTAAGATCATTAATGTAAATTAAAAAACAGTAGAGGACCTAGGATAGAACCTTGTGGTATGCAGTGTATTATTATTATAAACTACATTATAAGATCTATCAGAAAGATTACTTTCAAACCAAAATGACAGACAAATTTAAGTGTTGTTCTAGTTTCCGAGTGGTGAGTCAACACACCGATTACTGAGCTGGGAGACATTGCCAGGCATAGCGCCAGGTGGAGGGGCATTTTTTTGGGGGGGGGGGGGTGTACCGTGTATAAACGGTACTCCCGACTTGGCATTTTTTTCACCGGCAAAAAGATGCGGTTTATACACCATTAATTATGCTAGACATTTTGTAATGTTTAAATTACATCAAAGAGTTGCCAAATTTGTATTTGATTGTTTTCACCTTTACATATTAATAAATTTTGTTCCATTTTTCTCTAATTTTTCTGCATGTAAAAACATAAAAATGCCACGGTGCACCTCCCCATTGAAATGTTCTGTACAAATCCTTTGAAAATGATTTTTGGAATAGAAGACTGCCAACATTCATTGAATAAGAGCAATCTCCCCTTCACCTTTCCTAGTCAGAAAGTAGTAATTTTAAAGAGCGAGGTGTTATGAATAACAGTATTATTATCATTTGATGTGTCTCAATTTTTTTATCAGGCTCTGTTGATTTAGATATGTGTTCCACCTTGTATGATGACCTGAAGTTTGGCTGTGACAAGGGATTGGTCCTAGCTAACTCACTTCATCTGCTCTACTTAGTGACTCCATATGATCAAATAGACTCAGCTAGACCAAACTGGATGATCTATATGACACAGGTATTATGTTTAGACCTCTCTCTTTGATCTTAACTGACTCACTCATAAAAAGTATAGAAACAATCGGTATTTATCTAACTACTACTGCTAAAACTTAAGGACCATTGAGATTATTCAAACTGACTTGGTTGAAGTGTATTTAGAGATGAACCAAATATTTCATGAGTTCAAAGGTCTTATATTCATTGATTAATTAGACTGGGCTAGATGTATATTAAGGGGAACCAAAACCTTCATACTAAGCTACTTCTATTATAAAGTTTAAGATATTTGAATAAAATCAGTGAAAATTTGAACAAAATCAGGCAAGGAATAAGGAAGTTAAAGCTTTTTTAAATGACTAGTCACTAGAGGGCGATATTCAATTTGATGACATCATTTGTGGACAATAAAAGTAACTTAGTATGAAGGTTTTGGTACCTTTAAAGACATTGCATATGAAACAACTAGACAGTAAATGTAGAAAAGATGTATCATGCTCATCTACCGTATCTTAACAATTTGTCTTCTTGTTTGGTAGTTTTCAAGCTTGAGTGATTCTGAGCACAAAGTGGCCGAACTGGTTGGCGTGTCTGAGTTCTACATGCAGTGCAAGATGACTGGTCGTTCCAGTAAAAAGTTTGTAAGTAACCTTAAAAGGTGGAGGACGTTTTTCGGCAGTGTAGTCATTGATGAAGAGCTTATGAGTACTTGAGTTATAAATGCTTTGTTTTGTAACAAGAAGATTCAGACTTCTAAATCATTGTATTTCATGATTCATTGATAACTTTAAATCTCATCTCTGTTTGACCGAAAGTATTCTTATCAAACCTTGATCTAGTTTGCTAGAGCATTTTCATCCCTCAAGCTGCCATATTAACTTTCATACATCATGTATAAACACCCCCATCAGGTTGAAATATCAGTGCAACAAAGGTCATTTGGTATACTTGTGTAATTATTTTTCTCACACTAGCTCTACATTTTTTAACAGTGATGTTTAAACACAATCTTGATATTTTTGTTGTAATTGATCATGGTGACTTGAGGATTTGACTGGGTGAAATATGAGGAATTTATCACTTTATTTGTTGCCACACAATAAAGAATAGATAGAAGAGCCCATCAATTTTAAATTCTTACACCCAGACTCCAGCCCTAGAGAGAAGAACTCATTGCTTCTGTCTCACCCTAAAACATCTGGGGAGTGTTTCACAAAGACTAAGATTGACATTAAGTTGGACTTAACTATGGCAGGCCGTTCATGCCACTGTTTGCTCTCACTATTTACTGGCATTGGTTTCTCAAGGGCGTACACACCGTGGTCACAAATCTACAGCATTTACATTCTTTGATGGTTCATTATTGAAGGAAAAAATATTATCTAAAGATCATGATTGAGAGACCAATGGTGAGAGCAACCAGTGGCATAAATTGCCTGCCATAGTTAAGTTCAACCTAAGGTTGATTTTAGTCTTTGTGAAACACCTCCTGGGCTATTACTAAGGCTGGAAATTAACACAAAGATAGAAGGACATACCAATCTTATCTCACTTTAACTCTTCAACTCTATACCCAGACGCCAGCCTTTAATAGAGAGAAGAGCTCATTGCTTCTATTTCACCCTAATGCATGTACATCTATTCTATTACCTAATGCTAGAAATCAATACAAAGATAGAAGAACCTTTCAGTGTTATCTCACTTTCCCTCTTCAACTCTGATCTTTTACCCAGACGTCAGCCTTAGAAAGGAGAGCTCACCACTTCTATTTCACCCTAATACATGTACATCTATGCTATTACCTAATGCTAGAAATCAATACAAAGATAGAAGAACCTTTCAGTGTTATCTCACTTTAATGCATCCAAATTAAAAACATATTTGTTCAATTGAGAGATCCTATTTTGTAGAATTTAGTAAAAAAGGAGATCTGAACCAGCGCAGCTGAATATATTTTGTATAAAAGCTGTGCTATATTTATTATTATTATCAACTGTGTTCTTTTACCCAGACCCCAGCCTTAGAGAGGAGAGCTCACCGCTTCTATCTCACACTGATGCTCTGGGAGATGATGAAGAGGAAGAGCATTTGGGAGGTAGCTGCTAGGTTTGATACACCACGAGGGTTCGTGCAAACTGTCTTCACATCAGCTGCCAGTTTTGCCTTCTCAGTTCAAAGATTTTGTGCGGTAGGTACATTCTTGAGTTATATCTACAGTTAATAGAAGTCCAATGTGATTTTGAACATGTTCTAGAGAATCGCCAGGAGGGATGTGCAGTTGCCCAATGTATGATACAATGATATCTTGTATAGTCCAAACAATTTCTGTTAATGCTGTTTTGTTTTTTGTTATATGTTGTTTTTTTTGTTTTTCATTTGAACACAAAACTCATGGAGCTCATAAAGTAAACATTGGATATGAAAAGTAAGACATGCACATCACACAAACTCACTGATTTTTAACTACGGTATCGCTTTAAATACATTTTACAGCACTATTTTTTACCAAACATTTTTTTGAAGAATCACACAAAGTTTTAAAGATTCGATAAATGTATCACATACCTGAATTGACTGGCATTTTTGTATTCCTCAATGATTTCGGCAATCACCCACATCTCAAGCAAAGGCTGCTACCACTGAGCCATCACGCCTCCTTTTGCAATATACTTTTGCAATGGTATGTTTAAAGCACATGCAAGTGAATCGGTAGTTGAGGAAGTTGTAGAAAGTTCAAGTTGGTTGTTTCAAGTTTAATGGTGATTTTCTTGCAGGAACTTGAAGAGTTCTGGGCTGTTCATCAGCTTCTCACCAAGCTAGTGTATGATCTGACATACTGTGCCACTACAGATCTCATGCCACTCCTTGAGATACCAGGCGTTAAACAGGTAAGACAAGGAAAGACCAGATACTATGGAAAATTGCCACAAGAACTTTGCTTTTATTCATGATAATACATTGTAGCTATAATTGACTTTGAATTTGAATTTGTTGTTAAGCTAGGAGATTCAGCCTTCAAGAATATCTCTGGGAATATAACTGAAGCTAATTTTGTGATAACCAGAGCTTGTAACTTACAACAATATAACAGTTGTGAAATTTGATATTTACCATTAAACAGTAAGAAATCTTTTGAAATTAGTTTCATTATTAGAGACATTTACGTGATATTTATGATACATCTATGATTATCAGGACCTTTTCTTATGAAATGTGTTGTAAATAATAACCCCAATAGGTAATTTGCAATGTGGAATATATCTAGGTATGTACCAATTGCAACCCTTTGAGAGACAGGGACCACCTTTTCAGTATTGATGTCAAGTCTTGAAGAAGTTATACCGTAATCAACATCAGGGTTTATAACGCTTTACAGTTGATCTGTCTGTTATTCTTTGGTTTGGATAGGGCCGAGCCAAGCAGTTAGTGATGGCAGGTTACAAGACTCTCCATCATCTAGCCCATGCTGATCACGCAGATCTCGTCTCAAAGATTGATTATCTACCCATCAAGGTGGCACAGCAGATTGTAGCGTCTGCAAAGGTATGTCATAAACCCAGTTAAAGGGATCATTTAACAATGTTAAATCTGAGATGCATGGCCCTACGTGTTATCAGTGTCTGTGATATGGTGTAATATTGAAGCCCTAAACAAATTGCGCTTCAAAATGATCATGAAGTGCTTCAAAAAAGTAAAAAATCTTTGAGTGTCAGGTTTTACCATACTTGTTTTTCCCAATAGACTGTAGTGTTATGAAAAAAACGTTAGGCAAACGCAAAATGTGGTTTCGATTTCCAATCATAAATATCTTTATAATAAGACAGGCGATCGGCTTGTAAAAGTCATGGGATTCCTGACTGACCTAAAGGTTTATAACTATGATTGCAGCATGAGCTAAATCCAGGATTTTGTTTCAGGCAATCTGAGGCAATGTTACTGAGTCACTTTAAACCCAGTTAATACAACCACAAAAAACCTGTGGTCTCCAGAGCTCAGTACCATTATCACCACTTGCAGAGGAGATTCAGTAGACAGTTCAGAACTCAGACAATTAACCATTTTAACAAAATATTTGAAATATTTCATTTCTTTTGCTCAAACATATTTCATGTACATCTTTTGACCATAACAACATAATGTGCTCAATCTTTGCATGATATTTGGAGAGATTAGTGTTACCCACTTGTACAAATTAGAGTAGAACAAAGAGAATAATAAGAATAATCATGCAGGGTATAGTTGTTTGAAGAGAAAACCCTATTAAAACTGTTGGGTACTAGATAGAGTTGCATGTCTTCTTACATTATTGTACAATAGGCTAATAGAGGACTCAGTGGAATACCTGCACTTGTCTTGCTCTTTCATAACGTACAAAGTTCACATATGGTCCAGAGACATGGGACACGTGTGAAAAGTATCGGCAAATGGCTCAGGTCAAAGGGTGCTGTTCTGAGAGAACACTTGACTGAAATGGCACTCTATATTGCATTTAGTGCAAGAGGTTTTTTCTCACTCAAAATATTTTTTTTTTTAAGCATGTGTTTGGTCATTTAAAGCATTGCCCCTGATTTCATGACTTGTACTATTATAATGAGCAGATTGATGGTCTTCTTATCTTCCAACCTCAGTTATAACATACATGTAAACATCCAGAAGGCCTATTGAATTATTGCAGGTCATCTTTCTTATTTTTTGCAATACCACCTTCATTTATGCGAAAACAAAGGGAAATACAAATACAATAAGGGGCCTATATTCGACTTGATAATTGTATCCCCCGGCAGTATGCCGGTGGGGTACTTTGGATTCAGCAGCATTACGCCGCCGCCGCCGCCGCCGCCGCCGCGTCATATTCTTGTGTGCGCTCTCACTGCCACATTTCTTGATGGATTTCTTTCAAATTTTGTATGGAGGTGTATCCTGGTATAATCTACATACCTATAACTTTTGGTGATGCTGCCCCCAGTGTTCCGTCTTCTATAGGGTACAAGGCCATATTTTTGTGGATGGTTTGTGTGCGCTCTATAGGCCACATTTTTAAAGGGATTTTGTTCAAATTTTGAACGAAGGTGTATCTTGGTATAGTCTACAAGCCTATAGATTTTAGTGATGCTGCCTCCAATGTTCCGTCTTTTATAGGGTCAAAGGTCATATTTTGATAGATGTCTTGTGTGCACTCTAGTGTGCGCTCTAACTGCCACATTTCTTGACGGATTTCTTTCAAATTTTGTATGGAGGTGTATCCTGGTATCATCTACATACCTATAACTTTTGGTGATGCTGCCCCCAGTGTTCCGCCTTCTATAGGGTACAAGGCCATATTTTTGTTTGTGTGCGCTCTATAGGCCACATTTCTAAAGGGATTTTGTTCAAATTTTGAACAAAGGTGTATCTTGGTATAATCTACAAGCCTATAGATTTTAGTGATGCTGCCTCCCATGTTCCGTCTTTTATAGGGTCAAAGGTCATATTTTGATAGATGTCTTGTGTGCACTCTAGTGTGCGCTCTAACTGCTACATTTCTCTACGGATTTCTTTCAAATTTTGTATGGAGGTGTATCCTGGTATAATCTACATACCTATAACTTTTGGTGATGCTGCCCCCAGTGTTCCGTCTTCTATAGGGTACAAGGCCATATTTTTGTGGATGGTTTGTGTGCGCTCTATAGGCCACATTTTTAAAGGGATTTTGTTCAAATTTTGAACGAAGGTGTATCTTGGTATAGTCTACAAGCCTATAGATTTTAGTGATGCTGCCTCCAATGTTCCGTCTTTTATAGGGTCAAAGGTCATATTTTGATAGATGTCTTGTGTGCACTCTAGTGTGCGCTCTAACTGCCACATTTCTTGACGGATTTCTTTCAAATTTTGTATGGAGGTGTATCCTGGTATCATCTACATACCTATAACTTTTGGTGATGCTGCCCCCAGTGTTCCGCCTTCTATAGGGTACAAGGCCATATTTTTGTTTGTGTGCGCTCTATAGGCCACATTTCTAAAGGGATTTTGTTCAAATTTTGAACAAAGGTGTATCTTGGTATAATCTACAAGCCTATAGATTTTAGTGATGCTGCCTCCCATGTTCCGTCTTTTATAGGGTCAAAGGTCATATTTTGATAGATGTCTTGTGTGCACTCTAGTGTGCGCTCTAACTGCTACATTTCTCTACGGATTTCTTTCAAATTTTGTATGGAGGTGTATCCTGGTATAATCTACATACCTATAACTTTTGGTGATGCTGCCCCCAGTGTTCCGTCTTCTATAGGGTACAAGGCCATATTTTTGTGGATGGTTTGTGTGCGCTCTATAGGCCACATTTTTAAAGGGATTTTGTTCAAATTTTGAACGAAGGTGTATCTTGGTATAGTCTACAAGCCTATAGATTTTAGTGATGCTGCCTCCAATGTTCCGTCTTTTATAGGGTCAAAGGTCATATTTTGATAGATGTCTTGTGTGCACTCTAGTGTGCGCTCTAACTGCCACATTTCTTGACGGATTTCTTTCAAATTTTGTATGGAGGTGTATCCTGGTATCATCTACATACCTATAACTTTTGGTGATGCTGCCCCCAGTGTTCCGCCTTCTATAGGGTACAAGGCCATATTTTTGTTTGTGTGCGCTCTATAGGCCACATTTCTAAAGGGATTTTGTTCAAATTTTGAACAAAGGTGTATCTTGGTATAATCTACAAGCCTATAGATTTTAGTGATGCTGCCTCCCATGTTCCGTCTTTTATAGGGTCAAAGGTCATATTTTGATAGATGTCTTGTGTGCACTCTAGTGTGCGCTCTAACTGCTACATTTCTCTACGGATTTCTTTCAAATTTTGTATGGAGGTGTATCCTGGTATAATCTACATACCTATAACTTTTGGTGATGCTGCCCCCAGTGTTCCGTCTTCTATAGGGTACAAGGCTATATTTTTGTGGATGGTTTGTGTGCGCTCTATAGGCCACATTTCTAAAGGGATTTTGTTCAAATTTTGAATGCAGGTGTATCTTGGTAGAATCTACAAGCCTATAGATTTTGATGATGCTGCCCCCAGTGTTCCGTCTTTTATAGGGTCAAAGGCCATATTTAAAGGAATATCTTGTGTCGCTATTCAAATCACATTTCTTTCAAATTTTCTATAAATATGCATCATAATCTGATCTACACACCTATTGTTTTGGTGATGCTGCTCCTAGTCTTGACAATAGTCTGAGCCACTTGCGGCAATCTCTACGTCATCCTTTTGTTTCACAAAGAGGAGAGGGAATCTTTGTCCCTCCTCCCACATAAGGATAACACAAAATCGCTGCCACTACCGGGGGATACATTTGCATTGCGCGGCAATACAGATTGCGATATTTCTAGTGTTAACTTGTCTTCTTGTGAAGCACCAGGAGTGTCAGGTTTGACTGGCATAAGTGCTATATACACTATGAATATAACTGACAAAAAAAGCGGACAAAATATACAGTTCCTCAGGTAGACAAAGGAACATCCCTTCACTGCTATTATGTAAAAAGTAAATATGCATGTGACACCTGTTCTACACATTTTTACATAATAGCAGTGAAGGGATGTTCCTTTGTCTACCTGAGGAACTGTATATTTTGTCCGCTTTCTTTGTCAGTCATGTTCATAGTGATAAGAACCCACTATTATTATTGTTTTTGTTGTTATCATTATTATTCTATTGTCATATAGTTAATCTTCTTTTGACTATTCTTTTGACAGATGGCGCTAGCAGAGCGAATTGAGGCATTAACTGATGAAGCGGAGGAGCTCACAAGTTCACCAGATCTGTCTAAGAACACATCAATAACAAAGTAATATTCAATGAAGACGTCTACACCAGACAATAAGAATTCATGCATGATTGTCATTCTCAGGAAGTCTAATCGTTTTCACAGTTCCCAATTCCAATACCATTTTAGCAACTACTTTTGGCCAGTCAAATTGGAATTTTAATCAGTTGACCTACAGTTTAGATATTTATTAACCAGTTATCCATTTTATTTATTGCCCAATGCTGATTGTACATGTAACAATGAAATAATGAGGGTATTAATTGTTAAAAGTCTGAAAAGCTGAATCAGGCTTTCAGAAAAGGAGGGGTCAATTCCCAGTGGTCCTTTTGAGGGTTAATTAAGTTTTCAGTCTGTAACCATAGTAGAGTGGGATATACCTTCCACAGGCATGAAATACATGTATGAACTTGTCTAAATACAACTCTATGATGTTTGCAGATGCATCCCATTACGTGCGCTTAAGTATAACTATGCGCACCATATAATGTACTGCACATGAAAACCGCATACCTGTTAATCAAGGCCTGTGAAATAATATCCTCTGAATATAGGTACGGGGAACTGGCATGTTGTGCAATTAGAATACCACTTAAAGCTAATCTTGAGCTCTGGTGTGGGAATTGTAATTTGAGATAAAATTGCTATGATTTATTCTGGATTGTAATCCTGCAGTAGATTGGTTGTTTGAACCAGTAAAACCAACTGCACAAAATAAAAACAAATGCACAAAAACTAATACTGGCCATCATCTTCGATAAAACCACAACTATTATTTGCACATAGTGACCTGTGTTAAGCCCATGGTGTCGGGCTTAATTACCTGGATTACCTTATTTTTCTATGCTCATTACCCAGCCACCATACATTTTATACCAAAATTGTTTGGCACATGTCATTCATTTGTAATCTTGAACATTCAGTGTAAGTTTCATTGGATTTTGTGAGAATTTATTTTCTATATTTACCAGAACTCAAGTTCATCTTTAAATTTGCTTTAGCAATGCAACTCCTTAAAATCTGAACATTTACAGGCCTGGGCCCTGTTTCATGAAACTTGTTATTAATAACAAGTCACAATAACTAATATGACTACTGAAATACTTGCATTTGATTGGCTGAGAGCTAATTTGTCGTAGAATCTTAGCATTTGTTTACTGATAACAAGTTTTTATGAAACAGGGTCCTGCTCACAGTGTTGCCTTCACAGATTCTTATGGTAAGAGCTAGTGCACTAACTAACTGCAAGGTCCTTCATTAAAACCCATTGTCTACTGAATTCTTTCGTTCCCATTGACTATAATACAGGAGCTACTGGATTCCCATGGGCTGTGGGTTAACAAACCATGAATGTTCTATGTGCACATTGATCAGGGCTTATATTCAATTCAGTACATGTAACAAGCCAGTGTTTTACTGCTATGCAAGGCTTCAAAATTGACATTTTCTATGGCTCATTTCTTCTTAAATTGTGTTAAAACGTTAATAGTACTGTAAACACTGCTGATATATGTATATTTATTTATATTGGGTATCACTTTAATAGATCCCTCATTGTTGTTTCATCTATTTTCTTATAATTTGCAAAAAATGTATTTATGTCAATATTCTAATTTATCATATACATGAGTATATTATATTATATATAATTTTGAAACGTGCTAGTATTTATTTTGCTTCTGGGATTGATTTGGATCTTTTTCATCCTTCTGTTGATGATTTTTTTTCTTTAATGATTTAAAAAGTACATGCTCATTATTGGGGATTATACTGATATGAAGAAGAAAACAAATTTAATTTTGACCCTTTTAGACCAAGTGTCTGAATTATCAATCACTTATCTTTTGGCTTGTTGGAACTGGAATAAATATGTCATACATTTGTAACAGCAAGATGATGCACGTATAGATTAAGGGATATTATACTGCAGAAGATGGTATTCATGTAGTCATGATTATGATATATCATGAAATATATATTTATTTATTTATATGTCTATTGTGTTCATTGTATTTTACATATAAATGTATTTGGTAGATATATATGTCACTCAGGCCTTATATCATTGTGATGAAAAATGATTTTGTTGAACTCTATTAATTTTTCACCACTAAAGCTCAAGAATACATTGAGTATGCCAGAGTGTGAATGAAAGAAACATTCTATTAAATCATTTGAAATGAAGAACTTTCAATGTTTGTTTTTATTTGTAATTAAACTCTTCTGTTTTGTATTTAGGTATGCCTAAAAAATTCAGACTTTAATATTTAATATCCTTTTTTCTCAATATCTCTTTCTCTATATATTTGCAGAAACCTCTTCAAAAATATAATTCTTAACTTTGTCATTCCCTTTCTGGCATTCTCTTTTAAAAAAAATAATTTACATTTTATCTCGTCTTTTTCCCACCTCTCCCTCCCTAAATTCATTTCTCTCTCTCTAATCCCTCTGATCTCTCATATCTCCCCCTCCTCCCTCTCACAATTATCTGTCCCATCTCTCCATCACCTCCTCAGACATTGTATCCATTCCTTAGCCATCCAATATGTGTGTATTATTTCCCTTGAAAGCTTTCTCTATGCCATTTTAATTTCAATTTCCTCACCAGTTCTCTTATCCTCAACTTTGACTGGAAGTTCACTCTCCTTTGTCATATTTTTCTTATTCATCTTTTCTTCTCTCTTTGTGTCTCTCATCCCCCTCCGTCTTGTTTTCCTCTCTTACAACATACTCTCTATCTCGTCCCCCTACATGTATCTCTCTCTATCTTTCCCCTCTCCCTCTATATCTCTCTCGCACACAACACCCCCCCCCCCCCTTGTCTCCTTTTTTCCTCTCTCAATCTCTATCTATCTCTCCCGTCCTCCCATCTCTCTACTGTCATGCAGAAATTAAGTAGTAATATGTAACCTCATGGTATTTTAATAAAGGAAAACATTTTATTACATAACTTCTCAAAACTGTTGCATACAAAATTAATAAGACATTTTGTATCTACCTTATTCCTTGTGCTTTAGAAAAATAAAATACTGTTATAGCATGATAAATGCAACTAAAAATGTTTCTGTGTACACAGTTGACATTGTAGTGTTAGGGTGGTACATACAAAATTTACAAACTGTTGAGAAAGAATTTCTTAAAGGATTCCTTACCCCTTACTGCATTTGATTTAGCAATTTATTCTCCACCATCGCATTTGATGTCAAATTTATAACACTCTTTGGGTGAGAGAACTAAGGCTTGTTCATAAAGTGATGTTCCTCACAATAGCATACCATTGCCATTACCTTTTGAGCTAACACAGACTGAGACTACACAGGATACATTTAATTGGGGCTGATACAGTACCATATACATACATCAAAAGGCCCTATCATGGATTTACTAGCCCTCACAAACTTATCTCAAAAACTTATCTGCAGCAGAAGATGATTTTATGAAAGTATATGCACAATTTCAGATCAACAGACCTTGTGGTTTTCTCTCTATGACTAAAAATTGAAGCCCCTGTTTTGTACACAACAAATGGGGGTAAATAAATCACTGCCAGTTGCAGTCTAAATTTGAAAAGAAAAATGACTGTAATTTTGCTGACAATAAATATTTTGCCACAATACTTTTAGAACAGTTTTGAATTATGATTTTGTCCAACATTTTTTTCCCTTCAAGTTTTGAGATTTTCACCTTGCAAATCCCTGCAATGCCCTTTATCAAAAAAGCTGCTCACATACATGTAGATAAGAAACAAATGCAGTCATACAAATGCATGAAACATAAAACTAGACAATAATAAGAACTACATACAATTTAAAGAATGAAATATCAACACATAAAAAAAGAGACTTTAAGATTTTTAAGAGGGTTCATCTCATGACAGTCTGTCGGCTGAAGAGGTCAAGGGTCACAGAGCTAAGGAATGCTGGGATACTATGACCATGGAGTAGGAACTCCTCTACCATGTGACTTAAAGATGAAGAGAACTCATTGGCTAGTAGATCCATTTCACCAGCTGGGGTCATCTATAAAGTAAAGAGATTCATTCATATCATAAATCATGCTGTAGTATAGGAACACATGTGAATGATACCCATACTTTATTTATCAATGACATCCATATCACTTTAATTCATCTGTATATGGAAAGTACTCCTACTTTTCTGTGTTAAATGGCTAAATATTGCATCTTACTTTTTGTATTTAGTTAATAAAGCAAGCCTTTGAGCTGGAGGGTCCCATCTTTGAAACCATGCTACTTTTAACAAGCTCTTATGTAATGCACTATTAGTTGCTACTTTATACTTGATTTGTAAAATAAACATATACACTTTTTCATTCATGTAAGTACTTTTACCTCAATACTTTTGTACATGTACACATATACACAAGTGTCTCAGCATATATAGTCAGTAGCTTGTTTTTTTCTTTTTTAAAGATTGCACAAACCTGAAAATGTAGTATATCATTAGGTGACTCTGCATACATGGATAGCAGCTTGTATTGGTTGGTTGTAGGATTATTAATCTGGTATCCCGTCAACCGATAGCACGCTTGACGGAACTCCTGGATCTTCTGCGCAAATACCTCCTTTAGTCGCTGATTGCGTAACTCTGACAACCCAAGCTCTTTCCTTACATCTGTATTGAAAAAACAAATGCAGATGTTTATTTCTATTACTGTTTTAATCCTTTTTCCAAAGGCATATTTACATGGACATCTAGATGCAAGTTGAGAATATTGCCCTCGACATCTTTCATTTACAATGACTGATATGATAATCTCTTGCTATGACTAGATAGCATATATCTTGTATTGCTCTTATTCTGTTCATCTCTGATCCCATGTAATGACTACTTATAAAAAGGAGGTTCTTAATTATCCTGTTTAGCGGCCCAGAAATATTCTGAAAACAGGTGTCAGGCATACAAAAATACCAACTGCCAACCTAAGGGTGACAGAACAAATTCCCCTAATACACCATTATGCATAACTATCATTTTTCTTGTTTGAGGTATGTAATAAAATGGTTTTTCAAATCATGTGATAGCATTAGGAAACAGATAAATTTTAGGCCTAGGATGAGGTATTTGCGATCGAGCGAAGTGAACAAACACAATTTTGTTTGGATTTGAGCCAGTCAGTGGTGGTTTATTACTATCAACTTCTAGCTTAACAAAATCAAATGACTGATTGGTTTTGTTTTGTTTTGACTAAGTATTTCTGGTGGGCCGCATCAAATCATCTAGATCGTACATGGCTTGCTACCTCAGGATCAAGGGTATAGAACACAAACTGACCGATTTGTTTTGTTTTGTTTCTAATAAATATTTCTGGCTGGCAGCATCAAATTTAGATCGTACTTGCTTGCTACCTCAGGATCAAGGGTACAGAACATACCTTGTACTGCTCTAGTCTGTTCCTCTCCGATGCGATTAGCTACGGTTTCACTAGAAGCGCCTTCCCCTGAGGACTCCTCTAGAACCCTCACACGCTGCCTCAAGGTCTCACACTCTGCTCTTAATCTCTCCAGCTCTTCTCCTCGTTGCTTCTTTGCCATCGCTGCTGGGTTCATGCTGAATGTTATAATCTTTGTCTTCGTTGGGTCGTAGTCTCCCTGCATTAAAGAACAATATGGATCGACATTACTTTTTGTTTGTATACATTGATAGAGCATTTGTGAAAAACTGTCACTACTACTAATACTAATGAAAATATTGCATATTCATGTATTCCAAAAAGAAAAGTAATATAGCGCTTTAAAACCTCAGATTTGCAGAGTAACAAAACTAATCATTAATTCATTAAGTACGTACATCATATTATATTACTGGGGAAAGAAGTACATTTTAAGGGGTCTTTTGAAAGTGACAAGACCAGCTATGTAGGATGCAGTCCTTTTTTAGTGAGAATCATATCAGGACAATCAAATGAATCACTGCTACTCAGATGTTTCCCCAATCAAGATAGAAACTATTTCCAATTACGTTTTCTTAATATACACAAGACTATGTCATTGTTGTAACTTCCGGAGCCTATGACCTACAAGCATTGCTTTCTCTTTAGGCTCCATCATATTTCTTCCCTTATTCAACTTAGTCTTATGTATCATTCTTTTTTTTGTTTGTATAAACGCATCCTAAAATGAGTTCAAAATGTAACATGCTATATGTAATGATGTACTATACAACATGTGAGAAATATGAAAATAAACTGAGACTGAAACTGAAACTGAATATCCATTTCAACTTTTTCCTGATTTATTTGAATAGATTTGTCCCCAAAATAAGAGAAAATCTTTGGGGAAAATCCTATAACATCCTGTAACTGAGGAGCTTGATCATTTTATCAAGTATACTGTCTGATATCTTTAGACTAGATTACCTTCAGTGCACTCCTTTCAAGATGAAGCTCCAGGCTTTCATTCCTCTCTGCTAGTTTCTTACACTCCTCCTCAAGCTCCTCCACTCTCTTCTTCAGTTCTTCATCTGATTCAGACGTTCCTCCTGGCACTATCTTGGAAAGAGATTCCTTGGTCATGGTAAGCTCATCCTTCAAGTGAACCAACTCAAGCTCTAGCTGTAAATTAAAAACAAAAACAAGCATCAACAACCTCATCTTTAATTTGAATTGACCAGGGGTGATAGTGAGCACTAAAAATCCTCAAATCCTTTTTTTTTTCCCCTCAACGATGCCCCCCTTGAGTAAAAAAAAAAGAAAGAAGAGGATTCAGGGGAAAAACTGGCATCTAACACAACATTCCCCTCCCATTTGAGTAAGAAAAATTGGGCAATAATAGGGAAAAATAGGGAAGAATAGATAAAAATAAGGGAAAAATAAGGGAAAAATCGGGGGGGGGGGGGGGGGGGAATCGGGTAAAAAAAAAAAGACGGAAAAAAAAATGTTTTTATCAGACCTGATCGACTCAGACTGTAATTGTGAATAGACAATAGACATATCATCTCACACTCGTTTTTGAAAAAAAAATTCAAGACGACCGACTACACGCCTCTTACCCCTCTAATACTTCATTCACATTGCCAAACAGACTTTGATCCAATTAAAAAACTGACCTATTTTTTACCATTGGGGGAAATGACCAGTAGTACCCAAACATATGCCCATCATGCCTTTTCAACGACAGCACCTATGTTATTGAATGGGCATCCTGACCAGCTTTGGGAGGTTACAGGCATGGAGAGATTCAGGAGAGCCTGGAACACTTATTTACTTTGAAGGAAATGAATGAGGCTGTTCTGCTTGTGGTTTTCTTTGGGTTTGCTGGGACTCGTTCCACAGGGTAGATCCATTTTTCACAATATGGGCTCATTTCGCATGTAGTTTATTTATCAATTACATTATGTTATTACTTCTGGTTGAATTGCTCTTATATCCAAGTACTTTATGTTGTGATTCCATAAATGTTGATGCATTATTATTTTTTTTTTAAATGTGAAGCGCATATAGAATTCAACAAATTATTATGCGCTATATAAGCACTTTCCATTATTATTAATGTAATTATTTGTGGTCTGTTGTTGGTCGGGTGTACATCTTTTTCCCATGACTGGGGTATCGTTGATTAGCTACTGATATTTTATGAAACAGAAAATATTCATACCTGTTTGACTTGCAGTCTGTAGTGCCCAGCCTCTTCTTTACTCTTCGCTAGAGCCGCATCAAGCTGCTCAATCTGACGATGACACATCTGAACGTTCTCTTCAGCTTGCTTTAGTCTTGTATTAGCTTGTAACTCAAAGCCTGAGTGGGTGACCTCTGCATCGTAGGAGTTCAAGATCTGCCTCATCCCATCACGCTCCTGAAAATCACATGACAAATAAGAAATCACATGACAAATAAGAAATCACATGACAAATAAGAAATCACATGACAAATAAGAAATCACATGACAAATAAGAAATCACATGACCAATAAGAAATCACATGACAAATAAGAAATTACATGACAAATAAGAAATCACATGACAAATAAGAAATCACATGACAAATAAGAATTATGAAAAACAACACTCTAAACTTCATTTTGCAAACCCTGTTCAAGCTATCATCAACACCATTATGAACAAGAAACATGAAATGCTCAAACATTTTTGTTCATTGCAAGGTTTCATTTTGCAAACCCTGTTCAAGCTATCATCAACACCATTATGAACAAGAAACATGAAATGCTCAAACATTTTTGTTCATTGCAAGGTTTCTACTTCATCCGGGCCTTCATCAGAACTTACCCATTTTAAGAGTGGTAATTTTAACTGCTCAATTTTTAATATGTCACCTAAACAAGGTTTACCCTTCTTTGAAATTAAAAAAGAAAATAGATTATAAAGAATGAATTCGGGGGGCCCTGTTTCATAAAACTTTTCATCTATGACAAGTGTCCCATTTCTATAACTAATTCGTTCACAGACAATCACATTCAACAACTTTGGTAGCTTATAACAGTATTGTAACTTGTTCTTGATAACATGACAAAGGCCGATTCCCCAAACACCTTTTCTTTTTAATCATGGAGAACATTAACAAACCCCAAGATCAAGAGTGTGACGGAGTCAAGTCTTACTGACCTTGGTTAACATGAGCAGTCTCCTCTGAAGTCTTTTCACTAGATCATTTTGTTGTTTATTCTGCTCTTTTTCCTTTACGAGCAGCTGCTTCATGGACTTGAGATCTCCCTTTGTTGCTTTGTATGCCTCCTCATGGGAGTGAGCACTGGTCAGGAAAAATCAATAATTCATATTCATATCTCATCTCAGAAGTTGAGGAAAATAAAAACTAAGACAATAGATGTGAATACCGGTACTACTAGTGGATGAAGATAATTAATGATTTACAGGAAATGCATTTAAAATCTGCTTTCAAGTAATATAATCTGATCTCATTTAAACATATGATGAAGTGCTTGTTATAAATATCTATGTATGATGTTAGCCGTGATCTTGTATCTGAATAAAGATTTATTATAACAAAAAATATTCATATCTCATGGAGATAAGGCTAATCAATGATCTTCTGGAATTATGATCAAGGAATATGATGTGCATTGTCATACATACTTGTACATGATATCACATGCAAATAAAAGGCTGTTAAATTGCACACATCTGCATGTATATGTATGACAAATTGTGGAGTGTCATGAGATAGCGTCTCAGCAAAAAGAAAAGGGATTGCTCTCAAACAAATTTACATAATAATATAATATAAAATACACATTCTGGGCTTTTTAGGAACAAGAGTTAATGTTAATCAATAGCCGGAGTCAAAACTTGGAATATATTGTTGATGTTTCAAGGGCCAATGTACAGTACATGTATGTATCAACCATACTCAAATGTTTGCAATTGTTGAAACTTATTATATGCTAAATAGAAAATGGAAAAGGTTTAGATCATATGTTACATAAAATGAAATTGCGTAATGCAAATACATTGTTTTGTCCTGTGTATGATTTAAAATCAGATTATAACAAAGATTTTGTAAATTACTACATTTTAAATATTTCATCACAGGATGATTAGATGGTTTATTACGTAAGCAAGAGAATATTGTAATGTACTTACCTTGCCATGTACTGGCCTTGCTGTTCTAATAAGCTCACTTGCCCCCTCTGTAGATCACATATCTTTTGGACCATCTCAGATGGTGACCTTGTGAAAAATAATAGTGAACAAATGAAAGCAGGTTTAATACATCTTAGTCTTTGCCTTAAAGCTTATCTGCCATAGTTTACAGGAAGGATTAGAGCGCCCAGCAAGGTCACTGGACAGGTGGTTATCTCATCAACTCAGCTCTCAGTTATCATAAGAAAAAGAGGATCATGGGGGACCAATGGTAACCGATTAGACATTGTTTGTTATATAGAGGGCGCAAGTAGCTACAAGTAGTGCAGTGGGCCTTTAAGAAAAGACATCTACGACAGACTGTTGCTCGACTAGCATCCTAAATAAAGAGGTTAAGAAGAGTCACGTTTGTTTATGACAACTTTATTCTATTTAATTCATTAGAGGATTCCAATAATTCTATTCCTTTTGTATATATATATATATATATATATATATATATAAAAAAAACCTATAGATTCCAAAATCTCCAATATCATGGAATTGTCTAGAATAAGTAAAAAAAAATAATGAGCTAGTCTTACTTAGGTCTTGAAGGTTGATCCCCACTGATGGATTCCCAGCGATGAAGCCTTGCTCTCAGATCTTCATTCTCTACCTGAAGCTCAGCCAGCTGAGTCGACCGTTCTTCTGCTCTCAAAAGTTTGGCTTCTAGTCCACTCATCTTCTCCTTCAGTAGACTGTTATTCTCACAGGTTTCTCTGTCAAAACAAGCCAAACATTGTCAAAATAAGCCAAACATTGATAAAATAAGCCAAACATTGCCAAAATAAGCAAATACACTGACGTAAAAAGCCAAACATTGTGATTGCATCACAGCTCTCTGTGTCGAAAGCTAACATAATACTTTTAAGCAAGCCAAAACGCCATTATTCTAGCAGGTTTCTTTGTCAAACCAAACCAAACATTGTCAAAATAAGCTAATAGAACGTGACAAGCCGACACACTGTGATTTTTCACAGCTCTCTGTGTCAAAAGCTAACAAAACATTGTTTAAAATAAGCCAAAACGCCATTATTCAAGCAGGTTTCTGTGTCAAAACAAGCCAAACATTGTCAAAATAAGCGAATACACTGACATAACAAGCCAACACACTGACTTTTCCCAGCTCTCTGTGTCATAAGAAGAAAAGAATGTTTTGAAAAACAAGCCAATACACCATTATTCTAACAGGTTTCTCTGTAAAAACGAGCCAAAAGACAGTGAAAAACAAGCCAACATATTCATAATTCACAGATCTCTCTCTCTCTTGCTCTATCAAAGCAAGCCAACACACTGTCAAAAGATGCAAACACTCACACTGTCAATTATCAAAGAAAAAAGTTGAAGAGAACAAACATAATTACATTTTGAGAGCTGCTTTTTTAAAACACCACTCTTACAAATAATATGATTAATGGCAAAACAAAAAGAAATGAGATGAATTACCTGTAATAAGCATTTTCCTGTCTCAGTTTTGTATTTTCTAGTTCCAGTTTACCGACTTTCTGTACATCACTCTGGACCGCCCTGGCAACTACAGCACTGTCTTTCTGAGCTTCAATCTGTTGCTCGAGAACCTAGAAAACAAACACAGAATGTTTTCAAATTTATATCACAGATTGCATATCATGAAAAAAGATCAAGTGAAATCATAGTTATGATTTGTCTTGTTAAGTAATGTCAGACATTTCATTAGGAATTCAATGAGCTTTCCTCCCAGCAGCTGCCCCCCCCCCCCCCCACCAATGAAAGTGTATCCTTTAACAATCTATTGAATAATAAAACATGCATCATTGTAGACAGCCATCTCACATCTGCTGCACAATAATCAAGCTGACTTCACATAAAATAGTTTTCAATCATATAGTTTGTTCTGGCACTGAACACATTTGATTTTCTCGACTATGCTATATGACTACTACACGTATACAATTAGTTCATCACACTTAAAAGTACAAGGCCAGTAGAAGATTGTTGTCTTGCTGTTACAAGACAAAAATAATAACCCACAATCATTTTTGGTCTATCTTTGTCCAAATTATTTGGAGACAAATGCCAGATTTGTTGAATCTTTTGCAAGCAGTACTATAATCATACATCTTACTTAATACAAACAAATAAAAAAACACCCCAAAATAAACAAACAAACACAATTTATAAAAATATACTAATTGCTCCAAATTGATTGTATGTCTCCACATCAATTAGAAAGATACAGAGGCATTGCTTTATCTCTTATGTACAGAGTAACAGGATAGATGAATCATCACAACACACACCTTCTCAGGGATGCCAATTTTCGGGCAATAGCCTGAATTCAGGCCCTGGCGATTTATTTTCAGACCATAGTTTAGGCTTTTTTGTGTACAAAATAGCTCATTCTAGGTGATTTTCAAGCCCTCTGATCAATTCTAACTGGCATCACTGCTTTGTACATACCTGTATTTTGTGTTGAGCATTAACCAGCTGTGCCTTGTATTCCTCTATTGCTCTTCTTTGACTGCTTGCACCTATACCTCTCCTGAAACAACAATAACAAATCATCTGATATTGCATTGTGATTATCATTCCGCACTCATGTTGTGTATCTCATTTAAGAATGCACAAGGAGGTATACTATATTCTTTCATGTTTACTTCATTTGAGATTGGGCCTTTAATCATACACTGTAATAATAATAATAATAATTATAATAACTTTGTTTACCCAGGGAAGCCTCATCAGCATCAATGCTGTTCTTCCGAGGGCCCTGCGATTATTATTACCCCAGCAATAGCCAGGTACCCATTTACACCTGGGTGGAGAGTGGCAAATGTGGATTAATGCCTTACCAAAGCACGTTAGTGCCAGGCTGAGATTTGAGCCCTCACACTATGATTGAGAGTCTAGCAGTGAATGAACCACTTGACCACGACACCTCCACAAGATTGGACTCACATCATCATACCACATCTATCTTCTGGTACATCTGATGAAATTAACCTAAATAATATAAGGGTGGGCTTACTTCATTTGGTATCTCATTTGTGTTGTGGCCTCCTCCAAATCAGTCTGTAACAGCTTCATCTCAGCATCTTTCCTAGAAAGAAGGAAGAAGACGGAATCACCAAGTAAAATGGGTGTCTTTAGCATATCCAAACAAGACTAATTTTAGATGGTGCTTATAAGTATCGGCTTGCATGGTCTTGTAGATATACAGTAGGCTTACGGTTGCGTCATGTGAGAGAGGGGGGAGGATTGGGGAGTCCTGAAAAGGACTGTTGGTAATCTCTCTTTCTTGAGTGTGTGTGATTTTGTTTAATAACAGTCATGTAAAATAACTTGAACTTTATCCTTTTCAGGGATGTAATGCAATGTATATAGACTACAGTACTAATCTCTCTGGATTTCTTGCACTCAAAACTCTCAAACATTCTAAGTACACAAAAACAATTATCTAAGTACAACTAAATATATATATATAGTGCTTAGGCACATCGTTGGATCGGTGTATTGAGCGCTATATAAAAAAACAGATTATTATTATTACATTTACTCACCTAGTGAGATCATTGGAGAGCTTGGAGATGGTATCACGACTGCTGAACTGATGCTGTAAACAAGCAACATAACAAAAGCAAAGAGTTGGCAAGGTGGGCTTTTCACAAAACTTGTCATCAGAGACAAATGACAGTTTCTGTTATAAGCTACTCAAATCCTTGCTTCTGATTGGTTATCAGCAGATTTGTAACTGATTTTTGTGATTTGTCATTGAAAAAAGGCTTTGTGAAACGGGCCCCAGAAGGTTAGGTAATAATAATAATAAAAGCTCACATTTATAATGCGTCTAATACTTTGTTTCTAGGCGCAGTACATATTATTACCCCGGTCATCGGATTCAGGCTTACCCTCACACAATGTATGCACATTCTCCACTCCCTGGGGAGCATTCCTGCTAGTCACCATTTTACAAGCGCCACTTGCTCACCCCACCACATTAACTTTCATATAATTACATAATATAATAAAGGTACATATAATACTTAGTCTTTTATTATCCTCCTGGTTACTGGTTAAACTCAGAATGATCACTATCACTTTCCCAACATTAACATCAGGATGGGACCTGATTACCAATCTAGGTATCTTCAGAACGGTCCAAAGAACACTATCACTTTGATATCAAAACATTTCAAATTAACCACATGAGTTGCATGAAATGAAATTAACTGTTAATTTCATCTCATGCACTCAAAGCAATATGTTTTAAAAACTTACCTCTTGTAATGCTGTGTCCACCTTAAGCTTCTTCTCTCTCAAGTCTTGAATCTGATCATTGAATTGATTCCTCATCCCAGCCTTGCTGCTCTTCTCCTCCTCCAAGTCACGCTTGAGTTGATTCTCATGCTTCAAGATGAACTCTAATTGACACTGTAACTCTGAGACCGCATCGGTCTTCATCTGTACAATCCAGCACAAGTAAAAAAATAAAAATTAAAAAAAATTAAAAAAAATCAACAGAGAGAAAATAAAATTAACAAGTGACATACACAGAGAGGAAGGAAAAGGTAACAGAGATGCAGAAATAGAGAGTAGGAAAAAGAAAATGAATGAAGCTAATAGTGAACTTCAGCTTTGATTGCATTTAAAACAAGAAGCATGACTGATGCCATCATAGTGTAGAGCTACCTTTTGTTCATTTGATACATGTGCTGTCAATGTGATCATTGTGATGATATGATATCTTTCTGCTACCACAACATGAATACCAGTTGTGTCTAACTACACTCCAATAAATTGACATTCAACTCTTTGTTTGCTGGGAAATTAATCCATATACTGCAAATTTGTTTAGTACAATCATATTCCATTGACGTTGCACATGTGATCAATGGTGGCTAGGGCTGTTTAATAGCTACAGACTCCAACATTCAAACAAAGTTAGAAAACTGTTCAAACATACATGTACATGAAGTCTTGTCATTTATCCACCAGTTAATGAGAGGAGTGTTTCGGAACATTAAGAGACCCTGGTTAACAAACCTGTAATTTCTTTTTGATTTTCTGCACATCTTCATCAGCCTCGAGTCTTGCTTTCCTATTATTAGCCTTCATCATTTCCATCTCCATCTCCACCTTGGCAATGCGACCGTGAGCTGTCAACAGGTCACCTTCTCGCTCTCTCGAGTGCTGCTCTCTCTTTCGCTTTTCTGCATTTTCAGATTTATTTTAAGAATGACTTTGGTGAAAGAGTTTCTTTTTAACGCTGACATTGTCACTATTTATCTTAATTTCTTAATTTATTTATCTATCATTATCCTTTTCAATTATTACTCCATAGAAACATAGGAACTGGTTGTTTAAAACTGTCTCTAACATTAAAATGACCATAAGAAATAATAGAAGAAGGCAGCCATGCCATAATTAAAGGTTCTACCATCAGTAAGTTGTAAACTAAATAACTGCCAGCAAAAGTAACAATACCTACCTACAATAGTATTACTACTGAATACAATTATTGCTAAATTACCAAGTTCACTCACCAATATCCTTAGCAATAAAGCGATCAAAGTCACCCATCATCCTAACTACCATAGTGTTATCTTCTGGGCTCTCCATTTTCTCTTCTTGTGCTTTCCTGCAAAGAATATATATATATATATATATATATTACATATCGCATGCCTGTGTAAGACCACAGAATATGTTAAGTAGAGTTTGTTTACTGAATAGTGAATACTATTCTACTATTTGGGGAGGAAGGTCTGCGGATCACAGTTATTTGGTTAACTTTTTCCATACCCGGGCAGCTCGACCGGATGCACCTGCTATTGCAATATTTATATATGCTTTCTACTGATTTTTTAATCTCAATTCATTTTTGTTATATTGTTGTATTATGTGACTTGATTTGCCGAATAAAATAATAATAAATAATACTGATTGCAGTCGTACACTACACCTCGGCTAACGTATACCGAGAGATGGATCCAGAATCCAGATACCATGAAATCATCAGGGGAATATTGGGGAAGTTACTCAGAGTCTCTGACTGTCCGCGACTCTCAGGCAAGACCAATGCACCCCCCCCCCCCCAATCATCAAAGAAACTTCTTAAGAGACGGAGAGTGAGACTGTGAGACTGTGAGACTGAGAGATCGAGAGAGGGCCCGGCCCTACGAGACAGGACAGACTCCACACTCCACAGATGTATTCATTCTTTAGCCAAGGTTGCGTAAAATTAAGAACCTCCAAGAAACAGTCATTCCAAGTAGGTCTGCATCTGCAGATCACTTTCACACGAGACATATCATTTTTAAACATCACCACTCCGCACCAGATTATTTTCACACTGCACAGCGAATGTAACAAGTTTCATTCATCATTTCATAATTTTTAAAAGAAAAGTATGCAAAATAGCATACAATGAAAGATGGTAGATATATATACCCTCAACAGTAAATGCTGCATGATAATTTTTTCAGAAAACCACCCAGTAATGGTAACAATAGTATAAGTAAACGAGAGTCGAGACTGACTTATGAGTTTTGTCTGTTAAAATTTTTACAAATATTTTAATTGTTAAACCCGGCCCAGACTTCATCTAACTAGTATCAGGGTATTGTCTAGATTAACTACACCTACCGGTACTTAAATCTAGCCTTATTTCATGGGAATGGTCTACTCACGGAAATCAGAATTCTCTTTCCAACATGCAAACTCTTTGTTTGGTAGCTGCCTGCCTGGATCTCCGTATCACCACTGTAGCATAGCGCGGGCAGGGCTTGAGTGTACTATCGGGGCAGACACGGCGTAAGCTAACTGTCTAGGTCCGCTAGGAAGCCGTTGGACCGGTAGAGCTAAGCCACAGCGGTTGTTTTTGCAGGCGCTGCATGGATTGCTTCAGTATGTCTGCTTTCTTCACAAGAGGGCGCCCGTTATAATTTCTGCAGGAGAGCTGAAGAGATGCAATGAGGATAATGCACCTGTGCAATTATGATCGAAGGGAGGGGGAGGGGAGGAGGGGGAGGGGAGGGGTAAGAGGAGGGAGGAGGGGGATTTGGGAGGAGGAGGGAGGCGGAGAGGGGGAAGGGGAGAAAGGGGGATGAGGGGGTAGGGAGGAGGAGGGGTAGACTTTGAAAAAGCAGAAACATACAAAACAAAATGTACAGTATATCAAAATATATAGATACACCTATCAAACGCAGACAATAAAAAGATTATCATAATTCGAAATATTACCAAAACTTTGTACACTACCTTTAAATCATGTGAAAGGAATTGCGTGGAATTTAGTCCAGCTGGCTTCCTGTGACAGGTATCAAGACAGCGAGAAAGTATAAAGCGTTTTTGGGGGGTTTCTTTGTTACTATATAGCGCAGCTACTACATAAATGGGGACCCATATTAATATACCGTCTACTGCGAATTATATCAGTACCCCAGCTGTAGGTGAGCCGCCAAAATGAGGCGCTAAAACTTTCAAGGAGTGTCTAATTTGTACCGGGTATCCATTTGTTTGCCTTATTGTTATCATTATTACTATTAATGTGATTATTATTATTATTAGTTATTGTATTATCGTCATCCTCATCATCATTATCATCATCATCATCATCATCATCATCATCATCATCATCATCATCGTATTGTCGTTGAGGTTGTTGTTGTGAGAGTTTCTTCAGGTTAGGATGGCGAGTCTTTGTCAATATTACGACTCCGATTTAAAAGAGTTGGGGCATGGATATCCTATGTTAGAGTTTTGTGGGTTTAGGTGATTGCGCCCCTCCCTGCAATCCGTCGACTTGATTTCACGAGTAGGCATTTTCTCTGTAGAGGTGTCGTGGACGAGTGGATATGTCACCGGACTGTGGATACAAGGTCCGTGGTTCAAGTCCCACCGCGGCACTAATGTCCTTTGGCAAGACATTGATCTATATTTGCCACTCTCCACCCAGGTGTTAAATGGGTATCTGGTAGGATGCGAAAGCTAATGTGCTTAAATTAGCAATTATTGTGCGCTTGTAAAAAATGACGCCTGGCTGGAATGCTCCCCAAGGAGTGGAGATCGTGCATACATTGTGTGCGGGTAAGCCTGAATCCGATGACCGGGGTAATAAGCGCTTCGAGAGGGCCTTCGGTCCTGAAAAGTGCTATATAAGAACTAGCTATTATTCTTATTATTTCATTTTCAGAATGAATGGTGGACTTTGGGATTTATAAAAAACATAACGAAGTTATGACGTTCCTAAAACTATTCATTTTGCTCCACACAAAATATGACAAAGATTGAAAATAGAAAAATAAAATTTTCTCAAAATCATTCATACATGAAAACCAAAATTTGAATTTTCAACTTGCGCTTCTTAGAAAGGATTTATTGATAGAAAAAAGGGCAGGTATCGGGTGTTAAATGCGCTAACTAGTTCCAATGATGACATAATCGACTAATGGTACGCATGCCCCCCCCCCCCTCTTTATCTCTCTCTCTCTCTCTCTCTCTCTCTCTCTCTCTCTTTAAAAGTATGTAAAAGTCATATAACAAACATTATTATACACCCGATACCTTTATTGTATATGTTGTAAAAATATTTCATAATTTAAAAAACGCACACCTTATTTCCCAGTGTACATCAGGACAAAAAGTTTAGTGCTAAAATCTACCTAAAAGTAATTTTATCTTTTATATTTTAGATTAATTTTTGCTGCACTTTCCAACCACTCATGCAAATCAAGACACATTCGCATCAGCTTAATTCTCTTTAATGTGCGCGAGTGTGTGCGCGTACGGGTGTGCGTGCGAGTACGTGTATTATGTGTGAGGGAGAGAGAGGGAGGGAGAGAGAGAGAGAGAATGAGGGAGAGAGGGAGAGTGAAGGAAGTAGGGAGAGATAGGGGAGGGAGGGCGGGGGAAAACGGCACCAGGAACTCTCCTCGGAATGTTATAAACCTCATTGACAAGCAGAATCAGTAAATATTGAAAATAATTATAATTAAATGTCAACATTACGGCGACATCTTCTGCAATAAAATGCATGCATGGATGAAGCAAGTCTTTGAACGAGATTATCAGTCTCTAGTCTAAAATGAATAGTTTGTTTCAAATGCGTTGTTGCATTGTAATAACTTTAACCTTATTATGGTTAAGTACATTTTGTATCTCATATTTATCACATGAAAGAGCATGCAGCCTGACATAAATCTGAAATGATAAATTAGTTTGTGCAGATATTCACTCATTAAAACTTCCTTTACTGTTTCTATGTTTTTGTCATTCTGTTCGGAAAGAGAGAAGAAAACAAAAATCAGTTATCATATTAATTGTCAACACCTAGGTTATATACAATCCTGTACAAGTGCAAGTTTGGACCTATCATGTGACAAGAAATAAAAATAAAAAAAACATCCATGCCTTCTTAATAAAAACCATGTCTAATTTTATTTGGTAATGGGATCTTAACTTTAAATAAGTGTTACAACTTTTTTCTCATTCAAATTCAAATTGAATAAAAAAATTAAACAAAATAAAAATTAATTTGACAACATATTTGACATCTGTTCTGTTAAAACAATACAATAATAGTTAGAGACATAGATATAATTTAAGAACTTGTATTACAAGGAAGAAGGCGCGAATCCCAGTATTAAGCATAGCTTGTATTGGGTATACGCCGCGCCCGAATACACAAAAACTTAGTACATTATAAATAGAAGAAAGGAAGAAAGGGATAGGCAAGGAGGAGAAGAGGACAGAGGGAGAGGATTGCAACATAGTAGCAATGGAGTGTATGGCATGCATATACAACATAATGGCATGATAAAGGTGAAGGCCGCGTATAATGTAGACAAACATTACTGCATTTTTAAAGGATAATAACACTGGATTTATCACCCCTACTTCCGAATGGGTATCGATATAAGAGAAATAAAAGCCATTCTTATTGAAGAGTAACATTTGTATAGTTTTAGAAGATGAAGATATATTTTTGATATGTTTTAACAAGTATTTTTGAGATTCACATGATATATGCATATATATTTCCTTACAAGTACATATATTAATACAATGTTTACATAATTATACACATGCATGCAACAAAGATATATTATAGATATATTATACACACCCATTCACATCCCCTTATAATTATACACACACATGTCACCGTAATTGGGAATAGGGCTAATGTAATTTAAAATCATACATTCTAAAAGCTTCCAAGAGAAGCTTAAAAGTATAGACCGGTTTTGGAAACTCCCCCCCCCCCCCATCTCTAAAAATGAAATGGAAGCTCTTATAACCAATCAAAATGCTTTGACTAATAATACGTGATGATACATAATTATTTTGCAGGGAAACCGCCAACTAATTATTGATATTGGTAAATTATCATATCAATCCAGCCTGGATAGAATTCGCGAATGCACTTCAACATTAAACATTTGGGTATATATTTCTATTTTTTGCGAATTTAGGTTGAAGTATTGCCATCTAAACCTCTGAAGGCAATATTTAAACAATATTGAATGGATATTTTGCACCCAAAACCCTTGAACCACAACGTTACCACTACCAGTCTATATCTTTTACTGAGATACAAATTTCCCCATGGGTTTAGGTGAATCGTTCCAAAGCTTAGGGCCGGTGAAACGGATATTGTTTTGAAAAATACGTTTACGGTGTTTGGGAATATAGGTTTCTTTGTATGATCTGGTACAACTTATCTATGGATATCTGAAACACGTTGAAATAGGCCACAGAACTGAGAAGATAGTTGTGAGTTTAGACATTAATTTTGTTAAATAATGTACATTGTTGAAGTTCATTTATATTTTTAATACAAAGCAACTTGAGAGATTGAAATAAAGGATCGCTACTGGATCGTGCGTGAGAAACTGATGTTATACGTTAAATTCTATTTTGCAGTGCAAAAACCTTTTGAAAGCTTGTTCGATATGTATTTGCCCATAATAATATAACATTAGGATAGGGTTTGGGAGAATCAAATAACAGTATAAAGTACGTAATATCGTTTCGGGTAAAAACCTACTAAGGCGGTAAATAACACCTGTGTTTTTAGCTATTTTGTTTTCAAGTGCATTTATATGATTTTTCCATGTTCATTTACTGTTTATGAAAACACCATGCAGACAATTAGTGTAATCCACTCTGTGAAGAATATTATTATTTAATTTGATTTTTACAGAGCTAAAGTTAGGAGGTTTTGGAGAGTTGTAAAATATCATATAGTTGCATTTCTCGAAGTTGATTTTTAATTTATGGCAGCAAACCAATTGCAGACATTTATTAATTCGGTGTTAACAGTTTTATATAGTATATCGAGATTTTTGTGAGAATATAATAAGTTTATATCATCAGCGTAAAAAATAAAAGAGAGTAGGTTGGATGATCGGTAAATATCATTTACAAACAGTATGAAAAGTAAGGGGCCTAACAGTGACCCCTGGGGGACCCCGCAAGTAATTTCGTTAAAATCAGACAATTTAGAATTATAAATAGTACATTGACGACGATTACTAAGGTAGCTAGAAAAAATGACATGTGCAATTTCACAAATGCCATATTAACTTTAGATAATAAAATATTATGGTTTTGACAGATCAATAATTACACCAATAACGGGTGAATTATCTTCGAATGCATCAATTATTTTGTTGGTTAGTACCAAAAACTAGGGTTAAGTCCGGTGGTCTTTCCGGAAGCCAAATTTATTTACAAAAAGACAATTTAGTTTTTCTAGGAAAATATAGGTTCTGTTGTAAATTATACCCTTTTTTACAAAGCCAATTCATCTTATGATCAACGTCTTGAACGCTTCCAAGGAGCTTTTAAAATTGTAAACCTCCCGTAGCTCCGGCAACCATTATCAGCGCACAGAGAAAAATAGGCATACTTAATATAGGCCGACCTTCCTTGGGTTGACCCACCGTCAACTTGTCATATTGCAAAAACGAAAGTCATTATATGTCCTTTTTTCCCTAGATAAGCTACTGCTAATAATAAAGCATGTTGTTACATAATGTCGTGCGAGATAGATTATATCAAGGTAAACTATACGCGTTCGTCGCAACGCATGCATTGCATGTCGCAGAGTTGATTAAACCGACCCACTCACACCAAACCCCCAAGTAATACGTGTATAATTATAACTCTTATACCATCCCGTGAAGGTGTTATATATTAATTGACTACAATTTGTGCTTACGGTGTGATAAAGCTCTTAATAAGGAAATGTAATATGCCTTACGGAGGATTGACATTCGGTATATCATGGAAATTGAACAGTCTACGACATCCAACAAGCAGCTTGTGTTTGCGAAGGTAAGATTTAATGCAATATTCCACAAGATGAACGCCATGGATTTTGCTTGACCAGTTCAGTACGGGTATCCATGGCGCCGCGTGAGATGTTCGTAGGTGTGTGTATAGCTCCCTGTAGAGCGCTATAGTCCTATACTGATACTTTACGAATATGGGTATGGCGGCCCGTGTATAAGCCGAGATACCTTATCTTCTGCTGATCTGAACATATCATCTTAGTCACTAATCTGTTTGCTTATCAACCGATCTATGTCTAGCTTATTGTGAATTTTACATGTAACTTTGCTAACTCTGTTGATTCTTCTACCCTCCGTGTTAATCCAGTATGTTCAATTAGTTGCCTTTGTTCTGAAATTTAAAGGTGGATAATCACAATAGAAATATATTGCTGCTAATACTAATAATGGTAATGATGATGATGATACTAATTCTACTACTATTACTTCTATTACTTCTATTTTACTACTATTTCTACTACTACTAGTAGACCTACTACTAGTACTACTAGTACTATAGTCAAACCTGTCTATAGCGACCACCCAAGGGAAATACAAAAAGTGGTCTTTGTAGACAGGTGGTCACTAAAGCAGGTTTGACTGTACTACTACTACTACTACTACTACTATTACTACTATTACTACTATTACTACTACTACTAATAATAATAGCAATTAAAAAGAAAATAAAAACTATCTGATATTATATACCTTTTTATGTTTTACTAATTTGCTTATAAACTTTGTAGTAAACGGAAATATAAAATATTCCTTTGTTCATCACCAAATCATCCGATTTTTATAAGAACTTTTCTATGTCTAAAAGCATGTACAAGCGTCTTGTAACAAAAGTGGAAAATTAAATGTACTTAAACATCAAACAAAAAAAACTACATTTATGCATGTATATTTGGTTTTGTTCTTTCTCTTTGTATTTTCACAGAGAAATTATTTGTGGTTTAAACAGAAGCTTTGTAGATACAGATCAAGGGCAATTCAGTAGTTAAAATAAATAATGTGAAATGAGATTCCATCATTATTACATCATAAGTATTACAAGAAACTATTCATGTTTAGCTTAGTTTAATTAATAAGATGTTTTTATTGCCTAAAATTATATAGATAAAATGTGAACGATTAGTTCCTGCATTACCGAGATCATGAAATTCAAAGCAAATCAAAAAAAATTACAACCATTTACTGTTGCATAATGCAATCAAATTATGATTATTTCTTATTGCCTTTATATATTTAGGAAACATATATAGTGTGTTGCCGAATATTTTAGAATGGCTGTATATCTGGCACATATCAAATTCAGTCTTATCATCTCAGATCACATATTGACTTCAATGGATCAACATGTACACTTTATTTTAGGAGCAGTTTGTGGAAAGGATTAATGATATAAACACCGAGTTATCTATAATTCGGTTGCTCAGATTACCTAAAGAAGTTTGTAAAGAATCTCTCGTTAAATGTATGTTAATCCATTCCGGACGGAAACAGGGTAACTCTTGTATTCAGCCATTGGAATAAAACATTCCAGTAGTCAGTGGTTTAGCACATATAGAATTCATGGACATGAACAAAAACTGTTAAGACGAGTTATGTTATTGACGATATATTGTTTTTGGAGAACATTCTGTACTTTGCATACTTTCGGAAAGCTTTAACATAATAATATTTTGCAGCAACGAACAATGTCTCCTTTTATAGTCTGAAGACAATATTTTGGTACTTGAATTGCATTTAAGAAACTGTCTAATATTAATTCTAAAATGTATATAAGGCATGAGGTAGGTTGTTCGAATCAAGAGAACATATATCTAACAAGAAGTGCATGAATATCGTATCAATGAACCCTTTTTTCGTACGTTTATTTATTCCATTTTGAGATTTAAAAAAAAACACACAATGCAATACATGCATCATCTTTTTACACAAAATAATTGTACACATAATATCTAAACAACTGTGTCATTATAAATTCATAATCCAATTAGGTTATATATCTAAATGAGAAACATAAACAGGGCAGAGGCCTTGTCAAGAATGATACTCTTGTTGCGGATTGAACATTATGTCATTATAAACCTATACGAGATAATTTTCCATGCAATTTGAAATGCATGTTTTGCCCGGTCTGCATGCTACTATTTTTTAAGTCTGCAATATTTCATGATATTTTCACTCTTCGGGGTTTCGCCGTTGACTTTCTGTACAATAATGAGTCCGATACGTATCTGTCCCATTTAACAATTAATCCAATATTATATTGGTCTCATTTAACATTGAGCAGATTGTCGTGCGGCGCGCTACTAACTCTCTTTAACAAAGAGAGTGAATTTTCACTCTATTTTCACTTTCTTGGGAGTGACGTCCGTGATCACTTGTTTAAGAGTGAAAATCGATTGATTTTAGAGTGCTCTCTAAGAATAAAAGAGTGAATGTTCACTCTATTTTCACTACATTTTCATTCTCCAGAGGAGTGACGTCCGTGATCACTCGATTTTTTTAGAGAGTAGTAACCGTACGGTACCCTTTCCTGATTCAGAAAGGTATAGATAATAATCATAATACCGACTGGCTTAACTTTCGGTAGATACGATGATATATTGCCCTTACTGAAATCATATTGACCTCGCCTTTGACTCGGTCAATATGATTTCAGTATTAAGGGCAATATTTCCTGGTAGTTCCCTCAAGGCCAGTCAATATTATATAATTAATTTAAATTCAGTGATACATAATATAGAAAATGTGTAAGGCAGGGAAAAACTAAACGATAAAACATGTCAGAGAGGGGAAGAGTTGGTTACATTATTGAACTAACTCATCTAGTATACAGCATAACATGTCTATATGGATACATGCTGTTTGCTTTGCTTGATTTCCTTATCCGTCTGAGCTCATTACTGACCTATAGTTTTATTTTAAAGATTCTAGTCTCTACCATAATTATTCAACAGAAAATGTAGAATTTAACATTCAGTATATACAATTTGTTTCATTTTGTGAGAATCTGTTTTCTGCCATTTCGAGAATCTATATTGCCAGTGAAACACAACACAATTTCTCATTTGTGTAACACATCGCAACAAGGCATGAAAATGTAACAGTACACTTCCTTAAATCGCTGAAAAGAAAAGACAGTTAACTAATTGAAAACAAATCTATCAAAAAAATACAAATTTAAAAATACTATGTACAACTTTTTTGGTTTGGCCTTGGGGAGGATGAATATACAATTAGAAATACAGAGAAAATTGCACTTGTTCAGAAAGATATACAATTCGTTTTGTAGTTGTTTGTTCTTGCTTTTATTTTTTCTTTTGTTTTGTAAGGGTTTTGTTAAGTGGATGTGTTATGGTCCAGTGGCTCCTGACTTTGAACCACAATGTTCAGGGTCTGGATCCCTGTCGCATCACTAACGTCTTTTGGCAATATATTTATCTACATTTGCCATACTACACGCTGGTGAGGTAAATGGGTGACCGGTAGGAGTTTAGTCCTTTAAAGGGGCATGTTCCCCGTATTCCAGAGGGCGCTCAAAATACGTACGCGCTGGCGGACGGCGCTGTAGCTGCCTATTGACACCAACAGAATACGGCTCTTACGCAGATGGCATGTTCCGATAACTACACTGGCGGGAACGTGCCCCTTTAAGTGCTTGAGCGCAGTAATATCGGCTGTGCTAAAGCCGGGCTAAAAATAATGAAGCCCAAGGAATGACAATATGCCAGGCATATGCGCTTTACAAGACTACTACCAATCAATACTATTATCATTACTGTTTGTTTTGCTCTGGTTTTTAAAATGAATATGAAACCCCAAAAGATAATTGAAATACTTATTCTTAAATGCTTTATCTTGTCCATTTGTTATGACAGCTAGACAACAGTATTCAAGCTGCAGATTTTGGTCTTAAGAATTAGAAAGTATTACAATGGACTTACAGAAAGAAAAAAACTTACAGTGGTGATGACCAGTATACACAAATGTCGAATGAGGTTATCGATATATTTCTTATATAGAGAGAGGGGACACGGGAAAGACATTTTCACAATGTAGGTTACATTGCAGGAAAAGGAAGCAGACATTAAAATGATCTATGAGATAGAAGAATATGGAAAACCTTTTACCAATGTATGGAACAGACAAGTAGTTAACAAGTAATTATGGCGTCCACTTTGTCAACATTGGGCAATATTTATTCAACCGATGTCATTTTTGTCTGAATGTTGCTACATTTATTAAAATGTCATTCTTAGGTTTGATTAGAAACATCTTCACAATAGAACATGCAAACAATGAAAGAGCTTCCTTCCTGATACTTACATAGCTTGCCTTATCACCATGGAGACCTCATATAATTGAAGACAGTTTGCCGATGGCTATAGGGTTGATTACGTGACGAAGCTACGGACAAAAAGGTGGAAGTAATAACCATGTTATTACTTTTATATTGATGCTACCATGTTCAACACGCTCATACATACTGTGCAACTGTAATTGTGCAATCAACATAATGCACTCTGCATTATCTGCATAAAATGGGACGAAATTACAATTATGTTATACCTTTAGAATTTTAGATTCTGGTTTGTTAATGTAGTTATACCTGAAGTGTATTTTACATGTAAGAAAAAAAACTTACACAAATGTATGCACTATAGCATGCTTTCTCTGACAGAATAGGAAAAACAAAGTGATTGAACAGATGAACATCTTTGCATGACAGACACAAATTTCGCGTTATAAGGACAAGTCATAAGGCATCACCAATGTTCATGACCGTCTGAAAGCTCAGTCAGTAATTGAAGAATATTTGAGAAATGTACTTTAACTCTATTTAGGGTAAAATATGCATTCATAAGCAGAGTGAAGAAAGTTAAATGAACATTGATCGAAATCACTTTGATGAGCTTGATTAATCATTGACTGAAGAAAAAATGTCGATTGAATAATGGTTTATTAATCCAATCATAAAGTAACATGTTTCGTGCATTATCATTTCATGTGAAAAACAGTCATAACCAAATTCATGTTAATTGTTTAAATTTGCATTGTAAGATGGAAAGGTATAAACATGTCATAAACAATCAAACATTATTCAATAAGGTACATAAAAATGGAACTCCCAGGTAATTAAGAAATAAAATAAGGACATGGACTTTAATTGAATGTACACTAATAGAGCACTGATTGAGCGTACCTGTATAGTTTAAGATTGATTGCGTGGACATTGATTAATGAACTTGCGGCTTGATAATATTGACAGTTGAACCATGATTGAATGTAGTATTGATATATGAACCTTGATTAAATGTTTATTGATAGATGAACCATGATTGAATGTTTATTGATAGATGAACCTTGATTGAATGTTTATTGATAGATGAACCATGATTGAATGTTTATTAATAGATGAACCTTGATTGAATGTTTATTGATATATGAACATTGATTGAATGTTTATTGATAGATGAACCTTCAGTTGGTTGAATGTATATTGATGTTAAATTATGATTGAATGTTTATTGATAGATGAACCTTAATTGAATGTATATTGATGATGAACCTTGATTGAATGTTTATTGATAGATGAACATTGATTGAATATATTGGTAAATACAAACAGCTTTGATTGCATGTACTTTGACAGCTAAGTTTTGGGTGATTGATATACTGTAAAATGAGCCTTGATTGAATGTTTATTGATAAATGAACCATGATTGAGTGTTTATTGATAGATGAACCTTGATTGAATGTATATTGATGTTAAATTTTGATTGAATGTTTATTGATAGATGAACCCTTAATTGAATGTATATTGATGATGAACCCTGATTGAATGTTTATTGATAGATGAACCTTGATTGAGTGTTTATTGATATAGATGAACATTGATTCAATGTTTATTGATTGCATGTATATTGATGATGAACCTTGATTGAATGTTTATTGATAGATGAACCTTTCATTTCATTTCATTTCATTTCATTTTTTTATTGTGTCCACATAGGATAATTGCTTACATTTACATTAACAATCTTGCTTCAACATATGAATGAGTGTTTATTGATAGATGAACATTGATTGAATATATTGGTAAATACAAACACCTTTGATTGCATGTACTTTGACAGCTAAGTTTTGGATGATTGATATACTGTAAAATGAGCCTTGATAGAATGTTTATTAATAGATGAACCTTGATTGAGTGTTTATTAATAGATGAACATTGATTGAATGTATTGGTAAATACATACAACTTTGATTGCATGGACTTTGGCAGCTAAATTTTGGGTGATTGATATACTGATAAATGAGCCTTGATAGAATGGATGCTAATAGATGAAAAATGATTGAATTTGTATTGATGTATGAAATTTGATTGAACGTATATTGATATAATGTTCATGAACTTTTATTAAATGCAGTGATGATTGATGTAAATGGATACTAATATAGGTTGTCTACCCAGTATTGCATCAAAATGATCACATAACAGTTCTTAAATAATTATTAATCCTGGGGAATTACAAATATTCGCCGTCTCAAAACGGATATAATTATTTGTCTCAATTTTTTTTATGTGGTACGTGTCAGAGAATTCGTGTACAATTATTTTATGGAAAGTCACACTAGCACGGACATAAATATCAAGATATAGACTTTTAATGCATGTACAGTTAACATACCCATGTACACTTGATGTTTCTTATGTCTTTCGTAACTCAGGAACGGTGATAAGACTGGTTGGATTGGGGCCTTTGTTGAATACATTTAGATAACTTTAATAAGTCATATTCTCAAGAAACATAAATCGAAACAAATCAATTTGTTCACATACTTAAACAATTACACAATCTAATAAGGGTATGAATAATTTAGTTGTTAACTGTATTAAATGCAATGCAACAATTGAAGGCATGTTTATGCGTGCTTTAAATTGTTGTGAATATTTTGCATTCTACTGTAAGATCTGCCTCATGATTTTTTATGTTACTTTTGTATATATTGTTTGTATTGTTTTGAACCAGTGTCCTTAAGCACAGCAGTTTTTGTTTAACTGAAGAGGCAACCTTGTTTAAACAAAACTGAAAATACAATGAATAAACAATGTGGGCATAAGCCAATACCCTCCGCCGTCTTTTGCTGTTATACATTTGTTATATCACGTTTTGAGTAGGTTATATTTATTCTAAATTTAATCTAAAAATGCATTCTACCTATCTATTCTAGTTGACCTTTTTGCAAAATGGCAATCGGAACGTGAAAGGAAATAATTATGACACCACAACTAGTTCCATAGGTAATCATTCCTATATCATTCAATATTCTTGTGATAGTATAGAGTCACATACAAATAACAGCATTTATTCTCCCATATAATTAAGCAGGGAGGTTAAGGAAATATGATTTGATCCTTTTTAAGTGCAAGAGTAGCCTGTAGCATGAACGGCCTGCATAATGGCTTTGACAATTTATGGCGTTGCCATGACACCCTGCATGCATACTGGGTAGCGCTCTATCCATTTGTAAATTACCAGAATCTCTGTCACAGTACATCGCAAACTAGGTGTATACTGCATAGCCATGCGAGTCATTTATGGTTAGTCCTACACTAAAAGGCATTAAGTTACTCCAGCTCAAACAGCAATCAACACTTTGTTCTGTACATAATTTCTGTCAACTATAACTCTCAAATTATATCCTAAATTAAAAATGAATCATTTATAATGATCAATAACATCAATTTAGAGGAAAAGATAGCTAGATATCTCTCCTTAATTCTGTGAGTTAAAAAGGTCACAGCTGCAAACGGTATTTGAAGGTATTTAATGTTTTACCTAAACAATTGGCCTGCGTCCTACCTTTAAGTTACACTTTCAACAACAAAAACAATGAAAAATGTAGCCAATTGTTGGATTATGGTAAATGAATTATTTGATTAGATTAATTCTGATGTCATTATTCTTTCGCGTCAAGACTAAAAAATTAAATTCAGATAAATTACTACTACAGTAGCTTAGAGCTTGGTTAGTGCAGGAAAACGTCTATCATCATGGTAACTAGTATCAACCGTACCAATACAAATGAACGGGTAAACTCTCATCAGATGCTCTAATATCGGACATGTAGCTCTCTTGTTCTACATTCAAGCTGATTAGATGACTTAATTGCACGTCCAATTTCCTCACACAAATCTTGTTACAATGGTTGCTATAGACTCTAATGGGATGACACACCCATTTTCACAATAATCTATTTCTAGCAATGCCACTCTCTCCCTTGAGAAAGATAAATGCACTTTCTGTTAGGAGAGGCAAGTTTCTCCTATCAGTCCATATACAGATTCGTTGTTTGTTAATGTTTGAGAATTGACAATAAAATTTGACAGCAGCGAGCATCTTATACATGTACATGTTAAATTAGTGCATTACCTCCAGATTAAAATCAACATGAAATATCTGAATGCATAAATTACTCTTTTGTTCATTCAAGAAGGGAAAGAAACAGGTCCTGCAAAGATATGACCAGACTGCTCGAGGCAAATAGATCTATTTTTTAATGAAGACAAAGACCCACAGATTTGTTTTAAAAAAGGTTTCTACATAGTCATGAACTATTTTTCTCCCTTTCTTCAAGTCAGAATAATTTCAATATGAATATGAAAAGGAAATGGTAAATTTCCTCCTCATATGAAACGGAAGAAAATAAATTGTGTTTTAATAATTATATTTTCTGTTAGGACTTGTCTAAGCCAGGCAGTTAACTCTGTATTTGAATGAATGAATGCCCTTCTATCTCAAAACAGATTTATCATTTATGTTATGTTCAATGCAATTATTAAATTCTTTAGAAGTTTAGTGTTCATAGTGACTTCATTCAGTTTATTTGTGATATAGTCATTATGATACCTGAATGAAATCAACTGATTTAACCTAAATCTTCAATATATGTTTGAAAATATATTTGCAATTTGTATATTTCATTAAATATAAGATGCAAGGTAATATTGATGACTCTGACGATTTTTCATTTTCTCCTTTTCACCTCATCTATTTCCACTTAGATTGAGAAGATAATACGTGGTATGCAGCATGCAGATCATGGTATCCCTACACGTCCACAAAAGGTCTTTCTTACCTCAGTTCCATGTGCCTTCACAGGTTAGTAATTGATCAACTTACCATGGTAACCATGGAGTACAACAATGCTAATTAACACTTGTCTGCTTCAGAATGTCTGCCATTTCGTTTTGGAGTGTTTATCACCAATTTATTCATTTAGTCTTTCATTTATTAGTTCATTAATTCACGATGATAAATCACGTCTTTATTAGAGATCATGCACAAACAACCAGGCCCGTCAACCCAGTGGGTTAGGCGACAGGTTATAATCAACGATAGATACAAAAGTACAGTACAATAACAATAACGATACAAATTGCAATGTAATATATGTATGTATGTATGTTTGTTTGATCTCACTCTTATCTTATTTTTTATTATTATATATGCATGATTTATTGAATAAAGAACAGATGTATAAGTTGTGTGTTTATTATAAGTTTTGGTAAATAATTGTTAAGTCAGAATATGGTGCGCTTAGAGACACCAGTATTAAGCGCCTTATAAATATTGTTTATTATTATTATTATTATGTTAACAAGGAGCACCGGGATAGAGAGAAAGGGAAAGGGAAGACGTTAAAGGGAGAAAAGGAGAGAAAAACAGACGTGGTATAGTACAGAACAGGATAAAAGAAGAATATTGTAACATTATGATGAGTCAGAAAAGATCCCCATACTTGATACATTAATCAATAATAATATAATTAAATCGAAACGAATGACGTCTTATGGTACATATTGTCAGTTTAGTACAGAATAGTTTCAAGTTTATTGATAAACGTGCTGTATTACTTTACCTTTCCGACCACGGAATATCAGGAGTATAGATCGAAGAGAGAGAAAGGAGATGATGAAAAATGAATGTATAGAGATTGACAAATTACACTGTAAGGTATTGATCAAATTGCCATGCTGGCTTACATCTTCCTTGAAATATTACATATAAACTAAACAGAACGGCTTTCAATATTTCGTCCCTGGTTTAAGGGTACTGATTTTGAGTAATTCCTTTAGGCGATATTTATTTTGTCGGGTTATGAGCCCACGTGAACCAATTTCAATACACACTAGTTTGCCCTTCCACCCTGTTGCTGTTATGTGTGAGGCTTGCGTAGTCATTCTTTCTTTCATCCATCCATTCATCCATCCATTCCTTCATTCATTCATCCATCCATTAATCTATTCCTTCATTCATTCATTTATCCATCCGTTCATCCATCCACCCATTCTTTCACTCATTCATTTCATTTATTTATACATCCTTTCTTTCATTCATCCATCCATCCACCCATTTATCTATTCATTCCTTCATTCAATCACTGATCCAATGCACATTCAAACATGGACAATTGTTTTGCTTACATTAATAGAAAGCCTCAAGTAGTTCAATCGGTGGACCCAAGCAGTCAAAGTACTTTAATTACAGCAAATTCTAGGGTTGTTAAAATACTTAAATGTTTGGAAATGTATTTATTTATTTATTTATTTAATATGGTTTATTTCATTAAAAAAACATTCGCGGCCCGAGAGCCAAATTGCAGTTTTTTTTAAAACAAAGTATACATCAGTGACAAACTGTAAAATTACACGTAAAACTTAATGCATGGTAACATTATGGTAGTAAAATTGCAATTCGTTTTGTACATATAATATAATATAACAAAATGATGGCTTGTTCCTATATTGCGCATGATTCATTTATCCGACCGAGTGGGACTTATGTTGCAATGTTCATAACTCCAATGCAAGAATTAAATCAAAATACTTTGAATAATATTACACTTTTAGGCAAATATTTTAGAATGCAGGAGAAGTATAATTAATTGAAATAGCTGTTTCTAATCAGCGTATATGTTTTGTAGAAATGTAATAGCAGATCATTACCCCTGTACATCAAATTTGAATATGAAGCTGATTATGAATATATTTTCATCGTGATTCTAGTTTTTCTTTTAATCACATTCGATATTATCAAGTTACACAGGAACATGATTCTTATTAATATTACAAGGTTTATTTTATGGTAAGAAATATCTACTGTGAAAAATATGTCTCAAGTACAGTAGGAAAGTGTGTTTGTCTTGTTCTCAATTTGAAATCATTTAGTATTTGTTGTAATCACCTGTTTATGTATCATTCCTCCCCCTCCTAGGTATTGATTTAATAGAATGGATCACCAAACTATTAGATGTTCACAGTACGACAGAAGCAACCCATCTTGCCACCCTATTATCTCAGTATGGTTATATCTATCCCGTCGAAGCTACCAAGACCGTCTCTATCAAAGAAGATAACACACTCCATCGATTCCAAAGTCCCTACTTCTGGACATCCCAAGACCGCTCACACGACAATACTGATTATGGTAAGATCATGTAGCTTAGCAACAACCTCTCTCATCCATTCCGAATCTTTTTTGAGTTTTTGAGTTTTTGAGTTTTTCTCCATTCGTTTTCTGTTGGCTCCCTTCATATCAAACTCTGTAATATTCATTATAGTAAATCCCTGATTCCACTACAAACAACTTTTTGTTGTTGTAATGCGGTCAATATTTTTATTTTACAGTCAGATAGAAATATCAATTACTTCATTGCCAAATGCTCATAACTTCATACACTTTTCCAATGGAAATATGAATTTGAATAACATGTGTATACATGCATATAACAGGCTCATCTCATTTTACCTTACAGCTCTCTACTTAGCTAAAAGAACTATGCGGAACAAGCAAAACTTTGGACTAGAGGAATATGAAAATGTGAGTAACTAAAACCCATTTAAAATCTGTGTGAAATTTATAGTTTATTGAGGAGAAACTAATTTCTAACCTAAGTGGTTTAATGAAAATCGATGTATGGATCTTATACAGGCACGGTTAATCAGGTAATATAAAGAGGTAAAAATGCCCGAAGTACTATGGTTAAAAAAATGTCAGAGTTAAATAACTATGTCAGAGGTAAAAAATTATATAGGTAAAAATGTTAGAGGTTGAATGTCAAAGTCAGAGAGAGAGAGAAAGACAACAAAAAAGAAAGAAAAAAAAGGGGGGGGGAAGATGATGTGCACACGAATGGAATGCATAGTAGTAGGCAGATAGGTATTTTGGTACAGGAATATGTAATGCACCTATGATGTGGAGACAGCCTCAGCAATTTGCCTGGCAAAATACAAAATAGAGAAAAGAAAAGTAGAAAAGAAACAATCCACTGATAATGGCTGACAGTGTTCTCGCGAGAAGAAAAAAAAAGTAATTTAAGAGCATAAGTGAGCACCCTGCCTTGATTGAAACTCCTTAAGGCTGTTGAAGTTCAAATTTGCCTATTATGAATGAATTGATTGCTGGATAGCCGAAAGGACATCCACATCCCATTTGTTACCATGACAACGAGAATCATACCATCTGCTCCTAGAGAAACTTATTTAAAGATCATCACCCTATCTCAGCCAAAAATCACCCTCTTTCTCTCACGCTCTCCCTCTCCCTTTCTCCACCTCCCCCGTCTCTCTCCATCTCTTTCTCTGTCCTAAAATGAAACGAATAAAGATCTTTCTTATTTGTGTGTGACTGCGAATGGTTTATGGCTGGCTGTTTGTATGTGTGTGCGTGTGTGTGTGTGTGTGTATATGTACTCTCCTTCCCCCACTCCACCCCCTCTCTCTCTCTCTCTCTCTCTCTCTCTATATATATATACAGTGCGTCCCAGAAAAAACGAAACCGAGAAGTATTGATGTTTTATCATAACTTAATCAGAACCATAAATAATGAATGATACATATTTGGAAAGCTTAGAGTCTCCTCTTTCAGTTGATGCTACTCCAATGATGCATATTTCACGCATGAGTGATTAAAAGCAATTTTAAGGAAGGAAACCAAAAAGACATTTGGCGGGCGGTATCTGAATTTCGAAGAATAATTCACATTTCTAGAAAGTTGAGTTTCTGCCCTTTCATATGACACCTCAATCAGGAAAAATGAGCGAGGAATAACAAAGTTCTGTTGGTTTAAAGTAGCCCTTACATTTTCATAATTTTAACAAACGAATTCGTTTCACTGTGTGCCTGCCGTAGCAAAAAGCAGATTTGACAAAAGACTTAACTCCGTTTCGTTGACAATCAGCCATGCATGAAGACTCTCGTCTACCGCTGATTGTCAACGAAACGGAGTTAAGTCTTTTGTTAATTTCGTTTATTGATACGGCAGGCAGCCAGTGAAAACGAATTCGTTTAATAAAATTATGGAAATGCAAGCACTACTTTAAACATACAGAACTTTGTCATTCCTCGCTCATTTTTCCTGATTGAGGTGTAATATGAAATATGCATCATCTGAGTAGCATCACATTAAAGAGGAGACTCTAAGCTTTCCAAATATGTATCATTCATTAATTATAGTTGTGATTAAGTTATGATAGAACATCGATACTTCTCGGTTTCGTTTTTTCTGGGACGCACTGTATATATATATATATATATATATATATATATATATGTGTGTTATATAGGCCCTACATATATATTCCATCACTATGTCTCTTGTTCCCGGTAAATATATAGTTAACAGCTTTTTAAGGATTTGAATTTATCGTATACTTCATCACTGAAGACACATCTATTATCATTGTTCCTTTTATTTTTTTTTATAATATCCTGATTTTCAAAAATAATTATAACCATACATTTTTCTTCATGGATTACTTTTCTTCTTTCTAAAATCCACTTTTGCTATAAATTCAGCACTTTCCTTTTTTTTAAATTTAAGGCTGCTCTCTGGAAGTAGAATGGATATGTACATGCAGTTCTATTAAAAGATTCAGCAGCAGAAATGATAGAAATGAGCAACCATTTCCACAAACAAGTCATTGTCCTATGACAATACAATTCAAGGCATTATTCATTTTCTAACAAAAACGCAAAAGAAATCATTAAACCCACATGTTTTATCATTAACAGACCATTAAACATGTAAATACGAAGGTATATCAACCTTGAAGTAATTCAACTCAACCTAGATTGAAACTAAGGCCACTAGAGGCTTAGAAGATGGTAATTGCTTTATTGATTTTTGTCTCTCTTTATTGAAATCAGCTCTATGACTACCTTTTATCACTGCATGGATTAAATTGAAACCTTTCCAGCCACATCGCCAAGGAAACGAACAATGAAATCATATACATTTACTATAGGTCATCATGAAAATGAGAAAGGTTTGCACGCATATAGACTGAGATGCAATTTTGATTAAACTTCATTTAAGCTTCATTGAGTACTGTTCGTACGATTTGTATATATTTTGTATGATTCTTACAAGAATATGTATATTATTGTATATATATATAAACCCTGTTTTGCAACAGACCGTAACATATAGTTTTGTTTTAGTAATATATTTTACTCACATCATACTATTCATCAAAATAAAGATGACATGGGCTTGAAGTTATAATAGAGTCCTAGCTATTAATGGAAGATTCACACATCAGAACATCATGGTTTATATAGCTTTAATAAAAATTAATCCTGTTATTCACATATTAACAAAGGTAAAGAATTGACATTTGCTCTGTCTTGGATGAATCATGGCAAAGACAGTTGCAAAACATTGTTACAAGCGATAAACACAAAACAATAATGGAGAGTTGAATTAAAAAAGGAAAACATTGTTACAAGTGTCAAATACATAATACTAATGGAGTGTATAGTTTAAAAAGAGAAACATCTTTTAAAAATACAAATACATAATGATAATGGAGTGTTTAGTTTAAAAAAGGAAACATTGTTATAAAAGACAAATACATAATGATAATGAAAGTTGAATTTAAAAAGGAAAACATTGTTACAAGAGACAAATACATAATAATAATGGAAAGTTTAATTTAAAAAAGGAATACATTGTTAAAAGAAACAAATACATAATACTAATAATAATAGAGGGTTTGATCTTGAAAGGAATACATTGTTACAAGAGACAAATACATAATAATAATGGAGTGTTTAGTTTAAAAAGGAAAACATTGTTAAAAGAAACAAATACATAATAATAATAATAATAATAATAATAATAATGGAGGGTTCGATCTTAAAAGGAATACATTGTTACAAGAGACAAATACATAATAATAATGGAGGTTTTGATCTTAAAAGGAATACTTTGTTACAAGTGTCAAATACATAATAATAATAATGGAGAGTTTAATTTAAAAAGGAATACATTGTTACAAGAGCCAAATACATAATAATGGAGGGTTTGATCTTAAAAGGAATACATTGTTACAAGAGACAAATACATAATAATAATGGAGAGTTTAATTTAAAAAGGAATACATTGTTAAAAGAGACAAATACATAATAATAATGGAAGTTAAGTTTAAAGAGAAAAACATTGTTACAAGAGACAAATACATAACAATAATGGAGTGTTTAATTTAAAAGGGAAAACATTGTTACAAGAGACAAATACATAATAATAATGGAAAGTTTAATTTAAAAAAGGAATACATTGTTAAAAGAAACAAATACATAATACTAATAATAATAGAGGGTTTGATCTTAAAAGGAATACATTGTTACAAGAGACAAATACATAATAATAATGGAGTGTTTAGTTTAAAAAGGAAAACATTGTTAAAAGAAACAAATACATAATAATAATAATAATAATAATAATAATAATAATGGAGGGTTCGATCTTAAAAGGAATACATTGTTACAAGAGACAAATACATAATAATAATGGAGGGTTTGATCTTAAAAGGAATACTTTGTTACAAGTGTCAAATACATAATAATAATAATGGAGAGTTTAATTTAAAAAGGAATACATTGTTACAAGAGCCAAATACATAATAATGGAGGGTTTGATCTTAAAAGGAATACATTGTTACAAGAGACAAATACATAATAATAATGGAGGGTTTGATCTTAAAAGGAATACTTTGTTACAAGTGTCAAATACATAATAATAATAATGGAGAGTTTAATTTAAAAAGGAATACATTGTTACAAGAGCCAAATACATAATAATGGAGGGTTTGATCTTAAAAGGAATACATTGTTAAAAAATACATAATAATAATGGAGAATTTAATTTTAAAGAGGAATAAATTGCTACAAGAGACATACACATAATAGTAATGGAGAGTTTAATTTAAAAAGGAATACATTGTTAAAAGAGACAAATACATAACAATAATGGAAGTTAAGTTTAAAGAGAAAAACATTGTTACAAGAGACAAATACATAACAATAATGGAGTGTTTAATTTAAAAGGGAAAACATTGTTACAAGAGACAAATACATAATAATAATGGAAAGTTTAATTTAAAAAAGGAATACATTGTTAAAAGAAACAAATACATAATACTGATAATAATAGAGGGTTTGATCTTAAAAGGAATACATTGTTACAAGAGACAAATACATAATAATAATGGAGTGTTTAGTTTAAAAAGGAAAACATTGTTAAAAGAAACAAATACATAATAATAATAATAATAATAATAATAATAATGGAGGGTTCGATCTTAAAAGGAATACATTGTTACAAGAGACAAATACATAATAATAATGGAGGGTTTGATCTTAAAAGGAATACTTTGTTACAAGTGTCAAATACATAATAATAATAATGGAGAGTTTAATTTAAAAAGGAATACATTGTTACAAGAGCCAAATACATAATAATGGAGGGTTTGATCTTAAAAGGAATACATTGTTACAAGAGACAAATACATAATAATAATGGAGGGTTTGATCTTAAAAGGAATACTTTGTTACAAGTGTCAAATACATAATAATAATAATGGAGAGTTTAATTTAAAAAGGAATACATTGTTACAAGAGCCAAATACATAATAATGGAGGGTTTGATCTTAAAAGGAATACATTGTTAAAAAATACATAATAATAATGGAGAATTTAATTTTAAAGAGGAATAAATTGCTACAAGAGACATACACATAATAGAAATGGAGAGTTTAATTTAAAAAGGAATACATTGTTAAAAGAGACAAATACATAATAATAATGGAAGTTAAGTTTAAAGAGAAAAACATTGTTACAAGAGACAAATACATAACAATAATGGAGTGTTTAATTTAAAAGGGAAAACATTGTTACAAGAGACAAATACATAATGATATTAATGGAGAGTTTAATTTATTTGTTAATATAATATTACAAAAGACAAATACATAATAAGAATGGAAAGTTTAATTTTAAAAGGAATAAATCTTGTTCATTGCATCATTACCTTTTTAACATCTGCCGTGTAAGACTGAAAGAAAAGTCTTGTACACAAATGAATGAAAGGAAATAATATGAAACAATAAATAACATAGGAACACTGTTGATAAAAGTTATCCATATAAAAGAGACTAATCCATCATTGGCTGGAGTAAATGTATAGCTTTTATTTTATGCTGCATGAGAAATATATACCTTTGAATTAAATATGAAATATAAACCTTAAAGGGACTTGGTAACATAGTTAAGATTAGAGAAAATGGTGCTAAGGTATTGAATTCAATGCTAGATGAGTGAAAACAGACCACTATTAATGATACAAATTGGGGAAAACTGATCGATTCCTTAATTATTCCAAATATGTTATTATGATTTAATTAAATTTGAGCTGAATATAAATCATTACAAAGCAAAAAATTGATTTTTAAAAGCCAGTGTTATGTCTTTTTTCATTGCAAAATGGTTGGGAAAATTCAAAAATTGGTTGGGAAAATTTACTGTTAGAGGGTGTAGCACAGTGACACCTTCAAAGAAAACCGTAAATATCTTTGTAGTCTGAGATTTTTTTTCAGGATATTTTACATGTTAGAGGGTTAGTACGGTAGAAGGAATATAATAGGTACATTTCATATTTAAAAAAATTACACGATTTTTTCATCAACCTTTAACAATGTTACTGAGTCACTTTAAGAAATGAAATCTATATACACAATAATTAAATTACAACACTTCCAAAGATGAATTAGAAAATCTGTTCCCATCTTCGTATGTGCACATAAAGGTGGCTAATATTTTGATGAGTTTTACTGTTTACTCAAATACTCAAATTTATTTAAACTTCTGTGCAATTGGAGGTTGTTACATGCATGCGCGCAATCAACTCTTATGATAAAAAAATAAACTGTAATTAATTAATTCAACATACAACTCAGTCATCCAGTCGATAAGACCAATGAGTATAATAAAACACTCTGTACATAAAAGCCCTTTCGTGTTATAAAATTTGCATGAGGTGCGACGGAGGAGCGAGTGTGAAATTGGAAGTTTGTTTAATTGTGTGCTTCAGGTGTGAGTTCACATATTGGTTGCATGTTAGGAGGGAATGTAAACTAATCAATAAAATCCATGGCTGAACGGTGATTGCATGAAATGACTATCACATTGTCACGTCACCATGGGGATAAGACGCACGTTTCCATCTTGCCTGCAGCGGATTGGTTGTATCTGATTATCATCTTAATTGGATATTTGCTGCTAGAGATTTCAGCTTTAATAATGCAGATGTTCAGACACACTCCTGAGACAAGCAGCCTCTTAATTTGTCATTATCATCTTCTGATATTCACTGAACGATTTCATACATCTGTCTAGAATCATTTTTACTTTGTAGTGTGTTTTTTCTTCTTTTGAAAGAATCAAAATGCTACCTCATGATTTTTAAATGTTGGAAGTTTAGGCTATTTAAATCCTGCCCAAAATTTACATCTCATTTATTATTTGTAGATGAAGTAAGAAATCCTATATTTATTTTAATTCATTCGAATATTAAGAGTTTTTAATGGATCTTAACAAAGCCGATTTGATCAAGGTAAATATTATAGTTGAAAGTATAACTGTGGAATGGTGTATGTGGCATCTAGTGAGGGTTAAAATCCGTGTAGAATATAAAAAGAAACCAATTAGAGGAGATAGAGAAGTTAGAAATGTAGATCTGAACAAAATAAAGAAGAAAGGAATTTCTAGAACCAATGTATCATAACATATTACATCAAAGGTATTTTTAATGATCCCGTGAAACAGAATATTGAAGTGAATACTTTAAAAAAAAAACAGGTAATTTTTCTCCTGATTGTGTAGAAAGAACTAATTTTCAGATTACATCACCAATCAGATGAAACTCTTCAGTGATTTAATGATACTGAAGTTGTAGTAACAACATGTTGTAATCGTGGTTTATTGCACAATTCATTTGCAGCCAACTGGCCAATTGCAGATTTTTTTTTACATAAATGACAGAGGCCCCTAATTATCATATGAATAGAAATTTCAAGGTGTTGCTAGCATTTAAGTTGAAGGAGTATAATATATACTATGAACATGGCTGACAAAGAAAGCGGACAAAATATACAGTTCCTCAGGTAGACAAAGGAACATCCCTTCACAGCTATTGTGTAAAAATGTGTAGAACAGGTGTCACATGCATATTCACCTTTTTACATAATAGCAGTGAAGGGATGTTCCTTTGTCTACCTGAGGAACTGTATATTTTATCCGCTTTTTTGTCGGTCATGTTCATAGTGATATCTAGTCAGAAGCAACATTGAATAAAACGATGCATGTAGGATCAGATAATTACAAAGTAATTAAAAATAGCTTTCAACCCCTGATGAATTAAACACCTTCCGGCTCCTTAACCTGCACCAATTATTACACATCACCTGAAAATCTGCTGTTGTTGAAACTTGCAGCTTCTTCTATCAAAAGAAGAAGAAAACAATTCTGGATTTATGGAGTACCAATTGCCTTTACGATGCCTTTAAGCAATTTACAGAAATATCATTCTCCCCAGTATGAAGAAGTTCTTATCCCTCTAAGGTACAATTGTTTGCACTGTTTGCTATTTCAGCTGATCGAGTTACAATGATTTGATCTGCTCAGTGACAGAGCAGAGCTTACTCATAGAACTTTACACAGAGAATTTACATGTAACACCTTTAGGCACCCAGCAGGTGATTTAATGTGTCACAAGCATTTAAGCAGACACTAATTGCTTCAAAGGACAATGTAATCTTCATGTGGTTGTCTTCATTAAAACAAATAAAAAAGGACATCTACAAGGCAGTTTACTTGATATTTATCAGGTGAAGTATATCAGGAATTACAAAACAAAGGCCCTTGAATTACAACAAACATACTAACCAAAAAAAAAAAAAAAAAAAAAAAAAACGGAACATACCCAAAATACAAAAGGACATTAAATCATGATTAAATTACCACGATTGTCTACTGTTCCACACAGGAGAGTAAATGAGAATTTGGTAGTACGGATATAATTATTTTGAGAGATTTAATTAAATATCTGACAACTAACATCTATTTTTGTTGTTGGGAGTGGAGAAGCTTCATGCTTTAAAGTTGAACCCATGCATTCATGGAAGTATCGTAGACTACGGAACTCGTGACAGGACAAAAGAAATGAAAGCTGTGAAATTGTACCATAATGTGTTGCCAAGCAATGTTTGTTCATAGCCGTAGAAAGATTGATATGACCTACTGCTGATTGCAATGAATATTGATTTTTCATGATGTTGCCATGGCAATAAGACAGGACTTCAAGCTTGCTTTTTTGATATTTGAATGCAAATTTGATGCATGTTGCAGGTTTAAACAATTGTGTTATGGAGAGCTGCAGTCAAGTTAAAGGTAGTATACATTAATAAAAAGGAAAGGTTCCTGCCGTATCTGGTGATTAAGAGATTTGAAAGAGCTGAAGTCTTTTGGCTTATTCTTTACAAGCATATTCTCTCTTTTTAGCAGTCACATATTTTTTAAAGTTAAAATCATCATCATCAATATATCATGGATTCATGGTAATTTGAGGGAAAGTGGTTCATACACTGTCTTGACTTGCAATCCAAGGATTGAGGGTTTGAATCCAAGCCAAGCACTTACATCCTTTGGCAAGACAACCACCCACATTTGCCATCCTCCGTCAATGAGTAATTGGGAGCCTGGCAATAATAATGGGGTCATAAAAATTGGAGGGCCCTCAGGAAAAAGAACATCGCTGTTGATGAGGCTTCTCCTGGTAAAGAAATGTATTATTATCATTATTATCATTATTAGATGTGTATCATTATCGTTATTATTATTATCATTATTATCAATAAAATCATTATTGGCATCATCATTATTACTATAATTTTGTGAAAGAGGGGTATTGGGTAATAGATGGGGAAATTTCTAAAGGAATAATAACACAAACTACTTCTAGACCCCCCCCCCCTTAATGCTTACCCTACTTCTCCCGAACAAACCATGTTTATAAAGACTCTATCTCCACTTTCAGATGGTCTTAATACATTATAGAAATGTGATTTTCGCTTTGAAATTCAGAAACCGTCCGCCAAATGACTTTTGTGTTTTCTCTTTTCAAATTAATTTTAATCAGTCATGCGTGAAATATAAGTTGCATCGAATGAAAGAGGAGGATCTAAGCTTCATAAATATGTGTCATTTATTAATTATAATTGTGATTAAGTTATGATAAACGGCGATAGTTCTCGGTTTCATTTTTTCTGGGACGCACTGTATAACAAGAGTTATATTGACTCCTGCATGGAACTGCGTGGCTCCTTTGTTAAGTCTATGGGAATAAAACAATTATGTAGTCAACAGGTAAAATTAATTGGGGCATTTTATTGATTCGTATTTCAGTGCAGATGTTTGTTTGTTTTATCTTTTCTACAGACGGCTTACAGTAATCTCCAACGGATGCTAGGACATAAATGGGAATTCATTCTCTTACAAGCTCAAGAACAGCTCAGGTGAGATATCTAAACCATTAACTCTTTTTTGCAAGATTGGCGTTGCTATATATTGGCACTGCCACACTGTTTGGAGTATTATGTTACATGTGGAAAAAGTCAGTTGTGGCAATCCACTTTGTGTTTCTGTAGTCTACCGAAGCCAGGAAAAACGTTGAAGACATATATAAAATAATATGTAATTATCAAATGAGTATGTAATGACCCTGGTTGCTATGTACATTGACAAATAGTTACCATATTCTGCTGCAGGAGAATATGCAGGGAATAGATAGACCTTGAAAATGAAGTATGTTACAATGCACAGAAAGGTCTTTTGATATGCACTTAGTTGTTTCAAAATGGAACGGTTCCGTATAGCCAATTAAGCTAATTGGATAATGATAGCTTGTTTTGATACAAATTACAAATAGAGAAGAATTTAAGTGGTCTATGTACAGACTAACACACAAAAGCAAAAGATTGTTTCTCTCTCTTCCACCTTTCCCATTCTCTGTCTCTGTCTCTCTCTCTCTGTCTCTCTCTCTCTCTCTGTTTTTGTGTGTTTCTCTATAAGTTCTCTGTTCCTCACTGCTTCTGTCTCTCTGTCTCTCTACCCACCCTCTCTCCTTGTCACACTATTAAACTCCCCCTCTTTTCCTTCTTTACCCCCCTCTCTCTCTCTCTTTCTGTTTGGTATATGTTTTTCTATTTGTTCTCTTTTCCTCACTGCTTCTGATCCTCTGTATCCATCTTTCTTCCTTCCCTCTCTCCTCCTCCCCCGAGTTTGAATGTGAAAATCCCCCGGCCCCCCCACTCAGGTTTCAAAATGACCGCATGCGTGTTGCCAAAATGTCCTTTTCGTAACAAAAGAAAAAGGTCGAGCCGTATTGACTTTACACACCGGACTTTTGCTGAAAAGGGGGGGTCCGGAAAAAGGCTCGTATACAAAAGAAAAAGGTCGAGCCGTATTGACTTTACACACCGGACTTTTGCTGAAAAGGGGGGGTCGGTTGGAACACGCATATGCGTACCCTAAATAACACTGAGTGGGGGGGGCCGGGGAAAATCCCCATACAATGTACATCTAGAAGTATACTTTTATTCCTCGTTAGACGCATTACAAAAGTAATACATCAATGGGGACATTTAATGGAAGCTGCAGAATCTATTTATTGCTCAGTTTTCTATAAAATAAAAAAAGTTCATACCGTTTTTTATGCATGTATATAGGCCAATTATTCTGCATTCCTATGGTGTTTGTCAAATAAAGGCACACACTGTCCAGTAATGGAAATAGTTTTACAATAATAAGGAAATATGTGATCTTAATGATTTTAAAATGTACATGTAGAAAATGTCCCAAAATGTTGTTTCCACATGATGTTGTATCACCAACTGATAGAGAATGCAAAAATACATCTCATTCTGTGCCTTTTAAAAAATTGTAGTATTTTAAAATTGCTAAAAGGTTATTGTTGTGTTTATCATTAAAATGAAATGAATAAGCAAAGAGTCTGAAAAGTTTATCACAACTGCCTATATTTTATATTAACTGACATGACAATGTACAAAGAATAGCTACAAGAACTAAATATCAGGTGAGAACTTGTTGTTGCTACCTCATGATACTACTAAGTTCATATCAGCATAAGATGATTATTTTTATTTATTTATTTATTTATTTCTAATATTTTGACAGGGTAGCCCATTCACCAACAAGTAGTGGTCTTCCATGGGGCCCTGAATGAACATATTTACATCGTTTATAACATTTATACAAAACAGTTACAAAAATAATACTCGTTTGCAAAATAAATATAATCAATTTGTTGTGCAAGAAGTGAAGTGAAGTGAAGTGTATTACGACTGGATTATGAAAGATATTATAATAAAAGAAAATAGATAAATGATTTCAAGAAATTGACTGCTGAGAGTCTGAAGGGCGATAACTCTGTGTTAATTATAATAACATGATATTTTAAGCCTAGGCACTGAATCCACTTGAAAGTAACCAAAGGCTCAAGGAGCACTTGTGAAATCAACAGCAACAAAGGCAAAGATAATTATTTTTAAAGTATATACATATATTAATTAATACCTGGCCTTCTGGCTCCAGGCAGTATCAATCTTTCTGATTGAGGCCCCTCATTATCATATAAATAGAAATTTCAAGGTGTTGCTAGCATTTCAAGTTGGAAGAGAGACTAGATCCGCTGCGAACCGTGTCATACAAGTCACGAACAGGCAAACAAACAGGAAGCAGATTTGGCCTTTTGTTTCTATTTATATATGATAATAATAATAGCACTAGTAATAATAATAATAGTATAGATAATAATATCATTAATAATAATAATAATAATGATTAAGATGATGATGCTAATAATAGAAATAGTAATATGATAATAATAATAGTAATAGTATTGAAAAAATGATGATAATACTAATAACAAATAGTAATGATAATAATAATAATAATAATGACAATATTAATAATAATATAAATTGTGTTTCTATAGGGCTCAATACAAATGTAGAATGTATAATATATGACACCATGCAAGGTTGTTGCTGTTGGAACATAATGAGCAATGACATCAGTCAGGAACGATTATTTACACTTTTGAAATTCCTTCCTGTTTCAAAGTTTTTTTTATATCTGAGTAGTGTGTTGTAGAGGATATGAATTTCTGTTTTCTTTTAGAAAAATGATAGGAATGGTCCCCCATATCCTGTGATATTGATATGTTGTAAAATAAATAACTCTTCAGTATTTCTGGAGGACTTAATTATGAGGTTTGAAGGTTCTGCTAATTGAAGACATTTTACAATATATTTTATGATATTCTTGATCATTTTAGCAGAGCCATGATAATAAACTATTATTTATTTACAAAAATAAAATCATAAGACATTCATGTTTTTTACAACTATGCTCTTAGGAACCTAAGACTGTAACATGATGTTTTGTGCATTTTACATTGTGAAGGTGAAGTGTTGACTAGGTAAATTATAACAAAGATTATGATAAACATAGTCCAAACAAGTGCATTATTTCCCCTTAGATACAGTTAATGCAATGATACAAAATACTTTATCTAATTTTATTCATCATTCATATATATATATATATATATATATTTTTTGAGTTTGATTTAAATTTAGATTCAGAGCTGTTATCAACATGTGGTAGGAGATGTAAACACAGGAAAGAATATAATTATAATGCTTTTCTAATTATAATTATAGTGTCATCTAATTATACAACAAGATTCTCCAAGTTTTGTGCAAGAAAATAGAGATTTGTATCAAACTCTCACACTTCCACAGCTTTTTCCTGCTTCTATGAAACATTGAATCTTACATTCTTGTAACAGTTAAGTTACTGCACTATCTCCTACTCTTTTGTCAAGTGTGTGCAGAGAATTATATTACAAGTGCATCCAAATTCATGTCACCAACTGAGCAATTTAAAATTTCACCTGCGAGAGGTAACACAATCTCACTTTCTCAGCTGTGAATAAAGAGAGAGAGTGTGTATGTTTGTTGTGTTGTGTGAGAGAGCAATAGATATATATATAGAGAGAGAGAGAGAGAGAGAGAGAGTGATAGAGAGAGAGGGGGAGAGTGGGAGAGAGAGAGAGAGAGAGATAGAGAGTGATAGAGAGAGACAAATAGATAAGATAGAGAGAAAGAGATAGATAGATACAGAGCGAAATAGACAGAGAGAGATATATATATAAAAAGAGAAATAGATAGAGAGAGTGTGAGAGAGATGGAGAGAGAGATGGAGAAATAGACAGAGAGAGAAAAATAGAAATAGAAAGAGAGAGTGAGAGAGAGAGAGAGAGAAAAATAGATAGAGAGAGAGAGAGATAGAGAGAAAAATAGATAGAGAGAGAGAGAGATAGAGATAGAGAGAGATTGATAGAGAGATATATAGGGAGATCAATAGATAGAAAGAGAGAAAGAGAGAGAGAGAGAGAGAAAAGGGAGTGATATTTACACTGCCTAAACACTTGTCACCTTACAGGCATTGTTCACACTGCCTGCAGGGACTTCATTTAATCTCCACCGTCAGTATGTAGATTAATCATGGAAAGGTCCATGGATTACAGAACCACCAAAATTAATGGTATTGCTACTAACTGTGTTGTTTGAATATATAAAATGGGTAAAACGTTTTCTTAACCAAAATGCTCAGGTACTATTGAAAAATAATATGAGATTTCATTTTATTTCCCTTTTCAGCCAAAAAAAGAGAAAGAACTGTCAACTATAGAGCAATGAGATGTACATGGTGCATCAGAGAGTGACTTTAAAATATTATTATGACGCACTCCTCCATGACTTGACCGCTATGTGACACATGTAGAAATATATTATGTCCTTATCTCAATACTCTAGTGAGAACAGATCATGTTTCCATATACTGTATTAGGCATTGATGACAGCTAGCCAGGTAGTCTCAATATTGACACAGTATACATTCTCCTTCCATCCATCCCCTGCAAACAGGTTGGCCAAGCATAGAAAGAAAGCTGATAGAATCGTGTTGGACGCTCAAGAAAGAGCCTTCTGGCGTGTTCACTACCCTCCCGTGAGTATGCGTATCTATATCCTGCATAATGTGATGTCTATTAAAGCAGTCCATAATAGCTAGGCCATGGGTATTCACCTTGCCTCGCATCAGGAAACTGTGTGTGACACCAGTGATACTGCAAATAGAAAATTAAAGTGGATAAATGGTTATAATATTGGTTAATTTTTAATATTATGAGAGAATTTTGTAGGAATAAAGATACCTTAAACCCCTAGTCTCAATAAATTCAAGGTATTATGCATTTCATTCATGAGCACAATTGTATCATATCAGAAGGTATTTATGCCCTTTTGGCTCTAAGCTAGCATACAATAAGCTATATCAAATAATGCAAGGATTACAAATTCATGCTGGTAATATCAATTCGGTTACTCTGATTATTGATATTATTATATATAATTATCGCTCTGTTTAAAGAAGACCGCACATTTATTTAGATATGATCCTATTATAATTATTCAACCATGTACTGCAATGTCCCTGCTTTGAATATTTTCCATATTGTCTAAATTTATTCCAGCCAGCTAAACCATAAGGAACTTGTCCACTTATTGTTGTTCAACTCTTTGCATGCATGCTCCTTTAATTTACAATTCTAAGACAGATAGCATGTCAATTATACAGGTATATCCCTTTATTCCAAAAGCTTTATCATTTTGACCATGATACTGATTGGATTTATTCCCTATGGCTATTATACATGCACAATCTCAGCTTCCATGATTGGAATGCAATCTGCAAGGTCTTCATGCCAAATCTTCTATAATCTTTCGTTCTGCATGGTCAATATTCTTTATTTGATTCATGCAGAGATATACCTCCTTGATTCATGTGACTTTGAATGGAGGGAAGCCCTATATACACAGAGTTGTCTGAAAAATACACTTTGGCAAAATAGAAATTTTCCTTCAACCCAGGGCGGCATTTTGTGATATTCAGGAAACTTGGAATATGTCCAGTTATAAGAACTGAAGTACCAGTATATGACATAAGTTGATTTTCATTTCTCTCTTTACTGTTTACATACTTTTATTACATTTATTAATTGGTTGTTTAGCAAACATGTACAAGTCCATCCAAGTTCCTCTAATCCTTACCCCCCCCCCCCCCCCCCCAAGAGGAAAAAAGGGGGTGTGTTACTCTTACATGGATTATACACATTGTGTAAAGAATAAAAGAGTATTTTCATGTATAAATCTGAGTAATAAAACTTCAACACATACATGCATAAATTTGCTCTTCAGTAGTATTTAAGCATATTCTTCCCAATTTTGATTCTTCGCCTATGCATTATCCCAATTGCAACTTACTAGGTGTAATAGGTCATATTCGAAATGCCCTATTTGTGTAATGTGTGTCCTAAGTAGCAACAATTAATGTACGCAATTCGCATTCTGACTATTAACAATTATTCGTATTAATAGATGAATAAAATAATTTGTTTTGAAGCACTATATCTCAACAAAGATTAGGGCATTAATTTGATGACATTAAAAAAATGGTCTATTGTTATTGATATGAAAATCAATTGCTGAATGATGACGACATAGGAATTTCTAATACATAAAGATATTGAAGGTTTGTGATCAATACTGTCTTTAATTTCATTTTATGATTAAACAGCCTGGACAAACAAATTGTCTGGAAGCGGATATCAGAAGAAAATGTAAAAACTCTCAACCAGCTAGAACAAAGAAACCGTCCCCTGAAGAATTCAAGAAGCAAGTGAGTATCAAAGTTATGAGTACTATATAGCCATCAATATATTTAAGATGTGTAGTTCATCATAATCATTTGTACTACTTCTCTTTTTTATGCAGTAAATACAGTCATTTAAAGGCCTACTGCACTACTTGTAGCTACTTGCTCCCTCTATAGAAAACAATGCCTAATCGGTGACCATTGGTCCCCCATGATCCTCTTTTTTCTTATGTTACTTGAGAGCTGAGTTGATGAGATAGCCACCCGTCAGTGACCTTCCTGGGTGGTCTAATCCCTCCTTGCCAAACTAGTACAGATGGGATTTAAAGGACAATTGTTTTAAGCGAAACACATTTTTTAGAATAATTCTAGTTATTTAGTATGGTATTTCTTTGCATTTGCATTGATTAATTTTGTAGTCTCTTAATAGATTTATTGGAAGGAAAAAAGGGAAGGTTCCAGACCCAGAGGGAAATCAAGAACTACTTGGGAGGGGACCAGTAATTAGACATGGAGTGGAATGACGACTGCAAGACTAGGGTGGCAGCTAGAAAACAGAGATTTGTGGAAAAATCTTGCAATCAAACCCCCTGAGCTGATAGATGGTAGAATTCTGGTTCAGATATTTTGAATGCAATAGAGAGCATTATGATTCATTTTAAATTACAATTTAAGATTTTTTTTCTCAGAAAAACCAACAAACTTTAAACGTCTTAGAAATCTTCCTATCATCTATGTAACAGTTGTTAATGAAAAAGGAACCCTCCTTCATTACATGTATATAATATTGCTAACGAAAGTAGAAACCAATTAGATGACTGAAGACTTCACAGTTAATTGTCTCGGCAAGTGTTTCAGTGCTTTGTGTGTGGGTTAGTCATCTAATTTCTACAATGAGCTACGACAATGCATTCAAATAATGGTATGATGGATTGTGTAATACAATGCAGCCATGCATTCATTATTACCAACAAGCTGAAGGTGGTGTACAGACTTTTTTTTTTTAATCTCTTGTATGTTTTACCTGACCGTGGATGATGTATAGCTTAGCAATTAACCTGCTCATAAGATCATCTAAAGCCATACAATGATTGGACCACACCCTACTTTTGTTTTTCCCCACTCAGTCTCCAGATAATTGGAGAACAACCCACATCACATGTTATTAAATATATTTAACTAGATATTCACTACATGTATACCTGAATTAAATTACCCTATTCACCATCAAACCATGTAAAGGTTTGACAACACATTTGGGTTTGTATAGATATGAAATTTAATGTCAAACAATAGCAATTCAGTAATTAAATGTTCCCATAGAAATGGAAATGGATTATTAGAATATATGGTAAGGTCACTGAGGTGTAATATACATCAGTACATAATGTGATTCCTCTTGGCATAATATTCTTGTATATAGTGCCTTGCTAGGATAACTTTTCAATCAAATTAGTAATTGTGTTGATATGGTACATGTAGTATATATTTCAGATGAATGCATACCGGTAGTCCTAAATATACTGTCCACCCTATCATATACTCACATTTCTCTTCTTCTTCTTCTTCTTCTTCTTCTTCTTCTTCTTCTTCTTCTTCCTCTTCCTCCTCCTCCTTCTCCTCCTCTTCCTCTGCCTTCTTCTTCTTCTTCTTCTTCTTCTTCTAATTATTCATAATCGTCATCATCATCATCTTCTTCTTCTGATTATTCATCTTCTTCTTCTTCTTCTTCTTCTTCTTCTTCTTCTTCTTTTTCCTCTTCATCTTCCTCCTTCTTCTCCTCTTCCTCTGCCTTCTTCTTCTTCTTCTAATTATTCATAATCATCATCATCATCATTATCTTCTTCTTCTGATTAATCATCATCATCATCATCATCATCATCATCATCATCTTCTTCTTCTTCTTCTTCTTTTTCTTCTTCTTCACCTTCTTATTCTTCTTCATCATCTTCATCTTCAGAGAACCTATGCGCCTGCACACACACATACAGGCTCTTACAAAAAACACATTTGGTTTAACATGTTATAAGATTTAGAGTTGGGTATACACCAGATAACTTAGGTGATGTAGATTTGTATTTGATTTGCATACAATGCATAATTGATTGATTCTCCCATTACAGGTGACCTATCTACAAAATAGACTGTCCAAGATGACCATTAAGACATCCAAAGCAATAGATGTGTAAGTCTTCATCAATTTCCGAACTCTTGCTCTTGCATGAAGCATTAAGTTGTACTATACCTCTTATATTCTTACATTGCTTGTAGTTTAAAAAAACAAAACAATTTGTATATCTTCTTTCCTGTACATAATATGTGTTATATACCTCACTTAAGAAATCCAGCCATCTGATAGGTCGAATTGCATTCATAAACTTCAACTGTTCCTGTAAAATTCTCGGTAACCATGCATAAAACATTTCAATATTTTTAATAACCATGGTTATTAAAAAAAGTTGGTCAGCCTCCATGGTTACCCCATAGGTTTACATGTTAAAAAATGGTTTGAGCGATGGAGGATGCCGTATGTGTGCGAAGGATTGGTCGGTAATTTCAATACAATTGAATCTCGATCGATCTTACCGACAATTTTATCTTGCATTGTTGACATGAAGACGAACATAAACTTCCAAAAACAAAAAAACAACATCTGCCGATAGATCTTGATCTAAGTTCGTGCCAATATGCATTGCAAAAGTAAAAGAAGAGTCCGTATATGGAGCTTTTGCGAAGCATTCATCACACGCGAAGCCGGTTTCAATCCATTTTAATGTATATATTGGAGAAAACTGCCAAACATGTTAACGGCGGGCCATAGCCGAGTGGTCTAAGCGTTGGTTTTCGGTACACCTCTTGTTGTTCGCAAGAGTTCGAATCCCGCCTTCGACAAAAATGATAAATATTTTTAATTTTTCATTTTTTAGTCTATTTTTTTTCGGCATATAAAAGTATTAATGACTGCTAGTATTAAAAACAACATCTGCCGATAGATCTTGATCTAAGTTCATGCCAATATGCATTGCAAAAGTAAAAGAAGAGTCCGTATATGGAGCTTTTGCGAAGCATTCATCACACGCGAAGCCGGTTTCAATCCATTTTAATGTATATATTGGAGAAAACTGCCAAGCATGTTAACGGCGGGCCATAGCCGAGTGGTCTAAGCGTTGGTTTACGGTACACCTCTTGTTGTACGCAAGAGTTCGAATCCCGTCTTCGACAAAAATGATGAACATTTTTAATTTTTCATTTTTTAGTCTATTTTTTTTTGGCATATAAAAGTATTAATGACTGCTTTAATATTCGAGAAATAGTTGTTTTCATACGCTCTCGGGAAGGTTAGAATTGGGCTATTCCCCTCGGCAAGCCTCGGGGAATAGCACAATTCTAACCTTCCCTTGAGCGTAATAAAACAACTATTTCTCTCAAAGCAGTCATTAATACTATACTATTGTTGTAAAATATATAAATAGTATTAATATTTCAATGCAATATGAAGTGTGAAGGTATATCTATAAGGTTTACACTTTATTTCATCTTTGAAAATGATTGCAAATTAAAATATTAATGAACTGTTGAGTGTGTGTGTGTGGAGGGGTGGGGGGGGGGGGTATACTCCCCAAGCTACATGTAGTCAGCTCTTGGTGAAGAAAAAAATAAAATATATGAAATTATTGTTTTATACAGTCAAATCGGTCTAATTAAGTGGCTACCTCTTTATAAAGGCCACTTGGTTATAGTGGTAATGCATTTTTGTCTCCCTTGAGAAAGAGATGTGTGTTGTAGAACCTGTCTACACTGGTAACTTTTTCTGTTTCCCTTGGGTGGCCTTCATAGAAAGGTTTGACTGTATTTATTTAATGAATAATTCTTATTATCCTCTATGTGATCAATTTGATATATTACAGACGGCAGTAGCTGCAAATCCAATTAGAAACATTCATTTTACTCTCAGTTTGCTTCCTCCTTTGTGTCTTATCCTTCCACCCACTATACTCCCCCATAGAACTCATTTACATTATTTAGGGAGGGAAGATAAATTGAGTTACATATATCCAACCCATTACACATTACCATTTCCAACACTGCCATGACATCATGAGTAAGAAATGGAAATTGCTTGAGAGATATATAATTAGACTATGACCCAGATCTCCTTATACATAATTCTTTGAGGGAAAAGATGGAAGGCTTTCCTTTAGTAGTTGTGCCACTGGGTTTTCTTTATGAAATCATTACCGGTAACTTCTTAGATGTAAAGTGACAACTGAATTTCATCAGAAAGCAATACATCTAATGTAGATGTTCAAAACCAGTGCACATCATCATTTATCATCATCATAAGGTAGCTAGTTAGTGAAATGTTGTGGCATACAAAGATACATCCAGAATGCAAATAGCATAATTGTTAATGACATTGGTGAATCGACATTGCCAAGTCTCAATAACATTTTTTTGTTATTATTAAGTCTTATCGAGGCAGAACGCAGAAGAGATACTTACTAGCTCTCTGTCCTACTGGCATGGTTCTACAGTAATGCCATAAAAATATGATTTTACAACAATTATGCATTTTGCGATCTGGATGCTCCTTTTTTGTGCCACTTAATTTCGCCAAATTACGTATTATAATGGTGTTTGCTACTAAAACAAAGGAATTATTTATATTTCATACGATAACATTTGAAAGCTATTATTGGTATTTTCTTGTTCTTGTTAAACAAGAGGCACTGTAAAGGGGGAGGGACAAAAAGAGTGAAAAATGTCTTCTTTTAATGTTCTTACTGATTAATAAGCTTGATATTACGAAGGTTGAAAACCTTTTTTTTTAATGCTAAATTAATTCATCTGGAATGTAGCTTATCAGCAGCAAGCCTGATCAGCACTTAAATTACCAATTCAATTATTCTGGTGAATGCCTTTGCAGCTGGTAAAGAACACTCTGAATAAGAAAAATATATAATCCTTGGTTTACCAGACTTGTTCCTCTAATCATTTGAGTGCTGTAGAGATTTAAATTGCTTGAAATTATATACTATGTATGATTACCTTTTCAATGAAGAAAGCTTGTTTACTTCCTTGACATTCAAAATGGGTTCACAAATTGTAACTTTGATGAAAATTACCATACTGAATATTATTAGTTTCAAGATGAACAATGAAAATAAAAAGCCAAGCATTTAAAGATTTGTCTCATAAGATGTAGGTGTGATGTAATATAATAATTCATACAGTTAATTGGAAAGACGTTTTCTAGCAGACTTATCCTCTATCCTCTGTTTTCTGAACTGTGCACACTAACAACGGTTGAGCCCCATTTTCAAGGTTTGAAGAACTGGTGTTTGAATAAATTTGTTGACAAAAGCTTATACATGTAGCAAAAGATCGACGGGTCAGTGACACAAAGATGTAACTCCATTTTGAGAAAAAGTGGTTTATGTGTCACTGAGCATTTGGGCCTTAAGGAGTTAAGTCTATGTTCCACTAGCCATTGAATTCAATGGGGTGTTGGGTGGAGTTAAGTCTTTGTGTTTCCTGGAAAGCCCACACTTTTCTGGACATTTTGATATTAAATACTCATTTTGGCAAAAAATAGGGAGCTACGTCTTTGTGTCACTGAACCCTCGAAATGTAGAATATTTTGTATCATTTAAGGTGGTTTTATTATTTCTTCTTTACTTATCTTGTCACTGACTACTCTTCTTCAAGGTGTTCGTTGTGCGCAGATATTATTTTCTGCTACTCCAATTTGCCCTGTATATATCAATATATATATGTGGAATTAAAATTCTTAAAGTTCATATATTAGAATTAAAAAGAGTTTCTGTGTTTCACTTGACAAGCTAGTATTTAATTTTTCTGTCCTTCTAATTTGACATAAATGATCGAGGTTTGGCAAATATGACCTTACAATATCTTGTGCTCAACCCCAGAAAAAAAACATTATAACGTTTTTCTCAGGAATAGTACAGCAATATGATATTTTACTGAATCAGACCCTTTTACATTTTTGTCTTTATGTTACCATATTTGATTTAAACTCGTCTTCTTTTGCAGTTTAATACGATATTGCGAGAGGTTTGCTGAGCATGACCCTTTCATATCAGGCGCTCAGCCGAGTAACCCATGGATTAGTGATGATACGACTATGTGGACACTCAACACCATGCTGTAAGTAATTCATATTTCATAAATTGTTGTTTATATGGAAAAAATGGAAATAAAATTTAAACATCAAAGCATACTAGCTATCATGAAACCCAATTCGAACAGGAAAACACCCGGCCCCCCCCCCCACTCAGTGTTATTTAGGGTACGCATATGCATGTTCCCTCCTTTTGAAAACACCCCCTAAGTCCGGTGTGTAAAGTCAATATGGCTGGATTTTTGTGTACTACGAGCCGGACTTTGGTGCGTGAAAAGTACCCCTTTACCAGACATTTTGGTAACACGCATGGTTCACGGAGTGGGGGGGGGGGGGGTGGGGAAAACACCCATGTCAAGTATTCTACAAGTATAGACTCATTGCAATCCTAACCTGCCCTATACACCCCCGTAAGGAATCCTATTGGTTAGTATTAAGATATGGTAATCCACAGCTTTCGTGATACTCATAGCTAGGGGTTTATAATAATGGTAAAAGGTTTCTCATTATGGGGATTGATATGCTGAATATTTTATGATGTGACCTTTCAGCAATTTTCTCCCCCACTCATATTGCTTACTGATATAAGATAGTGTAGTTTTGACTTGTCTATTAATAAGCATATCAAAATCACCCTAGAAAAGGTTATCATTTTATTGTCGAATTCCGGTGCTTAATGTTTCCATTTACTTTTATTACTAGAAGGTCATAATTTTTTGTTAAATGTAAAACAATTGCCTCTAACATGAAGCAAGAGATCTATCTACCTTATCAAGAGTTTTGAATAATAACTGAAATTAAACATTGTTGAATTAAGAGAAATAGTACCCACAGAGAGAGTATTACTTCATGTTTATCCCACTGCCTACTGGGACCGGGTGGCTCATATATTAAGCCTATTGAAATTACAGAATTCAGTACTCAACAGGTTAATCAACAGAGCAAATTTCAGGTTTTTAATAGGGTAGACATGTGCACTGCCAGGATACATGATACAGCAAACATTGAACATAGAACCTGTTTTAATAAGATTAAGAAACAGGCAGTATTATCTTGGTTTAGGGTTGACACACACATAGTGGGAGGAGGGTTCAAAGCCCCACTGCACTTCTTGTAGCTACATGTACTTGCTCCCTCTATATAGAAAACAATGGCTAAGTGGTGCCTGTTGGTCCCCCATGATCCTCTTTTTCTTATGTTAATTGAGAGCTGAGTTTATGAGATAACCACCTGTCAGTGACCATGATGGGTGGTCTAATTCCTCCTGGCCAAACTAGTACAGACATGCTTTAATAGAAGATGGGCTATCAGTATCAGGGAGCTAATATCAGAGGCTACTTGTTAATTTGACTATCAATGTTGGTTTTATAGGGTTGACACACCGACAGAGAGGAGAGTTAGAAGATGGGCTATCAGCTTTAGGGAGCTGTTATCAGATGTGACGGGCAAACACGAGTTTGAGAAGTTTCTGCAGAAGGAATACAGTCAGGAGAACATCCGCTTCTGGTCAGCGTGTGAAACGCTCAAGTACGCCCCCCAATCCATGGTTCCCGAGATGGTCCATGAAATATACCGGTAAGGGTGCAGAGTGAGTAGAGGAGGGAGATGAGGTGAAGATGTGAAGAAAGGGGAAGAGGAGATGAATGGAAGATCAGGAAAAAAGTTTGGAACATTTTGAAACATCTACATTACTGGATCCAATTGCTTGCTCTCAGAATCGAGTCATAAATACAAAGCATTCACCCATCAATTTCAAAATATTTTGTTGCAGACATTGTTATTGATAAATATGATGACATTATGTTCTAGGTCATTGTGACATTAATTATATTTATACCATATTTGGTGTCCAGCACATTACCTCTAAATAACATTGACTGAGTACAGGCAGAATTTGATGAAGTGTGCTAATTGTTCTCACAACTGGTATTTCAAAACTGGTGAAGTAATGATGAGTTCTTCATTGTATTATTGTATATTATTTTGTTTAAAAATATGATAATTTCATTTCTCCTTGTATATTATTCACCTACAAAACAAAATGGATGTACTTCTATCAAAGTGAATGAATATTATGCACATGTAGTAATATTCTCATAATAATTGCCCTTGAATCAAACAGAACATTCCTAGCACCAGGAGCACCATGTGAGATCAATGTAGATGGAAGGACAATGGAACTGACTCAGCAGTCACTACGGAAACCAAACAGGTTTGCCTTTGAAGCCGCTCAGCAACACATCTTCCTTCTGATGAAGAAAGATTCCTACCAGAGGTTCCTCAAGTCAGACACCTACAAGGGGCTACTAGCAAGGGCTATGCAGAATGGGACTAAACGAAAGTGAGTGAATAGTGAGGGAGGGTGGGAGGGGGGGGAAAGAGGAGGGGGAAAAGAGGAGGAGGGGAGAGAGGGGGAGGGGAGAGAGGGGGAGGGGAGAGGGGGGAGGGGAGAGAGGGGGAGGGGAGAGAGAGGAGGGGGAGAAAGAGAGAGAAGGGGAGGGGAGAGGGGAGGGGAGAGGGGAGGGGGAAAGGGAGGAGGAGAAAGAGGAGGGGAGAGAGGGAGGAGGGGAGAGAGGGGTAGGGGAGAGAGGGGAAGGGGAGAGAGAGAGAGGAGGGGAGAGAGGGGGAAGAGAGGGGGAGGGGAGAGAGAGGAGGGGAGAGAGGGGAGGGGAGAGGGGAGGGGGAAAGGGAGGAGGAGAAAGAGGGGAGAGAGGGAGGAGGGGAGAGAGAGGAGGGGAGAGAGGGAGGAGGGGAGAGAGGGGTTGGGGAAAGAGGGGAAGGGGAGAGAGAGAGAGGAGGGGAGAGAGGGAGAAGAGAGGGGGAGGGGAGAGAGAGGAGGGGAGAGAGGGGGAGGGGAGAGGGGAGGGGGAAAGGGAGGAGGAGAAAGAGGAGGGGAGAGAGGGATGAGGGGAGAGAGAGGAGGGGAGAGAGGGAGGAGGGGAGAGAGGGGTAGGGGAGAGAGGGGAAGGGGAGAGAGAGAGAGAGGAGGGGAGAGAGGGGGAAGAGAGGGGGAGGGGAGAGAGAGGAGGGGAGAGAGGGGGAGGGGAGAGGGGAGGGAGAAAGGGAGGAGAGAGAGAGAGAGGAGAGAGAGAGGAGAGAGAGGAGGGGAGAGAGGGGGAGGGAGATTCCTCAAAACACACACATACAAGGGACTTATAGTGAGGGATATGTAACAACAACAAAATAAATAAACACGTTTGAAAATGATGATCAACTAACGATAACAAGATTTTTCAGAGGAAAACAACAAATTAAAGATAGCTAGTAAAAAGCAAACATACTATTGATCTCATACTTCACAGATTCTTCACATTTGGAGGGCGCTTCTTAAGGTCAGCGAAGGTCACACCAGATGTAAGTCCGTTGGGATACCCGCGACGAGGGAGTCTTGGAACAGACATCTCAGACTCATTGAGTGACCGACCTATGACACATTCACTGAGCGCTAGTAATCTACAAGACTTTGAACTAGCCAACATGTGAGTAGTACAAGACCATAAACTCAGATTTACTAGCAAATTCAAGACAGTATTCGTTTTGGAATGCCAACATCCTTAAGCTCTCATGCATGTTCAATTTCAATTCAAAATTTAAGCTGTAGTGGAAATCCACTTAATTCCTGATTTTCATTTTCTTAGATCAAAATATGATATGTAAATTTGTGTTTTTCTTGTACATGTAGAGCCATTGAACTAGACCTAACTTGGTGACCTAGAAGCCTATCTGATGTTACGCACCAACATCACTGCTCAAGATACAAACATGTAATTCACAGTCAGCTATCGTTCATGGAATATGAAGTAAAGGCAGATTGATTTATCATAAAAAGTGTTATATACCTCACTTAAGTAATCCAGCCATCTGATTGGTCGAAATTGCATTCATAAACTTCAACTGTTCCTGTAAAATTCCCGGTAACCATGCTTAAAACATTTAATATTTTTAATAACCATGGTTATTAAAAAAATAGGTCAGTCTCCATGGTTACCCCATAGGTTTACATGTTAAAAAATGGTTTGAGCGATGGAGGATACCGTATGTGTGCGAATAATTGGTTGGTAATTTCAATACAATTGAATCTCGATCGATCTTACCGACAATTTTATCTTGCATTGTTGACATGAAGACGAAAATAAACTTCCAAAAACAAAAAAACAACATCTGCCGATAGATCTTGATCTAAGTTCGTGCCAATATGCATTGCAAAAGTAAAAGAAGAGTCCGTATATGGAGCTTTTGCGAAGCATTCATCACACGCGAAGCCGGTTTCAATCCATTTTAATGTATATAGCGTACAAAACTGCCAAACATGTTAATAACGCGCGATGGCCGAGAGGTCTGAGGCGCTGACTTTAGATACCTCACCTTTTGTACGCAAGAGTTCGAATCTCATCTTCGACCAAAAAAAAAAAAAAAAAAAAATTTTTATTTTTTAGTCTATTTTTTTTCGGCATATAAAAGTATTAATGACTGCTTTAATATTCGAGAAATAGTTGTTTTTATACGCTCTCGGGAAGGTTACAATTGGGCTATTCCCCTCGGCACGCCTCGGGTAATAGCACAATTCTAACCTTCCCTTGAGCGTATAAAAACAACTATTTCTCTCAAAGCAGTCATTAATACTATATTATTAATTATTAATTTGGATTGATTTGCTAGGTACAATGGGACAGAAAACGGACACAAGACAGAAGAGGTTTACACAAGTGTCAAGTCATCAAGGTATGTATGTTCTACAACACATGAACCCCAAAGCATTTTTACTTTTTAGGACTACTTATAAAGTTAAATTATACAATGATCTATAGATTCAAATGTAACAGAAACATACAATAATTACACACATGATACCAAGACATTTCTATCTCATTTCTAATTTTTACTTTAAGTGAACTCAGTGATTCAATGGTACAAGTTTATAATAAAATATGGTAGGAAACATTAATGTTTCTGCTACCACTAAACAAGGAAAAGTTACTGTCCATTTTATTTGACTGAAAGCCTTGTACTTGTCCCACATTGCACTGACTCCTACAGAATTATTTACATGGCTTCAGAAACTATTAATTAAACTTGGAAGGAATTTCATATGTGTTGTTGTATTTTTCTGTAGGAAGATTGGTAACTTCTTTCGGTAAAGCCTTGGTCACAAATGCAATATTCAGACCATGGAAAAAAAGGGAGATTTGTACGAATGCATCGTTCGAACGAAACTTTGTGACCATAGCTTAAGATTGTCTTTAGTTCTAGTCTGGTAGGATTGCTTTAAAATTATAAATGTTAGTAGGATATTCCTTTAATTATTTATTCTCTTTTTGTAGATCGAGTTGCCATTAAATGGTATCACGTTTGCCATTCTGAGATTACATTCTCACAGATTAATTCCTTAGTAGGTATACTCTATAATCATTTTCATCTTTCTTGATAGGTTTGCTTCACTGCAACCAATGAACTCAACAAATCTAAAGCGTCATGGATCATTGGGTGGGGTAGAGCATTCTGGAAAGGTTCTCAACGGTAATAAGACAAAGAGGATGTCTGAAACCCAACTAGATCTGTCGTTCCTGAGTTACGGGATGAAGACGACCACCAAGAAGAATCTGATAACACCCTGGGAGGAAGACATGAGCTGACCGAAACTACTTCTATCTTCATCATCCAATCAACTGTGTGTGTTCTTTCTCTATACTGCTGGTATTTGTGTTTCCATGGAAACTAGGGAAAAATGGACCATGTCATGCCTAGCTAGTACATTCCAAGCTTACAGATGTTTGGATTTTGATAAACTTTCATTTCAAATAATATCGCATCAGCTGTATTGGTGTTTCCATGGAAACTATGAAACAATGGACCATGTCATGCCTAGCTAGTACATTCCAAGCTTACAGATGTTTGGATTTTGATGAACTTTCACTTCAAATATATCGCTTCAGTTCTAGAAGCCTCTTGAATCAGTACTGGTACTGGTGTTTCCATGGAAACTAGGAAACAATGGACCATGTCATGCCTAGCTAGTACATTCCTGGCTGATACAGATGCTTGGGTTTTGATGAACTTTCACTTCTAATAATATCGCATCACCTCAAGAAGCCTCTTGAATCAGTACGAGAATACACCCGACGGTACAGAATGCAGTTGAGAAGTGACTTGACATTAAACCTGAAGTGCTTTTGTAGGTTTCGATTAAATGCGTAATACTGGTACATGTAGAAGAGAAGAGTATTATGCCATATGGTATGTTTCCTCTTATCATTCATACACCTGGGTGGTGTTTCACAAAGATCCTAAGTTGAACTTATCTCTAAGTTGGACTTAAAAATTATGGAAAGCCGTTAGTATTTACGAAAATATTTTGTAAAAGTTATTTTGATTCAAATCCTTCATATTTTCTATTATCAAGGAGATTTCATTTTCTTGATGTGAAATTTATAAAAAGTCTAAAATACTTGAATTTTCACTTTTGAATGTATTTTATTTTAAGGCTACAAATGGCTCTCCATAATATTTAAGTCCAACTTAGAGATAAGTTCAACTAGGATCTTTGTGAAACACCCCCCTGGAGTGCAATCAGAGTAAAATATTTTCAGATGTTGTAAAACCTAGTTTAGAATTGCTTTTCTATGATTTTTTTACTCATGAATTTGGAGTACAATGTTTTCCAATTTCCATTTATGTGCGTCAATTCTACTTTTGCATTTGAACAAAAAAACTACATTCATTGAAGTGCTGCTATTCATTTCTTTGTATTGCTTGTGTGTGAGAGGTTATCTCTGAAATGTGTTCTAAAGCAGTGGAAATATTAAAAGAATAAGTACTTTAGAAAGCAACTTTGTCAATATAACATTTATTCTACCTACAGACAGATATATACATGTATGACAGAATCAATTTATTTTTTAAATGAATAAATAGTTTATCAAAAATAACATACCAAGAACAGTTATTTTAAAAAAATGTTATAAAGATCTTGTCTTTTTTCATAACATATGATTTTTAGAATTGTATTATAACAATAACTAATGTAAAAGCATAACTGGATAGTAAACTCTACTAGGTGTGTAGCCTAGTACTGATTGGATGCATGTACAGAAGCCCATCACTAGACAACCATGAGGAACTGAAACGAGCATTTACACAAGTCACATCAACCAACTCCTCCCATGTCCTAATAGCAGGAGACTTCAACTATCCCAACATTGATTGGAAGCTTGGAAGGGCAAGGTCCCATACTGAACAGGAGTTCATTGAAACTGTCGCTGACTGTTATCTACACCAACACATTGGGGAACATACCAGATACAGAGAAGGCCAACGTTCCAGTATGCTAGATCTGGTTTTCACGAACGAGGACGGCATGATCAACCACATAGACTATGTACCTGGAATTGGAAGAAGTGATCATATTGGAATCCTCTTTGGCCTTACAGTATACACACCTGACACCCACACCCCTACTCCTCACCTCCAGTTTTACAGAGGGCAGTATGATGATATGTGTAAAGAGCTAGACCAAATCGAGTGGGAATCTGAATTGGAGAATAAAAGTGTAGAGGATGCTTGGGAGTTCTTTTTAGTCACCCTGACTGAAAAAATGGAGAAGTTCATACCGAAGTCAAAACCAAAACACCGCAGAAAGAAACAGAGATGGATGACTAGAGAGGCCATGAGGAAACAAAGCCAGAAACATCGAGCTTGGAAAGAGGCACAAAGGACCAAACATCCTGTGGACATCATGAGAGCAAGGAGATTAGCCAAACAGCTGCAAACTCTGACCAAGCAGTTATGTAGGAATTTTGAGAAAGACCTGGCTATGAATGTGAAATCAAATCCCAAGGCATTCTGGAGATATACAAACAGCAAACTCAAAACCTCTTGCAGACTAGGCGAACTCAGAACTCCGGACGGTGAACGAATATCAACTGATAAAGGAAAAGCGGATGCATTGAACACCTTCTTTGCCACTACATTCACTGATGAGGATAAAGGGCACATTCCAAAACTCCCACAAAGACACAAAGGAGAGACATTGACATCTATCTCAATCTCTGAAGATGATGTTTATGAAAAGCTTGTCAAACTGTCGAAGTACAAATGTGCCGGACCTGATGGCATTCACCCTTGCGTTCTAAAAGAAACAGCCGCCTCAGTTTCAGAGCCCCTCTCCATAATCTACAATGCATCATTGAAGGAAGGCAAACTACCAAGTGCATGGAAGGTCAGTCATGTGGTACCTGTCCACAAAAAAGCCAGTAAGATGGATGTTAAGAATTACAGACCAATCAGCTTGACATCAGTACCATGCAAAATTCTGGAGTCACTCATTCGTGATGAGATAGTTGCCCACCTGATGGAAAATGACCTACTTTGTGATGAACAGCATGGCTTCGTTCCCGGACGCTCTTGTGTGACACAGCTCCTGACTGTCATGGAGGCATGGACTGAGATGCTAGATAAAGGAACCCCTATCGATGTGGTATACTTAGACTTCAAGAAAGCTTTCGATAGTGTACCTCACCTTCGCCTTCTATCAAAACTTGAGACATATGGTATATGTGGCCAAATTAAGGAATGGATAGCAGACTTCCTCCAAGGTAGATGCCAAAGAGTTAGAGTCAATGACGAGTTATCTGACTGGACTAAAGTAAGGAGCGGAGTGCCGCAGGGTAGTGTTCTCGGCCCAACAATGTTTGTCTTGTGCATCAATGACCTACCAGATGGACTTCAAGGGTCTGTCAAGATCTATGCTGACGACACTAAACTGTATGGCAAAGCATCCACCAAAGATGATCTGTGCTCAATCCAATCTGACCTTGATGCACTAATGGAATGGAGCAATACATGGCAAATGCACTTCAACACACAAAAGTGCAAAGTACTACACATAGGCCCAGGAAACGTCAAACACATCTATGCCCTTGGAGATGATGTCCTTGAAGCTACATCAGAGGAGAAAGATCTTGGCATCCTCATTGATGACGAGCTAAAGTTCCATAACCATGTGGCATATGCAGTCAAGAAAGCCAACGGAGTACTCTCCTGCATCCGTCGCAGCTTTGAGTGCAGAGACAGGTCCACAATTCCAAAGCTGTACAAAGGCCTTGTCAGACCTCTCATAGATTACGGAGATTCCATATGGTACCCTCGCTTCAAGACAGACTCCAAAACCATAGAGAGGGTGCAGAAGAGAGCTACCAAAATGATTTATGACATCCGCAACCGTCCTTACATAGAGAGACTTCGGGCGCTCAACCTTCCCTCCCTCGAATATCGCAGACGACGAGGCGACATGATTCAGGTTTTCAAAATCATCCAAGGACTTGATCGCATCCCAGTTGATACCTTCTTTGAACACTCGACTAGCAACACAAGAGGCCACAGTCTAAAGATCGTAAAACAAAGATGCTCAACGAAGATTAGGCAGGATGCATTCAGCCAACGTGTCATCAATGACTGGAACACACTTCCTGAAGAGGTAGTCACTGCTACCACGGTGAATGCCTTTAAAGCCAGACTGGATCGAGTATGGAAGGACAAGCGGTTCTGCTCCCCATATGAGTAGAATACCCGACGCAGAACTGAGCCAGACAAACCTACCAAGAAGACACCCAACTACGAGAAGGAAGAAAATGGAATTGAACTGGAAGCCCGACTGCTGAGATCACAGCATTCTTCCAGAATCTCGGGTAAAGGTAAAGGTAAATCACTAATCAATGACTTGTTATCTTATTTCAACCTTGTAACCATCAGGTTTAAAATCTTGTAACTATAGATTATTCATGTTAATATAAATATAAATATTTCTGATAAAGATTGTTACAATAACAATAAGCTCTGAGTGAAGTATCAGCGATACTTTTCATGGTGGAGATATTGCCTTGCAGGTAAAGTTTCAGGGTTACACCACGTATTTCTAGTCGACGCCAATCAGAAATGAGCCGTTTGCACGTTTGATCCCTTCATAGGCTATAAATAGCCTCCACTCTGCAATGTTCTAGTCATTCTTCTGAGCATACTCATTGAAAAGTCAAGACCAAGACCTCTTAGCGGAGCTCACAGCCCTTTATAGGGCTCTTGAAAGAATTTCATGATGTATAATCCTGAAAACTTAACCGTCAATTGATTATAAAATTTACCTCAAAAATATTGGACCAAACTGTTGCATAGCCATTGATATATTATGTGAAAGTTGGCACAGGGCATTGCGTAATAAGCAAATATTCTATGAAACATAAATCTCTGAAACAGAACGTCAGAAAGAGAATAGATAAAGGCAGATTAATACTTGAGACAGCTGATTGATCTTTGGAAAGAGGATAACTCAGAGCTAGTTTATGGAATAGTTTCCTGTGGTTGTATTGTGATACTCATCATAAAGACTTGACAAAAACATGTTTATACAGCTTCATGGACATAAATGCTCAAAATATGCTTCTTTTCTATACCTATTAGACAGATTTTTTTTTGTTACTTTAGATACAAATAGTTACATGTGAACATGTGAAATAATATATCTAAAAATTCCGGTTGTAGGCCCCTTTTCTTTTTTACTTCCGAGATATGTCACTCATTATTAGGATTCATAGTTGCCATTCTGCTTTTCAAACCCATATATGTTATAAGTCTGATATTTTGTTTTCATGACAATTTAAATTGTTGATAGCCCCCCTTGAATTTAATTTGTTTTCTTGTTCAAAATATCCCATGTCTTTCATTGTACTTATCTATGATTTATGTTACTTTAATAGCAGAACAATGTTTTAGTATTAGAGGTCATAGGACTTTGTAATCTTAATGGAAAATCCACCTTAATATTCAGCTGGTATCAATAAAAGCAGAAAAAGAATAGAAACAGATAACTGGTAGTTCAAGTTTGAGCGATATCCGATTTAAATGAGGTAGGTTATGAATTGTTAAAGTTGTCATCAATGTAAACAAATTGGCAACACTGTGACGTATCAAGGTTCTCTAAAATTTGCTCTCTACAGAAACTTCAACAAATTTAATTTTCTTTGTAATTGATGATACAGGGGTTCTATAGACGCATATTCGCAACAATTATACTTAGGGTGCATGTTTTGTTTTACATTTTTTCTTTGCATTTTGTTTTCCTCTTGTAAGTTCAAACTATCACCAGTATTTTTCTCTGGTTGTTCTTGGTTCCTTCAATGTAACTAGATATTTAAAATGTTCAACATTGTAACAATACTTATTATAGGACCAACACAAACCTCTGAGTTCATTAGTATTTGCAAGATTGCCAAATTACTATTTTATCAACGGCTTACTTGAGTTTAAGCAAGCAATTTACTATACATTTGCTTTTGTATTTCTTGCGGGCATGTTCCTGGCATTAGGCATGTTTTATAGTCAACACAGCATCACACTGTTTCAAACAATATCTGAATTTATACTGAACAGTCATTGTCATTTCAAACATGACTTAATTTGCACAGTGGAATGATTTAAAAAAAGATATAATTAAAACATATGTTGCTACTAGTATTATGCGCATGCAGGCATAGTTGCATGATGTTAGTAGAGTAATTTGAAATACAAACCTGTCATTGTTATGAATGTTTGTTTGTTTATTTGTTTATGTAGAAAGGTACCATACGATGTTACAAAATGTTGTTGTTGTTTTTTTACAGGATAATTGTGTGTTTGCAGGTTGCTTGTTCAAAGCTCTAACCACCGAGTCATGTTGCCTTTCATTTGAAACAAATCTTGTATAGCATTAATCCTTTGACTAATTCATGCCCTCAATGCCATAGACTTAATACAGTAGCCCACTGAGTCCAGTTTGTCACTTTGTCAATATAATAGGGATAATCGACTGCCGATAGAGGGTGATACGAAACAAAAATTGAAAGTGCATGAAAAAAAAAATTATCAAAAAGGTGGTCGTGTATTGATAAATGTTTTCAGATTTAGTTTTCTTATTACTGCATTAAATATTGATATTCCTCAACTGAAATTTGGCAGACATATTGGAAATTACCCAAACAAATATAAAGAAAACATTCAGAAGCTTTGAAACATTTACATGTAGAACAAATTTTGGTTAAATGGAAGACAGCCATTTAGTGTTTTTCTGAACCATTCTTCAGTTCAGATTCTTCAGTTCAGATTTGACATAAACTTAAATAATCTGCTGTTTCTGTAATATTGGTTTTTCATTTCATTACCGGTATCTTATCCCATCATTCTCATTTTCCACCTATATTATAAATATTACTTTACAAAATAACAGAACACTATATTTTCATGATCAAAGGATATAATTCTCTTCTTGCCTAAAGTTTTCCTGCTTGCGTCGTTCAAATTGTTGTGTAACATCACCCAAAATGTGTTGAAATAGTCATTAACTTGTTGATGGTACATGTACATGTATAATTATGTAAAAGTAAGAACAAATATGCATAACATGTGAATATGTAAATACAGAGCTTTATGGACATGATCATCATCTGACTTGGGTATTAATTATATCAATGAGAGGAGATGATTCTGAGCTGATCTAGTAGTTACCTGAAATCTGTCTGTATATTTGAATCTAATCTTTCTTACATGTAGTGTATATAGACTTGTATGGTTGTAAATAGACTTGTATGGTTGTACAAATCTTCAATTTCATAGAGTGTACATATGTATATATTATAACTATCAATTCATCTCCTGTACATTTTCATAGTGTATTTATAAATTTCCCTACTGTGTATATATGCTTGTACATATGCCAGCTTCGCGAAACCCCAGGCATATTTTTCACACAACTTTACCCATTCGGCCAATCAATTCTTTCCCTTATCCACGACCTGCATGTACATGTAGCTAGCCAGGAATGCATATATTAGAATAATAATTGGGTAGCTGAGCATGTATGCTAGATCGAGAAAAGCGAATGTTGATTGGTCAGAATGATGCATTCCTTTGTTTTAAAGTTGCATGCAAAATGTGCCTCAGGTTTTTCTAAGATGCCTTAAGTTGCTGCATGCAAGTTCTTTTGTGATTTTTCTGATGGATCGGAGAACAAATCTTTGAAAAAATCTGAATAAATGCTTTATCTATGACTAAAAATTTATCTTGCTTTTATTATTCTCTGTGTACAATTAAAACATCTCATTCACATAGATTCACCAATGTACTTTTCATTATCCATCAACACTGGACACTTAAAGTTGGCTTTTTTTTCATGGACTTGTCACCACAGTCTTACAAAGATTTTACACAAAAATCTTGGCTCTCCTTCCCCCCCCCCCCCCCCCCCCCCCCCCCCCCCCGAAAAAAGAGGTTTTATGCTGGAGTGTTAGCTCCAACCTTTCAACGATTAATAGCACACCTTCCCTAGTGAATTGATACTTCTTGAACATCTCTGTTATTGTACATGTCCAACGGATTGGATCTGTCACAGAAAGACCTTGCCTCCTCAGGGAATGCACCTCCTGCATTGCTAGTGTAAAGTAACAAAAATTAACCTATCACCAATATGAATTAACTAACCAATTACCCCATAATCACTACCAGACTCAAATTAATCCAATCTCAGACTAAAATTGGCAGAGCATTAAATCAATAGAACCAACTCAGCTGAAGTACAGTGCAGGTGTGTGTATGTATTTTATTCTAAGCGGCTATAAACAATTTTAGGCAAAGTATTCAAATGAAATATATCATCTCCAAGGAGCCACTAGCAGAGTTCTTCATCGGAATTAACATTGCTGTGGTGTGCTTCTTTGGGAAACGACTTTCCAATAACCCAAAAGGTACATGAACAATACAAAGACATGTATGACTATCATGGTAATATTAGACACTTGAATGTCTGATACTTGAGTGAGCACAGAGTTGGGTTAGTTGGTCATGCATGTTAAAGAGTTCAAATCCTACTCATACCGTGATGGTATCAAAAGCAGCAACAGGCCAAGGAAAGACGTCACCGATCAGCCTTCGTCATGTACTGTGAAGATCATCTCTTCTGCGTTAGTCTCAAGATCTGTATTGAACAGGTCTTATCATAGTGGAATAGATGATGTTGAGGTGAGGTCATCTCCATGGCAACAATGTTAGCATCATCTGAGAGAAAAACATATGACACTTTCAAATATTTCAAAGATCATCAATTTATTAGCTTCACTTTCAATCACATGAGTTTGTAAATCGTTAACCCCTTGCTTATAACCTTCATATACATAGTGGTAGACCAATATCTATGGTAGAAAGTAAATCTTGTAAAGATAGAAAGTTTATGCATTCAGAGCACACACAAAAGAGCCAATTAAACAAATTAAAGGATACAAAACCCACAATAAATACTGGATTTTTGATAACGAAAGTTAAATATTTATTCATATATATATATTGGTGAATTCAAGCATACTTAATACCAGATTCGTGTCAAATACGGACATGTACATGTACATGTTTATTCATGAAACACCCCTATCATATCACAAGTAATTTGTATAAATTGCACCATGTGACAATCTTCAAGTTAACAAGATCTGTGGATATTGGGGTCATTTGTCATTTGTATCATGTACTAATTATAAATCAGTCTATTCAAAAATGATAAATCATTACTGGTATATCTCATCATACGGAAAAAATAACATTATCACACCCAAAACTAATAAACTAAATGTTAAAATACCTAATCACTGAGTGATGAAATTTAAGGAATTTTGATCATCACTAGTTTCCATCATTCACTCCACAAGACAGGAAGATTAATTGCTGGTGAGACGCACACTTTTTCCTGAATCACTTTCTAACCCTTAGGATAATCAAAATCTCCTTCAACATATAAATCCTCAGATTTTACTGTTCATGAACTTGAGTTTAAAGAAGTTTAAAGAAGGACTTATAATATAAGAATAGAGATCGAGCACTTCAGCATTTATCCTAGGTCCCAAAGTATTCTAAATTACTCATATCTACTTACCGATCATCTCTAGGAACAATTTATAGGTATCTTCATTGCGGATAGTAGAAGCTATGTAGGCAGCTGTGTGTTGGTTATCAGGTCCACTCAGCAGGGAGCTCAGAACATGAACCAATGATGGTAGGATTCTTGTATCATAAATCACATCTGATGAAATGAGATCAGAACATGAACTAGTGATGGTAGAATTCTATAGTATTTCAATTAGGTCATGTCAATGGCTTATCTCTTGGAATAGATTGTTAATTGCCTGTAATAATTCAGAAAACATCTGCACCAAAACCAAATATAACTGTTCACTTAGTGCAATTTTAATTTTTCCAATTAACATATACATGTAATTAAAAAATATGTTAAAAAATGTCAATGATTTCAATTTGTAAGATTGATGATGCCTTCAATAAACCAATACACAGATGAACTTACCAGTAGCTAGGATAACATCTGCATTTAGACTCCCAAGCCAGTCCTTTTTAACATTTTCCCAGTCAATACAACATACAGAAACATCAGTCCTCATTGCAGGGTTTTGATCTGAATCCTGTTGCACAAGTCTGTTTGATTCCAATCCATTTTCTCCTTCAATACGTGCTTCCACAGCATGTCTTGTTCTATGGAACCATACTCCAACATCACACAAGCTATGCTCTTCCAGTAATCTGAGCGAGGTGGTAGCCTTAAAAGTTCTTTGTTCCTGGTCTTTACGATCACCAAGTTTCTCCGAGTCAGACTTGGATCTCACTGTCTCACTCTCAGAGCTCTGCTGAGAGTTGTTTCTATGGATGTTTAATAAAATGTTTTCTTGAAGAGTTTTCAAGACTTGTTCATGGCAGTCTGAGAAGGTGTAGGTCAAAGGTTGGCAGAGGTCACACGAGGCCAGACCAGTTAATCCTAAACCACTTCCTAGCTCCAGTACTCTCCTATCACAGCAAAATTAGAAAGAAGGATCAAATTATTTTACAGCTGTATCACCCATATGGAACAAATCAGAAAAGCAGACATAAAGACACTTGATTTGTTTTACAATCATTACCAACATGCATATTCATGAGTCTAAGACAAGAAAGAGAAATTATACACAAAATTACTGGTCCCCCCCCCCCCTCCCCAAACAAAAAACACACACACCAATGTACAGGTGGGTGTGTGTGGGGGGGGGGGTTGAAATGGAGGGGTGGGAATGAGTACAACTTCCACTGTGGCTGAGTTTTTTTTTCCAAGAATTATTCAAGTTCAGCCCATTTTCTCATAAACTGATGTAGTAATGACTTTCAATTTGTTTCCACTGAGATGTTCTTTACACCTCTTACCATTTTTGTAATGTAATCAAATTTAATGCACAAATCTTGTTAAGTGCATTGTTACAGAATATTTAATTTAGCTGTTACGAATATTTGTATAGAAAGCGATTTGCCTACATTAATTTTTGCTTGGTAGGACAAACATTGTGGCTTGACCTACCTAACAACACGTACATGTACGTAATGTATGCAAATCACATCCTGGCAACTGAATTACAATTATTTGTAACAGCTAAAATGACATAAAGGCACTTTTCAAAGATTTGTAAATTAAATTTGACTGAAATGGCCCATTTAGTGTAGTGGGATAGCAACATGATAATGTGCGAGGACAAAAGCATTTCTGCAGTTTGAAATCATGCATGCACCATGTCATTCATGTTGGGAAAAACATTACCCAAGTTCAAATCTCTATGAAAACCCCACCCGTTCATACAAACTTTGTGTGATTAACAAGCAAATAAACACATGATATCCCATTGGCTACCAATTTCTTTTATTGTCATAGGCTTAATACAGGGACCATCTGGCTACAGAAGGCAAAGGGTTAATATCTATGACTAACCTGCCATTAATGATGTGTGTATTCTCTGCTATCCATTCCACCATGTACTGAGCAGCAGGCCATGATCGTAGTCCTGTAGTTCCATCAATCACTACTTGTGAGGATTCCTTCAAGGTGATTAGGTTACCTGTGGGCTGAATTGTCCAAAATAAATTTCATTCTAAAACATATTTTCTTCAGATTTCTTAAAATCATAGATTGCTTTCAAATTACAAGTTTACTTTTAGAACAATCTGGATATTTTAACTATGCCGTTGAATGATTATCTGACAATATCCAAAATTAAATAGGATTTGACTCAGACAGGGAGTATCACAATACTCTTATAATTTCAAATTAATTTAACTACCGTAAATCTCCATGTAAAAGGCGCACTTTTTTTTTTAGTTTCGATTTATGGCGCTATGCCTGGCAATGTCTCCCAGCTCAGTAATCGGTGTGTTGACTCACCACTCGGAAACTAGAACAACACTCAAATTTGTCTGTCATCTTGGTTTGAAAGTAATCTTTCTAATAGATCTCAACATGTAGTTTAGAATAATAATTCCTCCAATTTTGCTTTGGCGTACCACAAGGTTTTATCCTAGGTACTCTACTGTTTTTAGTTTACATTACCGGTAATGGTCTTAGACATTCTTCAAAAAACGACATTGATACTTTTATTTGTGACAAGTACACAAGCACAAATTGGTGCCTTCAACTGCACCTCGATGTTAAATGAAAGTCCTTCCCCGCGTGTGTTTTCGTTTCGGCAAAAAATAAATAAAACTAGATGGAATTCGACTGCGCGCAGTCGAAAATGATGCCTCCGTTATAGAGCAATTTTACAAACCAAAACAGAAAAAAAAAATTGAATTCACGTTCAATGGTAATCCATTGACAGGTTCTCAGAATATTGTGATTACAAGCAATTTCTCATATACATATATGACCCTTTGATCTTTGACCTCATGACCATAAAATCTACTCAGTTCATTGGCTCTGCAAGATGTTCTGAGTTAAATAGTAATCCATCTGTCAGTTCTAATGAGAATGCGTTCACAAGCTATTTTTGCATACATAATGGGCCCATGACCTTTGACCTTATGAACCAAGAATCTACTCAGTTTATTGGCTCTGCAAGTAACAAACATGACCTAATTTCGGCATGAATCCATCAATCGGTTCTTGAGATAACGCGATCACAAGCTGTTTTTGCATTCATAATGTGCGCTGTGGCCTTTGACCTTTGACCTACATGCTCCAAAATCTAATCAGATTGTCTTCCTATGGTGATACACACTATCATTAAGTTTGAAGTTTAAATCTCCAGTGGTTCTTGAGATATTATGATAACAATCTCAATGTATGGAATTTCATAAGTTGACCTCTGTGACCCTTGACCTTTGACCTACGTGCTCCAAAATCTATTCAGATCGTCTTCCTATGGTGATACATACTATCCTTAAGTTTGAAGTTTTTACATCTCCAGTGGTTCTTGAGATATCATGATAACAATCTCAATGTATGGAATTTCATAAGTTGACCTCTGTGACCCTTGACCTTTGACATACGTGCTCCAAAATCTAATCAGATCGTCTTCCTATGGTGATACATACTATCCTTAAGTTTGAAGTTTAAATCTCAAATGGTTCTTGAGATATCGCGCTAACAATCTCAATGTATGGAATTTCATAAGTTGACCTCTGTGACCCTTGACCTTTGACCTACGTTCAAGTTCAAGTTCAAGTTCAAATAAGGTTTTATTCATTACTTGTCAACAAGTCCGAAGACTAAAAATGCAAGTTTACATCAATATAAAAAACATTCAAAAACATAAAGATAACATAGTAAATGAGGACAAATATATAACAATGAATACATTTTAAGTTAAAACATTAAAGTAGTAACACAAAAACAAAACAACAAAAAAAGATTTTAAAAAAAAATACAAGATATGAAATATTGCTAGCAAAAATGAATAAATGTTGACATATAAACAAATAAAATGTATACAGATACTTGAATTCAATTAACTGTAACATTGGAAAAATTGTAATTAAGTATTGAGTATTGAGTATTGAGTATTGAGTATTAAAAAGTATTAAAAAGTATTAAATAGTATTACAATTGGAGTCTTGGCAGTGTGCTAATCACAAGCGTGATATGAGTACAGTATAATGTATAAACATATTGCACATGAGAACAATGGAATTCCTTAGGTATTATTGGTTACAGTAAGAATAGCAGATAATTAAAGAATGTTGTACTGTAAAACATCATCAGAAGAGAATGAGGTGGAGAAGAGGAGGGAGACAGAAAGTGAGAGAGAGAAACAGAGAGGAGGAAGAAGAGATGAAGGGAGTAAGAGGAAGAGGCAGAGAGAGAGAGACAGAGAGACAGACATAGAGCTGAGAGAGAGGGAATGGGAGTGAAATAAAGAATAAAGAGGGAAGACCAGAACTGAAGAAGAGAAAAGGAACTTTGAAAAGAAGCAAGTTCAAATAGAAAAAAGGGATGAGAGAGTGAGAGGAAGGATAAAAGTACATGCAATATCAAAATACGAATGAATGGAAGAACCCGCTATGCCAATCATCATGGCAGTTAATATTGCACATAATTATATTGCTGAAATACATGACATATAACATACTGATAATTACCTAAGCCTCAATTTATCATTATTTTCAAAAAAAATGGAATTCCTTAGGTGTTATTGGTCACAGTAAAAATAACATATAATTATAGAAATATAATTATAGAATGTTGTACTGTAAAACATCATAAGAGAAAAGAGGTGGAGAGGAGGAGGGAGGGACAGAAAGTGTGAGAGAGAAACAGAGGGGAGGAAGGAGAGACAAAGGGATAAGGAGGAAGAGGCAGAGAGAGCAAAGAGAGAGAGAGAGACAGAGACAGAGAGACAGAGCTGAGAGAGAGGGGGTGGAAGTGAAATAGAAATAGAGAGGAAAGATCAGAACTGAAGAAGAAAAGGAAATTTGAAAAGTGGCAAGTTCAGATAGAGAAAAGGGATGAGAGAGTGAGAGGAAGGATAAAAGTACATGCAACATCAAAATATGAATGAATGGAAGAACCCGCTGTGCCAATCATCATGACAATTAATATTGCACATAATTATATTATTGCTGAAATACATGACATACAACATACTGATAATTACCTAAGCCTCTATTTATTATTATTCAAAGATCGAGTGAAAGATGGGATGGGGGAAGTTCGGTACCTCGTAGTTCTCATCTTAGGCAAGGACAGATCAAGTGCATTTCGCAGAATGCGGCTACAGTCATTAACTCTGCTCTCAGGCAGGAGATGTCGATGAACCGTACTCCAAAATCTAATCAGATCGTCTTCCTATGGTGATAAATACTATTCCCGAGTCTTAAGTTTAAATCTTAAATGGTTCTTGAGATATTGTGATAACGGTCAAACGGGACGTACGGACGGACGGACGTACGGACGGTACGGACGTACGGACGGACAACCCGAAAACATGATGCCTCCGGCACCACCTTCGGTGGCGGAGGCATAAAAATAGGGGTGCGCCTTATACACAGGTGCGCCTTATACACAGAGATTTACGGTATTCAGAATTTCTTTGTTTTTAGTCCTATAGCATAGATGACAAGTCTTTATCAGCCAATAATGTATATTCTGTGTGTTTGATAATGATATTTTCTAGTGTTGATTTCTCGCTAAGTTCTTCAAACCTATGGGATAGTAAACTGAATTTCTTCTCGCTCTTCTCTTTATACCAAGTCACAAAAGTTAAAGGGAGCAGATCGCCAGTTTCCATGTGCAGAAGGCCATAATTCGCTGACACCAGACTTGGTGGAAATACCATTAATGGGGGTACAAATTTGCACACAGCAAACCCATAGTCCAGTCAAGAATTACTCCCTAATCTCTCGGAGAGCTCGAGAGTCTTCGGGCAAATCAAAGCATTACATAATGTTAATGTGATCGTTTATGAGAGTTAGTTTATCTGACAAAAAGGAGTATTCTGACTTACGTCATGGGCTGAAATAGCGCCATCTACGCTTTCCTAATTCCGACATAGCAGTAGCAACGAATTGGATGTTCGCACCGAAATCTTGTCCTAAATTACACCTGTTATTGATACGAAGCCAACCCGTTTGCAACAATAAGGAGGCAAGAAGGTTCGTTAATTCGATATATTAATGTATAACAAGTATAAATAGTATAAATAATGAGAAATGATGATATGAATGTAATCTAATATGCTTAAGTGATAATGAATGGTGTGTGTAGTATTAGTGTATGCACGGACACGTATGATACCGTATACGGCTGTAGTGGACGTTATATATATGCAAATTAGATGCACGTAAAACAGGTATACGATATATACGATATAGAGTGTAAGCTAGGGTGCTACGTAAGGCAATGTTAATTGTATGCACGTAAATAGGTATACGATATTAACGATACGAATGACGTGTCCGCTATAAGAAGGACGCAGTCATTGATATGCGTTATGCTAATAAGTCTTTGTGATTCAAACTATCTACCACGAATATTGGTCACGTGACTTGAGTGAAGGTATTGTTTATAGATAATTGCATATACACAAATGATAAGAGACAAAGAGAAGAAATTCATTTGTTATTAATCACTGCATTTAATAGGCGAACTGATGATATTATTTATACACATGTATTCGAAAATGCCTGTATGAACAATTACTTATAATCTGTTCTTTTTCTTTATCATGTTTTGTTCATACAGTTTTCACGGAGCAAGTGTGATGGAATTAGTTGACATAGAATAAATTAGCAAGTCAACCCTACTACGACTTTTCATTGACTGTTTCTTCAGTGAAAACTTCACTTCACTACGACTTGCAACCTGCGATGACGTCGTGATTCAGATTACGTGATTTGGTACAAGATGTCGGAAGTGGACATGATGGGGGACAAGGAGAAGGAAAACCCTGTTGCTGAAGCTGTGGACACAAGGTCAAAGCGAGAAGTCAAACTCACTGAGAAAGGTCTGCAGTATCAAGCTGAAACAAAAGGGAAGGAATTTAAGAGATCCATTAGTGCTTGGCGTAGAGCGTCGAATAAGTTAAGAGCTACCTTGAGCGACATCAGTGATGTCAAAGTTATTCGACAAGGTA